AAAAACGTTAATAACGACTGTTATGACAGAGTTAAAGCAATAAACAGAAACGCATGGTAAATATTATAAAAAGAAGATTACAGGGAAATTCATTAACTAAATGAAGTAGTTTAATTAAGTATATGTCATGGGTTGGTAATAATTGTAAAAACATCGTGCTTAGAGGACTTAGTTTAGTATATAAACATGCATTGGTTCAATAATTTCCATAACATTATTATTTCACGAATATTATAAATATGAATAATTATTAACCAATGACTTAAAAATATATTATAAATTCTCCATCTAATACGATTCCATGTGTCTGAGAGCTGGTCATTATTACAGGTCTAATACAGAAAAGACGGTTAATACAGGATTTCAACTTACGGTTTTTGGTTCAATAAGGTGTCAGAAAATGGATCTTGGTATTACGCGAGATTTTAAATTTCACAATGTTTGATGTTAGAAATGCTGTTCTTTCTCATATGTTATACCTTTTTTTTTTCTTTGAGTATATACAATTATTGACGGTAAAAAGTGTAAATATCCAGAATTGTCAACAATAAAAAATTATTTCTCTGAGGGCGCAGTCTGAAGTGAGAGAAATTTGTAGGGTTGACAATCTTCGAATGCACCGCTTCGAATGTGCCACATTTGTTTATTATACCGAAGGGCTCTTCCAACTATTGAAATTACATGTTTAAGACGCTCTTGTACATGTCTTACTGTAGTATATGAAAACACCCATTTAATAACACTACAGTACTTAATATAAGGTTTATGAATGTAAGTATTTGAGACACATGTTAAGAGCATACAGTATGTGAACAATATAACTTTTATTTATTTTTTTTTTTTTTCTTTGTTAACTCAATGGATTTCTACACAAAACGTGATTCATCTAAGATGCAAAATATGTAGCAAAATTCTAGCTGCGCCTGTATATGCAGTATATATCTCCCAGTTAATACGATTTTCCTAACCCTTGTGTTCAAAGTATCGGAGTTGATTTCATCCCTTCGAAAATGTTACGGACGCCATTACGAGTTGGTTGACTATTGTGGAATACTAGTATGTTGACGGATAAGTTCCAATTTTCGTAACCACAATCCCGTTCTCCTTTCCTCAAGTTTTACCTACCGAATGAAACAAATCACAGACTTTTTACTTACATAAGCAACATGACGAGTGCCACATATGGAGCAGGATCTGCTTACCGGTCTGGAGCACTAAATTTCGTGCGATGGAAGCCTTTTATCTGGATTTACCTTCATCAGGAACGATAAAATCTAATCATGTAAAAGCCAAGGCATGTTCACACTATTCGGACTACATGAACATCGATGTGCTCCTTGTCCAAAACTATTGAAAACCCAGAGTTTTGCGGAAGAACGAAATAAGTTTTACGGTCACCATCACGAATTGGTTAGTCGATACAATGTGTGTTTGTCTCAACTTACTAGTGACATGTTTTCTTGGTCTTCAATCTTAGATGTAAATGAATAACAGCAACCAGCTTTTCCGTGAGTTGAAACTTCAGGACCGAAGTTTCAACTCTATTGAGGGAACCAATACCCCATAGTCCGGTTTCATCAGTGGTCGACTCATAAGTCGTTTCAAGGTAACGGTTTATTCATATTAACAACGACTTGGATGTGTTAATTTCGATATTCATTGTTAATCAAGTACTATAATTTTTCGAAACACTAGGGGTTTCTTCCCAAAGGAATAGTTTTGATTTACAAAGTTTTCCAACTTAATTAATGTTGCCTTCCAACTTTTTTTAATTAAGTGACTCTGCTGAGTCTTGTGCGTACCAAACATTGTACATTTAAAGATCAATGTTAGCAATAAGTTAGCAAAGGTACATGCATTAAGGCAGTTAGAGTCAAGGTCAACATGTTTTCGATCGAAATTTCAAATATGCATAAGCAAACCCTTTACATTTTGTACACCTTTTAGGTATCCAAACAAATAAATTGGCAGATACAACAGCTGATGCATCAATTCACTAATTCTCACATTACACCAGACGTTGCCCTTATTGTATAGAGTTGCGGTTTTTTCTGTCCTATTGCACCAATTACAAAACTGGATTGAGGCACGGTAAATCGGGCAATTGGGTTGTTTGTTGCCTGTTTTGTTCGATGAAAAGTTTGTACTAATTTTTTGTAAACAACTCACATTTCACTTTTCTATACACATTCCTGATTCTACTCTCCTCAACACAGACACATCTGCAAGTTGTGCACCTCCTACCATTGAATTGTTTTCATATTTGTTTCCTATTTTTACATCTGATATTTTCATATATTTAGATAGTCATCAAAGACAAATCTCCAATGTTGAAGAATTATTTTGTGAAGTATAGCCATTTGGAATTTCGATGCATTTAATAATGGACAATTTAACCATAATTGTCTTTCTGCTTTATCATTGTTTTTGAAGGTTAAGTTTATTTATTAAGAACATATACATATTTTTATTTATTCAAAAAAAAAAAAAATATTTTAACCAAACCTTCCAGATGCCTTAAAACATCAACTCACAATGCAGGCAACTATGAAAGGAAATGCAATCCTTGGAATATTGAATCAAAAAGAGTTGTTCTGTTATTTACCTAGCTTATAAAACCAAACTCAATTACAAAAACAGTTTGTTTTCAGTGCAAAAAATAACAGACTATCAAGATTTAAATGTTGATGGATTTTGTAAAGTATAATCATAACATACATCAAAACTGACAGTGGTGCTCGGTTTCACTTTTAACAATAGAAAAACAAAGGATATGGGGTATTCATTTATGACCCTAAATCAGTACAAATCAGTACATGTACAGCAAAATACACACAAAAAGCAAAGGAACAGCACTTGTATTGCTGTTCTTCACCTCAAAGTCACAGTGAGACCTTCAACACGGAGCAAAAAGAAAGAAAAAAAACTCTCATCTAACTGCAAGTTTAAGACGGCATCTTTGACCGGTTTGAGCGGAATTCTTTGCCGAATGATTTAGATAGACTTTGTAAGATGTAACACTACCAACTCTGGCCCGGTCAAAAAAGAACATACTGGAAAATAGCACAAAATTAAAACAAAATAGTTTCTACGCATATGTGTAAATATCAAACTATGTAGAATATATTTTGGTAATTAAAGTGTCAAATGAAAGGTGAAGGACTTGTGATCCTTGTAGAACATATATTGACTGATAATTTTGAATAATACAAAAATGTATGAAAGAAATTTTGAATTGAGGGCATACATTGACTGTTTTTCAGATATGAAGTACCTGGTCTGGTGTATCCAAAGTTCCGGTAACCAGTACGGTCTGATGTGTTAATAACGGTATATTAATCGATCCCCCCGATGAATGTTTTGAAGTGAAAAATTTAATGTGGATAGGATTGGGGGCTAAGAATAGTTGTGTGTCTTATTAAAAATTTAGTACACAAACTGGCCTAAAATTGAGATAATGACGTGGCTCACATAAGAGAAGTTATCTCAATCATTTATCAATCATGAAAAACCGTACATTGCATGTAGGTTTTTAAAACATCATTTATATATGCCAAAAAATTATACGTTGGATGTAAATTTCATTGCGAAAAGGGAAAACATATTACTCATGAACGAAATCTTCGTCGCATTACTGTTGTTTTTCTTAGGTTGTGGCCCGGTCAATATTGTTTTAGATAATGAATTTCGTCTGAATCAGTTTTTGAAATTGAAGATATTATAACTTTAAATGCAAAGAAATTAGCAGGTAAACAGACATATTTCTATAAACAAATTATTCTTGTGAAGTTGAACGAAGTAGACGAAATACGATTTATTTCGATATTGCAAGGACAAAATAAGCAAAGTGACATACAACTAATTTTGTTTTGCTTGTAATACTTTTCTTTGTTTCTTTTTTTTTTACTTCTTTTTTACAAATGTATATGAGTATTTGATTTGATTTTTACGCAAACTTATATACTGTTGAAACAAAGATCGTGTAATTATAATATAACAACTATTGTTTACAAGGAATATATAAATAATAACAATAAGGTCTTCATTAAGTTAGGGCTTTACTACTCTAAACTATTCTCTAAACTTAATCATAACCAATAACTAACCCATAACTAGCTCTAAAATTATCCCGAACCCTACATCAGATTCCTAATCTAACACAAACATTACCTTAACATAACCTTAAAAGTCAGTTCATTTTAATACAAACTTAAGGGAAATCGTTGAATGAGTTCCACGTAAACTCAAAAGTAAAATAACAAAAATACCGAACTCGAAGGGAAATTCAAAACGGAAAGTCCCTTGTCAAATGGCAAAATCAAAAGCTCAAACACATCAAACGAATGGGACACAATTGTCAATTATTACGTATTTTTTAGCTGTTGCAACAGACACTGAATGAGTTCAAATTAATCTCAGTTGTTATAATAACATATTGATTCCTGCTATGTGAGCTTTAGAAAATTCGCTCCAAAAGTGATCAAAGTAAAGCAAGTAAGCGATAATCTTATATGTAATGCCCTAGCATAACTTTTTATCTTCTCTATGAAATGTTGTTTAGCGCATGGTATGTCAAGTCTTTTGTGTATGTCTGTAACAAAGAAATTGTAATATTCGCAAATATTTGTAAACTATGTTTTATAGACATGTCACCTTGCAACTAGCCTACAAGTTTTGTCAGACATCCGTTTTGCGTTTCTGTAAGTAGATATCAACATTTCTTTTCCATGCATGAATATGCATGCGTGTTATGTTTGAAAATTTGACTTAATCGAAGGGATTTTAAATTGTATGGCTTACATTTATTTCTAATGAGGTTTAAACAAACAATAATTTATTTTAAAGGAAAATGAATGTAAAATAAAAGCATGAAAAGTATGCGTTTTCTTTTCCTTTTTGTTAGTATTTACTTAGAAATTTTAGTTGTTAGCATAAAACCACTTAAGGCGATTCAGATTCATCCTCTTTGAAATGTTATCGATGTTGATTTTGTCATTTTCGTTTAATTGAGCACTTAAAATACATATAGTGTAATATAATACAAACTTAAGGAGGCCTCTAAAAAATCGTAAAATTCCCATTTCAAATAACAAAACAAGGAAGATAGTCAACATGGTCAACTCTTCACTCTGATACCGGATGGAAGATAAGTTTCCTTAACGTAAACACGTAAAAATTAAGATGTGTTGATTTTATCATCCTTTGAAATATTTTATAGAAGGTAAGATAAATCTTAATTCTAATCACAAAAGAGCTTGTTAAAATCATTTTAAAGAGGTAGTAATTAACATGGAATCTTTTGATATGGATAATATATATATAAATATACATGTGATATATTAGATTAGATTTTTATTTTTTCAGTGAAACCAAATTATATGTCCACAAAATTTTTTCTTGTTCTTATATAAACTTTGTATCAGTGCTATTTACATGTATAATACTGTAGCATGGAGTGATGAAATTTTATATAGATAAGCTATATCAAAAAACAGTGTTCTTGTTTATCAATTTATGTTAAGAGGTTCTCAAAATACTGATAACTTGAACAACAATCCCGTACTAATTATAATTATAATATATATATATATATATATATATGTTACGTGACTGAATTTTTAGGCATTTTATAAAATATAAAATGACTAGAAATACCTAGTCATTTTGTAAAATGACTGAAATTTTTAAACAAATTTCAACAAACTGCCTGTTTAGTTTCAGGTAATTTGTTGAAAAAGGATATCATCGAGAAACATATGAACAAAAATACAAAATCCTGCAAATAAAATATCTAAGTTCATTCTTCAAATATAAGATGGGAAGGTTTGAATGTCTTTAATTAGTTCCTTTTAATGAAACAAGGTTAAGAGTATATGTACTCACTCTGTATTTCAGATAGTGATTAATATGATCTTCTTGTTATGTTGGCGGAAGGGCAAATTGTTCTTACAATATAACTAAATTTACTAACTAATTAAAAAACAATCTAGATTCAAAATAGAAGTGCGTAATATGAATCTCATAAAAAGGAGGATGTTTTTTGATTGACTGATTTTTGTTTGTTTGCGTTCAGTAGCAAATATTTCATACATATTTTGGATGAGAAAAAATTGTAAATAAATCAAAAAGGTAATTTATGCAAAAGATTGACCCGGATAAAGGACTGGCATTTCGACTGTCGCTTGAAATGAAGGTATGTTGGATACTGACAGAAATGTTGTATTACACCAGGCCACCTATAGAACGGTCAAAGAGTTCTTAACGTGGCGTTAGATTCAATGTCCCCATTCAGAAAGCATGCGCATTTCTACATCATGCACAGCCACTAAAGCATATGTTTATACAAAGCTGTGTTTGGTTGTGACGAAAAGAAATAATAATCTTCATCTTCACTGCCTTAAGGGAATTCTTGTGTCTATACAATCTGATGAATTAAGACAAAAGTAATATAACGATGTGAAAACCTCGGCAATCGATCACTGTAACTGTGAAGAAAAAATTGAGGGAATCGAGAGACCCGGTGAGTCATCAGTCTAAGCATCTCATTCTATGCATGTATCACCCACAGTGCTATGAGCTGCTTCAACCTGTTGAATGATCTGATAAGCCAAAGATGTAAGTCAACCTAATCACGCTAATATTACTTTGAATCTTTTGATAACAAAGTGTGTGCATGTTGTTTTTGAATCCCCTTGTTCTTCAAAAATTAAGTGTTTTATCAGAATAAGTATTAACAGAGCTGAATGTGTCATGGTCCGGATTTTACCAAATGTGGTTGTAGTGTTGTAGTATAAGACCAGATTTAACAAAGAATCAGAACAAATGAGTAACAGAACCTGCCATCTAAATATTTTATGAAATAAGAGATAAATGTCGAGTTCAGTGCTTATGGGAATTTTAAATAATTCTGTAGGATTTATTTTTTAATATTAAAACTCTTAAAATGCAAGAGTTAAAAGTAAGTAATTATCATAGATAAAGCTCAATATATTCTATAAAATAATTTCTGGCATTTTTATAAAATGCCTGAAAAAAATAGTCAATTTATAAAATGCCTGAATCTTACAGGTATTTTAGAAAATGACTAAGGTTTTCATGAATTTTACAAAATGTCTTATTAAAAAAAGGAAACATTAAATGTAAGTATCTATAAATATTTCGGATAACAGATATCCTTCATCAGTATGATTATGATCTAAAATAAATCATATCAATCTATTCTGATATAACTATAACAATCTTTAAATTTATACAATTAAAACCGATCAGCACTTGTACAATTCTAAAATTTCAATAATGACGTGGGTGAGGTATTTACCACAGAGACTGTATATATATGCTTATAACAAAAAAGTAATGTGCGATATGAACTGGTACATTTCTAAAATTTCAAAGGTGACGAAAGTTGAGTTATTACAACAAAGACTGCGTAGAAATACATTCCCAATGAATAGCACTGACCGATTTGAGCTGGTATAATACTCAAATTTCATATTTGACTAAGGTAACGTAATTACAACAGAGGCTGCGTATTTACACATCCCAAATAAATAGCAGTTTGATAATTTCTAAAATTTCTAATTTTGACAAAGGTTATATAATATAACCGTGGCTGCGTATTCATACATCCCAAATGAATAGCACCCTGAGACTTAAACTGGTATAATTCTAGAATTTCAGTTGACAAAGGTAAAGGAATAGCGACAGAGACTGCGTAGTAATATGTTATATAACCCAAATAAAAAGCACTGCGCGAATCGGAACTACACCTTTTCATTGATCCTATTTGGTGCCAAAGTTTTTAATTTTCTTATCCAAAATCTATCCCGAGTAAGTCTATCCTTCCTAGACCAAGCAGTGTTGTGGTCTATGATTGTTATCATGATCAATGAAAAGGTGTAGTTCTAATTCGCGCAGTGCTTTTTATTTGGGTTATACTACATATACAGAAAGCTGAGGGGATAAGGCGTCTGCCCAATGCTAGGCGGTGTTGTCGTAGAAGTTAGAAGTGAAAAGTACAGGTTCCAGCCCCGCTCGAGGATGAAGTAAAGAATCAGATCTACTCTAACATCGTTAGGTTGATTTTGATATATATATATCAATTTACAGTGATTGTATGCTTCTAAAAATAGAATAGCATCCTGTAATTATACTGAAGAGATAAGTAGAGGATCATTTCTGTACTTCGTATATTGTGTCAGATGTCCTTGTTTAATTCCTACGAGAAGGTAACACCTCCCGAAACGAAAGCTGATTTTTATCAGCTATAGTTAGAGGAGGAGATAAGGCGTCTGCGCAATGCTAGGCGGTGTTGTCGTAGAAGGGAAAAGTGAAAAATACAGGTTCCATCCCCGCTCGGGGAGGAAGTAAAGAATCAGATCTACTCTAACATCGTTAGGTTGATTTTCTATGCACTTTATATATATATATATATATATATATATATATATATACACACAACTCGTCTGAACATCAGCCCAACAATGTTAGATCTGTAAATTTGCTTTCGCAAATGTTTTGTTCTTCCCTCGCCGGGAAGAACAAAACATTTGCGAAAGCAAATTTACAGATCTAACATTGTTGGGCTGATGTTTAGACGAGTTGTATATACAGAATGTACACAGCCATGTATCACCATCACTGCTGGTGATCCGATGGATAAATCTGTTGTAGAGTTGTCACTGGTTCAGACGTACTTATATATATATATATATATATATATATATATATATATATATACTGTACATTTAAATCAAGTTTCCAACTGGTCATTGAAAGTTGTTTTTATAATAAACTATTGATTAAAATTCATCATTTAAAAGACACACAAATATGCTTTGGACTAACTATCATCAATCATCATATATACATGTACCATGTGTACCTACTGATATATATTTTGTTTTGAATTAATTCAATAACCATCTTTTGAAATAACATAAACGATACTGTTTTTATGCACCATATGCGCATATCGACAATCAATGTCTTTTCAGTAATACTCGAGACGGAAACATTTGAAAATCGAAAACTAATTTAAAAACGTTTGAAGAGCTGATCACAAATGAACATAAAGTATAGCAAATCCGGGAAGGGAGTCAGATAATATTTTAGTCAATTTAACCGAAAATGTTCAACTAATTCTAATTACAAGACTCAAGAACGATCCCTATTGTTTTCGCTCCTTTTCAAAAGATTTTTTTTCTTCTGTAGGTTAACCTACAGCATTCAACAATAGACAGGTCCTACACAATGGTTGCGAGTCTGTAATATTTTCGAATTAACAGAAGAACATGACCCCCAATTCATCAATAAAAAAACGAAAAATAATATGAACAAGCTTTATTCAGCATACTTCAAGTAAACACACTACGGTACTTGATTTAATATAGTGTGCTCACAACAAATAAAGGTGTTTCAAAAAATGTAAGATTCTTTCAATTTTGATAATTTATTTCAAGTAAATAAAATATTTGCGCAATATGACTTTGAAATATAAAAGGTAAAGCACAATTTTAGTATTTATTTTAAAAAAGGCAATAAGTTTTAACTATGATTTAATAAAATCTCCCATAAAGTATGTCATTCAAAAAAAATTCCTGTTAAAAATATATTACAATTATTATGGAGTGGTATTCCATATAAAGATATGTTTTTCAGTAAAGTACTAGATTATCTGCCATTTGTTTATGTAGTGGTGGCTGAAACGTTGGTTCTTGGTAAATGTGTCTTTATGCATTTTTACTATGTAATAAAACAAAGATTGTCTTAAGTTTGTAGTCTGATATAAGTATCCAAATAGATTATTGATTAGGGTTTTCATATGTTTATGTACGTGTGTAAGTATCTGTTTCCTTACTTTCAATATACTTATTTAGTGTTTATTTTGTTTTTTCTGCTAATTATAGAATTCCCTTCAGTTACTTGTTTTTGCTTTCCTACATTAAATATTATTACAAACGTGTTCGTGCATTTTTCATTGTTATTCAATGCAAAATAATTATCTAAGATACCTGGGACGATCTCATTTCATAAAGAATCTCTTTTGTTTACGTATTGTACCTCAAACTTATTAACCCGGTGTAGGTCTTTAAGTTGAGGTTCAATTTACTGAAAGTTAATCGAGCATGACTAATTAGACACGCCCTCTTAGAATCAGGGGGTCCAACATAGGATCGGGAAAAACCAGCCAGCGAAATACCATAATTTACAATTTCAGAGAATCCAAGAGCTTTTGGTTGATTATCTCCGATCAATAATCAGACGATATTTGAGTGGAAATACAAAACTGTCCGAAACCCGGAAATGTTTATTTAGTTATTTAATATTTTCTATCGAATTATTGTTCATTTTACTTTTTATTCATGCTATGTTGTTTTTTTTTTTTTTTTTTTTTTTTTTTTTTGTCACTCAATTATATCAATTACCTTAAGTTAAAAATAAATTATTAAATGCCCAAAAAGGCGCAAGCCAGGGCCGATCTTGCAAGAACCTCATGGGTAATCAAGGGCGTTAAGAGCTTAACTTACGATTTTGATCATGGTTAATTTTTATTCTAGTACGTTATACGTTTTACCTCTGCCAACGCTCTATCTTATTAAAGTAAAATTGAGAATGGAAATGGGGAATATGTCAAAGAGACAACAACCCGACCAAAGAGCAGACAACAGCCGAAGGCCACCAATGGGTCTTCAACGCAGCGAGAAAATCCCGCACCCGGAGGTGGTCCTCAGCTGGCCCCTAAATAAAATTGTGTACTAGTTCAGTGAAAATGGACGTCACACTAAACTCCCAAACATATAAATGAACTATAATGAAAAAACATACAAGACTAACAAAGGACAGAGGTTCCTGACTAGGGACAGGCGCAAACATGTGGCGGGGTTAAACATGTTTAGTGAGATTTCAACCCTCCCCCTATACCTCTAGCCAATGTAGAATAAAGAAACACATAGCAATACGCACAGTAAAATTCAGTTCAAAAGAAGTCCGAGTTCGATGTCAGAATAGGTAACAAAAGAAACTAAGCAAAATGACAATGATACATAAATGAACAAAGGACTACAAGCAGTTATTGACATGCCAGCTCCAGACCTCAATTAAACTGATTAAAAAATTATGTCTTCATCATATGAAAATCAAGTACAATCCCTCCCGTAAGGGGTTTAGTATTATACCATCATAAAATATATGAGAAGAACATAACCCGTATCATGCCAATAACTGGTTTTAGAATAAATGTGTTTATTTCCGATGCAAAGACCCTATGAGTGAATCAATATTAATACCAAAATATGCAATCCTTAATGACTTGACAACAGTATCGTAACTAAATCCTTTCCGAATAAGTCTGTTTAAAGGTTTGGTTAGCTTTTGAGTTAAATGCCGACATTTTTGTGTATTGTAAAGAATATTACCATGAAATATTGGATGTGAAATACCCGGACTTATAAGATGTCTGCATGTTGATTTATATTTACGAATGATGTCCTTGTACCGATGATAAAATTTAGTAAATGTTTTGACTAGTTTATGATATCGAAAACCCTGGTGTAATAATTTTTCAGTAATACAGAGATTTCTTTCGTTGAAATCAAATACATTGTTACATACACGAGTGAATCGAACAAGCTGAGATATATAAAACACCATAAGATGGTGACAAAGGAACGTCACCATCTAAAAATGGATAATTAACAATAGGTAATGAAAAATCATTTCTTTTATCATAAATTTTGGTATTAAGCTTCCCGTTAAAGATATAGATATCACAATTCAGGAAAGGGCAGTGTTCATTGTTAGTATTAGATTTATTTAAAGTCAGTTCGGCAGGATAAATCTCTTTAGTGTACATACTGAAGTCGTCATTATTGAGAGCAAATATATTAGCATCTAAATATCTAAAAGTGTTATTAAATTTTTGAATCAGATGTTGTTCCGATGGGTCTATGCTGATTTTAGTCATAAATTGTAACTCGTAACAATACAGAAACAGGTCCGCAATAAGAGGTGCACAGTTAGTCCCAATGGGAATTCCGATAACCTGACGATATACGTAATCTCCATAGAGAAAAAAAAAGTGTCGCTCTAAAATTGTTATCATTTGCTTCAGGTCGATTCACTTTGCATCTCGTCGTGAATATGCATGACATATTTGCCACTGGGCATTAAGGGAGCTATCCATTAATCAGCTTCATTTAGTGATGTATTATCATTATTCTTCAGTTGATAATTGTCTCAAATTATTTTCCAATTTTTATATATTTGATTTTTATTTATATTTGATTGTAAGTGTAAATTTTATCATTTCTCTCCTCATTTTTCTCTTTGCATTTTTTGTTTTCTAACATTAAATAACATAATTGATAATGTCCATATCAGGGGTTACATTGTATCCTATCCAGCCAAACTAGGAGGAAGGGAGTAGAACAAAAAATATTCTTCATTGAGTGGCAGTAACTCATATCTTGTAGCGTGCAACGACGGCAGTACTGAATACTTTTTTTTAATATTTCTTTACTATGGTTCTGTTTATTACGATATATTTGGTCACGTGTTTCCCAATATATCTTTTGTATTTTTTCACTATTGTGACATATTGACTCGACGTTCCTTTTTTTTAAATGATGTTGACTCCCAAAAAATAGGAACATCGAGTCAATACATGTATCATTTTCAAACTTACACTATTTACATATATGTAATATATAAATTAAGAACTTTCACTCAGTCAATACGTTATATATGGACCTGTTAGATTATATTGAATCTCAGACATCGTACTCGGTCAATATAATCTGACCAAGTCCATATATAACGTATCGACCTCGTCAAAAGCCAATAATTGATAATTATAGTATATGATTATGTCAGGTGATTATAAAACTAAGCAAGGTAAAAGTTTTTTTTTCCAGAGTGTTTATGCTTCATTAAGACGTGAAAGGGAATGATGGACGACTAAAAAAAGTGTTTGTTTTCATATAATAGATTGTATTGCAATTTAAGAATGATGATCAACCTTGCGAAAATATCTCATCTATACACGTTTTGATCGAGCCTCTCAAGCCTACATAACTTGATGCTAAAGATGTTACATTTAGGCTATTTAATACGATTTTGTTTCATTGAAGTTTACAGACATAGTTTTTTTATCAAAAAAAAAAACCCAAACAAAACAAAATTTATTAATTAATTGGACTGAACAGACTAAACAAATTATTTTTCATTTGCATATAACGTAGAGTAGGAAAATAACAGAATCAAAACCAAAATGAACATTACCTGAATATTGTGAAGGACCTTATGCATCTAGGTCTGTTCGAGTATGAGTTTTGAAACAAGCTATTTAAATAACTAATTGTTGGAAGAGTTTATTTACTGTTTTCATATGGTCTAGTCTTAACGAATCTATTTCATGATTACTGACAGATTAAAAACATCAAATATATGTAACAAGAAGTTTTTGTACAGAACATTCATTGGTCAGTTACAAATGAGGCATGTATAGGGTTTCGATTTACTCATTTATAAGAATAAAATCGTTATTTTAAAAAGTTGGAATTCAAAAATATAAATTAACCCCTTAATTTTATAAAACTACCCTATGGTAGTATTTTGTTGACAAAAAATTTCTAATAAAAAAAAAATAACATAATGATGTACTGCCATTTAATCGGTCCGTTTCCAATGCAATTTGGTAACTGTTACTTGTATATATCAGTCTGAGTACTGTTTAACTATTATTTAAGTTGAATATTATTTAAGTCTCACAAAAAGGGCTGTTCAAATCCCCTCGCCCTTCTGGTTCGGGGATCTCAACATCCCTTTTTGTTCGAAGATCTTTTAATGTCAATATTAACTTATCATTGAATTTTTACTATTACTGAATATAATAAACACGACTTTTCACTTCCATTGTATGCAAGTTGTGTCCATATCACCTCCCTTGCATATAATCTATAACTTTTCTATTCTTAATATTTTAGCGCAGATCAATCTAATATGATACTAGTTTTGATACTTCACACAACTGTTGTGTTGACAGTTACAGCACAAAGTAAGTCAGTCAATGTTTGTTAACTTATAAGTATCAATAATATTTTTTAAAAGATATTTGAATGGCCCCAACAGTTCCACATAATAAAAGTTTTCTTCCGATTGACTACTTTGGATATTAAATGTCAAATAATTATATATAACTAGAAAGATTTCATCGTATATATTTCACCAAACTTGTATGTTAACAGTAGCGCACATCGAGCGTAATTAAATGGTTTAAAGACATTTTAAATGCTTTCGCATTTTCATAAAGTTCAAGATTCTTCTGATTGAGTACTTACAATATTGACTTATGACCATTTAAATCGGTAATTGAATATAAAATTTTGAATTCCTAACTTAAGATAATATGAATTGCGATTTGTTTGGTGTTTACTTCTGGGCTATAGTAAAGAAAATGACGTTCTGTTATAAAAAAAGATATTAATAAAAAATATCGAACTCCAAGGTAAATTTCAAAAAGGAGGAAGTCAATAAAACCTGATAAATTGAACTATTTTAAGGTGGTACCCAACACCTTGACTAATATTAATTTTGCTCGTTTAATTTTCATAAAATTTTGACAAAATGTTTACTTTGACCCTTTGACAAAAATCTTAAAATTTCAAAAAATTTGAACCAACCACTTTATCAGAAAAATTTCATTGGTTATATAGCAGTTTGACAAACACTAATTTTGATCATTGAGAAGCTTAATATTTCCTTTACAATACAACGTTATTAAAACGTTTAGCTGATTTTTACAGAGTTATCTCCCTGTAGTGTTAGGTACCACCTTAATGAAAAACAACTGTCATATTCCTGACATGATACAGACATTTCCCGAAGACAATTCACTTCCATTATCAGGAAACTGTGTAATGTTTGATAATTCGAGATTTTAAATTGAAATTATTTTTTTCTTTAATTTTAATAAATTAACTAATTAACCAAAGTATGTATAAAATGTAACTAATTTTGCACAACAACATTTACAGTCAATATTTTTGGGGAGTTTTTTTATTACAAAAACTTCATGGACCCTATTGAGAACAGATTTCTAGTCACATGTGAAGACGAAATGGTTCCCATTTAGATCTACAAAGCAGAAGTATAGAATACAACAAATATTTTAGACCAATGAATTTTTAACAGTTTTGTATGCATTTGTTTCAAGTACCTCTTGTAGTTTTCTAATCAAACAATTGTACAACAACATAATGTCCAATAAATACTATGAACATTTATTTGTTCTCTATAGATATAAGGTTTGCATTCTAAAATGTTTTGAACCGCCTCTGTAGTCTCATGACTTACCTCGATTTTTGTTAGTTTACATTAATTTAACAACAACAACATACAAGAAGTAAAAATGTCGAAAGTCATTATTCAAAAGTTGCTTCATTTATGAGTTTCAATACGCACGCGTGCACCTTAGTAAGATAGATTTAGTAGAATTCAAAGTTTGATTTCAAAAAGGGAGATTTGTCGAGGGCAATCTGATAAAATTATATTTAGAATATAGCAAAGTGCTCTCGACCAATGCAAGTGTAGAATTTGGTGTTTCTTAATTGTGAAGAATGAGTGTACATCATGTTCTTAGTAAGAGATTATCCTTTTGTTTAGGCCTATTTACAGTTCAAAACAAAGAATTTCTATGAATGAGCTACAACTGCCCGAAGCACATTTATTAGGATTATTAATTAAAAGTTGAATTTTGAAACAAAACAACAACAAAAATCAAAATAAGTTTGAAGTTTACTTGTGCAGTACAATTGATACCGTTTGTGTTATTATGTGAATATTTAGAACTTCCAAATTACAAAAATAAGCAATATCAAAGCAATGCTAAAGAGAAGAAAAAGAAGAAAAAAACCTTTTACGATTAAATAAATTGAATTAACTTTTGAATTTCCTATAAAAAGCATTTTCTTTGAACATTTAAATTTTAGTTAATTAAGTAGTATTTGATAAAAAGAGCTGGAATAAAATTGGCTGTGGAATACAATTTGATTTAGAATTTAATAAATTGAACTGTAAATAAACAAAAAGATAATTCCTCACTAAAATATTACATAATTTACACTCATACTCACACTTAAGAAACTTATACAATTTCTACCATTTCATTGTAACGATGTGTCATCTAATGTCGAAAACACATTAAAATTTCCCAAATTAAAAGTTTGTCCTTACATCACTAAGACAAATACATAAATGAAATGCCTAAAAGGGAAGTCATCCGTTAATTATGAACATTACACTAACAATGAAACAAATTCTTGATTCAAACCAATCAAGAAATCATTTAAGCCTTGAGCACTTTACAATATACAATATAAGTTTATAAGAGAATGATAATCCCTTTCATCATGATAAGTACTCGCTAACGCTCGTACTTTATCATGAAGAAAGGGATTATCATTCTCTTACATATACATCGAAAGCCTGACAACAATATATTAAGTCTAGGTTAGTCTATGAAAAGGTATATACTATGAAATTAATTAGAGCGAGGGGCTTGCCCCGAGCTCTTTATTTCACCGTATATACCTTTTCATAGACTATCCAATTTAGCACATATTTACAACTCGAATAATCTTTTAATTGGTCTATTGATAGTTTATTTTGGCTGACTACTTGATCACAGGTATTTGTAAAACGGAGCTCATTAACGAATTTTTGTAAATCTACTCACTAGTATCATTGTAAAATATGTGATTTCAAAATGCCCTTGACTCCAGAATGAAAAGATGGAAGCTGCTGGTGTAAGTATGTATATTGATAAAAAGCGGTGTACGTGGTAAGATGACCAAATAAATTGACCAAAAGCAGGCAATTATTTAATTGCAGTGGAAGCTTCACAAGTTTGGAAACAATTTTATATTTCACAGTAAAACTAAAGCTATAATAAATTTGAAACATATAGATAGTTTGTCCCCATAGATATAGTCTAGTAGATAGGCATTAAAAAACAACTACCAATAGATCAGAGATTATAGGTTTTGTGTTTTTTTTTTTTTTTATTATTATTATTTCAAAGTAAAAACTAAAAGATTTATCAGAATATAAAATTGAGAATGGAAATGGGGAATATGTCAAAGAGACAACAACCCGACCAAAGAGCAGATAACAGCCGAAGGCCACCAATGGGTCTTCAACGCAGCAAGAAAATCTCGCACCCGGAGGTGGTCCTCAACTGGCACCTAAATAAAATTGTATACTGGTTCAGTGAAAATGGACGCCACACTAAACTCCAAAACATATAAGGGAACTAAAATTAAAAAAAACATACTTGGGACAGGCGCAAAAATGCGGCGGGGTTAAACATGTTTTGTGAGATCTCAACCCTCCCCCTGTTTATATATATATATATATATAGGTGGCACATTACCTTCAGACATAATCACAGTTTTTCAATTCATGACATCGTCCTGAACATGCATGAAATATTTGCCACTGGACATAAGGCAACCAATAATCAATAAATCAATCAATTCATGACGAAATAGATCAGCTTCCTTAAGAAAGTTTAAAAAATTATCACCAAGTTGCTTTAATTTCCCTTCACAAGGTTTCATAGTACACACTTTTTTGTGTACAAAGTAATTGCATGGATGATACATTATCATCATTTTAAGATATCGTTGTACTCTAATCAAGGTATAAAGAACCATATGTATTACCCTTTATTCAAATGAAAGAAATTTGTAATTGTCAAAAACATTTTTTAGATCCATGGAAAGATTTTAATAGCAAGATTTTTAAAATCAACGTGAAAAATAATTACAAACTATTTAATTTAATTTCGAACACAGCATTTTATTTCGAAATAAACAGTGGCAATTTTTGTTTTAAATATCTTGATTACGATACAATGAAATCTTACCCTTGTGGTCATTCATGCGTATTCACTTAGTACACGGGAAAAGTATGTACTATGAAAATTAGAAGGCAAATTCAAGCAATTTGATTGGACGAGAAGTTGTAAGTATGTGCTAAACATGTTAAAAAGGGGAAGAATATATCAACAACAGCTCACCAGAACAATGTTCAAGGTTGATAAACACAAACCCAATCGATAACCCAGGGATTAATCATTTGATCCAGTTTTCAGCATTTTCTGCCGCACTATGCACCCATAGCGTTAGTGTTGTGCGGATTGTCATATGCGTATCGTCCAATCGTAACACATAAATGTGAAGCGTAAGCAAATTTACCCCTTTTAGTTTCAGTAGTATCCTAAACTAAAGTTCATATGGATATTTGCGATACAAGCAAATGTTCGTTATTGAACTATCAATATTCTAAATGTGGAATTATAGAGCTTTTAAAGATGCTTATTGTTTCTTTAAGTAGGCTAAGGTGTAAATTAAAATGAAAAAAATACATGTTTTTGAACATATTGAAAATGAAGGTATTGTTTTGTTTCTTAGATATATCGAGAAATCCTGTTTCCATATTAAACATATTTTATGTGTTAAGCGAGATTTTGTAATTAACCAGTTTTGTATTTAACGAGTACACCAATATCTGAGAATACCATGCCAACAAAAACGATCAAAACACAACATATTTGATCATATGATGAACATAATGCAAATGTTAGTTGTAATTGGCTTTGAACTAGCTGTCAATTGCCATTGTTGAAGGCTGTACGGTTGCCTATAATTGCTTATGTCTACTTCATTTTAACTATGGTTGATAATTGTCTCATTGTTAATCATACCACATCTCCTGATTTTTAAAAAGAAAACTAAAGACTGAGCAAAACGAACCCAACCAAAACCCGGGTGTTATCTCAGGTGCTCCGTAAGGGTAAGCAGATCCTGCTTCACGTATAGCATCCGTCGTGTTGCACAGACCCGGTAGAAAGTCTCATTCAGTAGGACACATTCGAGTAGAACAGGACGGGATTGTGGTCAAAGACAAATAGACGTTGAATATTAATAATATTAAGTCTACATATTATATTTGAAGCAAATGTACCGGTAAAAAGACAAACAAGATATTAACTTAAAATGTAGCTTATTTTCAATATAGATACAAATAGAAATTATGATGAATATTTTTTAGACTTTGGACCAAAATACCTACCTTAGATTTTATGGCACTCGAATTAGTGATATCATTTTCGCTGGGCACATTTTTGTCGGATAACTAATTTATATCATTGGACTTTTGTCTGGGCGATATTATATTCGAGGTGCTTATTTATTAATTTATTTTCAATAATCTGTATTTAAAAGCAAAACCTTGAGACAACAGTTGAACAATACTTTGAACAATGGATATAACATCATCAAATAGTCGGTTCACTTTTGCTAACCTTCTGCAGGAATAACATTTCTCCTGTTCGAAAATGAAGGTATCAATGTTGATTTAAATGATACATGTTTTCCTTGAAATATCATTGTAATAAGTCCAGAGTAAGACTTCATTATCTGCGATTTATATGAAATATTTATCTGTTATGAGGCAGAAGAAAACTAAATTCGAAATGTCGTCCAATAACTAGTCATGACATAAACTCAAAAAAACTATATATGTATAGAATATGGAGTTTTCTGCATATCAATGTTCTGACATATCAGCCATATGTCATAATTTGAACCTTTTTGGCGAATGAGCGCGGCAAAAACAGAAACATTCCAAATTGCGTCAAACAGCTGACATGTTACGATATCTATAAGTACAAACCCCAATAATCTGTTTATCATTCTTTTCCTCTCCTTAAAGGGGCATTAGCTGCCAAATTCATGTTCACCAATTTGACTCAAATTCTCATATTTGATTTATAACATACTAAAACGTATATCCAAATTACAATAAGTCTGAAATAAACAATTAGCAATGCATGGACTCGATAATATATGTCAGCATTCCGTGTGTTTTTTAGTCTAGACGTCATCTAATTAACCATCGAGATATCAACATAAACATAGATATAAATAGATAGCGACCTCGTGCAATTGGACTTTTCTAGGTCTGTTTGATTTCATGCTATAGGTTAAAAAATAAGTAACTTCGTTAATCATCTTTTTTACCTGTATAAGACTGATATTTTGTGGATCGAATCAGTCAACGAAATTGTTTACCTTTGTTTCATTTTCAATGTTGACATTCTTTTCCTTTTAATGGCTGAACACGTACAACTCACTTGCAAGTGAAAAATTCATCAGCGATGTTTCTTAGCTTATTTTTACAAAATTTAACTAAACTGGCTGCTAAAAGCGAATTATTATTTCACTTTCATTAATGCTTGAACAAAAAAAATCATGTCTTAATTTTTTTTATATCTCGTAGCTAAGGCCATTTTAAGAAAGATTTATGCTTGACGAAAATAAGCTTGAATAAGTCTCCTCAGACATTGTGACGTCGCTGATAATGCCTGCGTACGTCTCAAATCCGTAACACATGAGTTGAGGAGCGACTGACCAGTTGATATATGCTGATGGAAGGATGATAAACCTTAATACCAACCACTGTGATACACATATATTGAACGACTGTAGATGCATGTAGCTGGATATGCCCACGTCAGGAGAGAAATTGTCATCATCATTGAACCAAATACCTCTATAAAAAATGAACTGGCTTCGAATTAGTTTTAACTTACTTCATGCACAGTTTTCTATTTTTCTATTAGTGGATAGTTGTCTCATTGGCAATCATACCATATCTCCTTATTTTTATATAACCTCATTTTTATATATTATATCTACAAGAAACATCCATATATTTGTACGCTTTTAAAATCATGTGTTGGTTTTTATCAGAGAACCTTGCAAGATATGGCGAATATGGCAAAGCTACACAAATTTCCCTGTATCAAGAGGAAGGTAAACCTGAAAATGCTGTTCAACTGCCAATATCAAATAGTTTTACTTTGCAAAATTGTTCACACACAGACCCGACTACGGAACCTGCTTGGTGGATGTTTGAATTTTCTTTTGGTACCGCCTACATCACAGATATAACAATATACTACAGAGAAAACTGTAAGAATACACAATACAATCAACATAATTATGTAAAATACTTATAGGTTATCGATGGTTTTTTAAACCAGAGGGTGTTTCGCAGCTACAATCTCATCGAAGGGCGACAAGCCTAAGATGAGATGTGGCCGAGAAACATCCTTGAATTTAAAAGATCAATGGTAATCTGTTTATCGCTATTTTGCCTATGAAATCGTTGATGTTTACATTGACAGCGGCACGTGTGCCCTTAGGTTCTGACGATAATTTTCTATATCAAGCGAGTAGCATGATATGAAAAATAATCATAAAAAAAAGATCAAAGGAAAATTTCACTAAATAGCGATAAATATGTTTTATTATCATTTCTATTACACCACAATCTTCTATTATCATAGTTAAATCAGTAAGCACTGAAATTACAACAGCTATTTTGACAAAACTCTTAAACATCATTTCTGTTTAAAACAACTATTGGAATATCTCAGGCAATGACGAATAAATGCGTGTAACAGTCGTTATAAGCCTGGTATCTTTGATGACTCTGATAACATTCTTGTAGTTAACTGATGGAAACATGTCTCTGTAGAAGCACGTTAAAAAATATACCGGGCTTACAATAGTATAAATATCAGAATCATGTTTCGTCTGCATACAAATGATCAGTGACGCTCAAATTGAAATGGTTGGAAGGCTTAATTAAATATGAAAAAAAATTACAAGAGGTGCCTCCACTTTTTCATTTGGATAATCTTGGCTAGTTTAACAAAAAACAATGCTTTGGGAATGTGAATTTTTTTTTTTAAATCTAATTTTATTTTTGTTGGTAGTAAAAACAAAAATAACACTTTATAAACTTGAAGCGTAGGTAAAGTATTTTCTTTTCAATTTTTTCAGCTGTCACTTTAATCGCCATCATTACAAGTAAATTGTGTACCTGACTGTGGCACCACTTAATTATATCGTCATTCTGAAATCTATGCTTTTTAAAAGCGTGTCACAAAGGGCAACCTCACAAGGTATCCGTCTTTTGTCTTTAGGAACTTTTAACAATTTCAATTTTTTTTCCGAAACACTTCACCAATTTGAATAAACTTTCAGTGAATTATGTACAATGTATGTACGGTTAACTGCAAACGACGTTTATTTGATTTCGATCAGAAAACACATTACTTCCATTTGCAATATAGATCAAATAATTTTTTAATCTTCTCCTCTTGCACTTAGGAGGAAATATTATACCATTACGGAATGGTTCCTCCCTCAGGCAAAATGAACTCAAAATAATTTCGCTATTTTCTTTTATGTCAATTTTTAGTCATATTGTTTATAACGACTTTTAGTATTTGCACAGTCCTGGCATTCAACTGTTTATCGTTCCTGGTAAAGGTATATCCATAAAAGGGCTTCGGATGAACGAAATGTATATAGTGTTTTTTTTTATATTTCATATACATAGAGGACCCTTTTCAGTCAAAACACAACGTACTGGCACTAGAACTGGTATCAATTAAACTCTAGGGCAGGGGATTCATTGTTTGTATAAAGCTTGTCCAATTTTGATTAAACTTGTCAAGGTCCTTTAAATAATTATCCCTGTTTTAGACAGATCGGATGAATCATTATTTTTAATTCCAATTACGTGGAAATTAAAGCAATATGACAATTGTCACACAAAGTTGTCTTCAAAACCAAAAGGAAATTATCTTAAAACGCCTTTTCTACCATGCCCATATTGAAATGTAGATGTCTAGCTATGTTTTTAAGTTCACATGATAAATAATTACCATTTATCAATTTTGACCACCTTGCAGATATTGGTCTGACGTCTAATTTGTGTGTGTAATCAGTTAATTCAGATATCACATTGGTTATGTATCTTTCAGCTGATAATTAAACGTACAACTCTGTCAAAGTACTAAGGGTTTTCAACGCTCGACATCAATGGTTTTAGCCAGAATTTGGCCCAATTTTTTTATCGTCTATTTTCAATTCTTTGCAAATTCGTGTTTGACTTGGCTTCTAACATGTCTAAAATGTTATGATTTAAGAACCAATGATGAGTCGTATTAATCTCGTATTAAATTGTAATACTGATAACTTTGATTAGGTTTTGTGACTGAATAATAGCAATTTAATATTATCAGTACCATAAGCATAATACCAAGTAGTTTGAAAGGGTTAGATATTCACCTCTCGCTACATGTATATTATTAATGTTACAGTTACTGTTCATTTATACTTTTGAAAAAAAATACAAATAAGCTGACCAGTGTTCTACGCGATATGCGAACATGATTGAAATTGCTAAATTTGGATTACACAGATATTTACCCATATAAGTGTAAAATGCTTGAAAAACATAGAGAAATGTTAGCTGTTTATATTATTCACTACAACCAGCTAGATGCCTGCCTACAGGGAAAACGTATCCAATGTCTAAATCGGTATTCACCTTAGCTTGGACTTGGATCCAATATGATAGATAAAGGCTTTAACTAGTTTCTTGATATACTCTCTAATTATTTGTTTTGAAAACAATCATGACAAAAAAAATTTAATTACAGATGATGATCGGATGGATGGATTTGAATTATATTTAAGCAATACATCAATTATTCCACCTGAAGGACCAGAAGGGTATCTCTGTTATGAAGATCCTGATCCAGGTCTCCCAAACATCACTCAAACGATTCCTTGTAATCACCTCGGACAATATGTCATTTATTACGATAGAAAAGGTTCTTTAACAGGAAATGAAAGCTATAATATCATTGAGTTATGTTATGTTGCCATAAATGGTGAGTTTTGTTTTAGGGTACATGTATATATGTCTAAAATTACTTCCCTGTTTCTTTGTGTTTACCTTTAGTCTTCTCCCGCTGATTTAGCTCTGGTATATTTCCTGTAAATTTTATATTAAAAATACTTTGACGTCGTGCATTACTGAAGGCAAATAATTATCAAAATTTGCATCTGTTGAATACTTTTTACATTTTAAACAAACACATGATGAATTAAATAAATGTAATGTAACCATCAATTGGGTCTCTCTCAGTGTTTTAAAAAGAGGCAGCAGATGCAAACCGCTGTTTCAAATTATTCATTATCAACAGAATATTCGAATGTATAACCGTGCTATGACGTCCATTATCACTGAACTAGTATACATATTTGTTTAGGGGCCAGCTGAAGGACGCCTCCGGGTGCGAGAGTTTCTCGCTGCATTGAAGACCCATTGGTGGCCTTCGGCTGTTGTCTGCTCTATGGTCGGGTTGTTGTCTCTTTGACACATTCCCCATTTCCATTCTCAATTTTAATTGTACTCATTTATAGCCCGACGTTAATGTATATTTATTTATTTATCTTTTTTTTTTTTTATCTATTTATTTACTTATTTATTTATTTATTTGTTTGTTTATTTATTCTATTTATCTATGCATTTATTTATTTATTTATTTATTTATTTATTCTATTTATCTATATATTTTTCTATCTATCTATCTATCTATCTCTCAATCTATTTTATTTATTTTATTCTATCTTATTCATTTATTTATTTATTTATTTGTTTATTATCTACTTACTTATTTATTCACCTTTTCACAATTGGTAATTGGTTTTGATGGCAAATTTTCAAAGATTCGTTTTAACTAATTATATCTAAAGGTTGATTAAGGACTATACACTTGTCAAGTATTGTGCGATTTGTGTGCTGTCCCAAATACTTTTGCACAGAACTTCTTTTTTATATTCATTTCAATATAACTTTCCCAGGTACCTAATATTGAGCTTGTAATTCACTGCGTAAAATACAAACAGAGAACAGAAATATTAGTTCAAAAGTCCATATAGAACCTGCTCATCAGAGCGCTTGGAGCATAAGATTTCAGACTGGTCCAACAAATTGAATATATAAAGGAATTTGGACATATTCTTCTGAAAAAAATGACAACAATCTACATCTACGAAATAATAAATAATTAGAATGAGCATACAATTCAAACTTGACGTTATTTCAAAACCAGGCACGGTTTTTGGATAAAAACATTACAAATCTTTTAAAAGATTGGCGTATAATTTGTAGCGTTACACGCGCTCATTAGTGGTACTCAAATGAAAATAAAAGTGAAAGGTCAAACCAAACACGAAGTTGAAGAACATTTCAAACCAAAACTTCCTTATCGTTTTGTCATAAACGTACGAATTCGTGTAAACAAAAATAAATTATATAATACATCATGGAACTTTACATCTTATATTTTTAAATTGTATTACTTATTCAAAGCTTTATTTATTTGGTTATAGGTTGTCAAAAGAAATTTTGGGGGAGTAACTGCGAGTTCTCTTGTGCAGAAAATTGTATAGACCAACATTGCTTCCCTGAAAACGGTTCCTGCATTTTGGGATGTAGTGAAAAGAACTGTTTGAAAGACATTTGCGATTTCGATTCAGCAGTTTGTCTCGAAGGGTGTAAAGATGGACGGACGGGACCCTTTTGTAACAAATGTGAGTAATTATTTATACGTATTTTCAGTGGTACAATAGTCCTTAATGCAGTTGTCAATCTACATAGAGTAAAATAAAAATTAGAAAAAAAACTATTTATTAAAACAAACATAATTAATAACCGATCTTTTGTATTTATGTCAGATTCTGCATTTTACTGAATCAATTTGAATCAATTTAAATGATAAACATGGCAAATACTGTTTTATTTTCACAGTTAAGGTAAAATAAAATTCACTAATCTAGAAATGTAAATTCATGGAATGCACACATAATCGACTAATGGGTATTGATATCAGTTTACGTTTTCATTTCTAAGACATTAGCTTTTGATTTTTCTTAAAGAATTATATTTGTATTGCACCATGCATTTCCGTTTTATTGATAATGAACAAAATTAAAGTAATTGATTTACATAAGGCACTTGTGTACACTGAAAAAGACATCGTTATTGCATCATGAATCGCGTTCTTATTTCTCTACGCTTTCTTTTTTTTTTTTCTCGAATTTATCAACAGATATAAAAATCTCAAAAAATATTTAAGTAGTAAGTTATAAGTACGAACGTAATTCAACATCACTTCACAAGTTTTGCAGTCGCTATCCTAAATTTTTTGATCGCTACACTGTATCAATTTTCAATTCAATAGTGACATTTAAACTCTGTAATAGATCTAAATAAATATGAAATGTATGAAATTTTATTGGTTTTGTTAAAGTAGCTACTGCTTCTGACACTTTCTACTTGAAATGACTTAGAATTCTAAGATGAATAATGCATGCATAGTACGATACGCTTTCAATGTTGACACAACTGGTATAAATTCAATTGTTTCTTCAATTTTTGTCTCTAGTGGACCTGTTCCAATGTGAAATCAACCAAACATCGGCGGTATGGTACCTTTTGTATTAAGATATATTATTTGCACTCAAATATTTCATAGAGCAAAACAGTCTGTTGATAAAAAAAAACATTAAATTGTCTGCATTCCATACATTTACATTTACACATTTATGAATTACTCATTATAGCCAGATAAAGCTCCTCTTCAGTGTATATTAAAAAAGAACAGCAATCAATTTCGTCTAAAATATAATAGACGTTCATTTAAAAAATTATTTTTTCTCGATGCCTTCTCTCTTCCAGGATTACTTAAATAACGTTTTGTATGCACCAACTTCAAAATGTATTTATCTTTTATTTGTATCACCATACATATATATATATTTGATAAGAGATTTAATTTTTTTATACATTACAGATGACATTGCATTTAACTGTTTGGTTAGTTCTAATCAAAATGATACTGAACTGGCTAGTTTAGCTATTGATGGCAATAAAACATCGTGTGTCGCAACACAGGCATCCGCAATATGGGTACAGGTTGACATCAAAGAAATAAGTATCGTGACGGATATTTATCTTACTCTAAGTGGTATGTTTTTTAGTTCCTTTTATCATATCATATCCAAACGAAATATTTACAATAATATGTTTAGCCCACCTTCTAAAATTCAAACTGACCACACCCACGTTACACGTACGGACGATACACGTACGATGAATGGACGTTGAATGGACGATGAATGCACAGTGAATGATGCACTCACGATGAGTGTTGAGTTTCACACAGATGATTAATGGATAATGAGTGATGAGCGTTAAACGGACTATGAATGCACGAGAGTGATGAGCGTTACATGGATGATGAACGCAAGAAACATACATGGTGATTAATGAGTATACAAAAACTAGAAAGATAACGATATAATTGAACATGTTTTATATTATTCAAAGAGCTGATAACTCTGTTTTTAAATTGGCAATTCGAATTATTTCACAAGGTAATCAACACGCGAGCATGATGCATACAATTTTTTGGACATTGATATTGCATCTCAATTCGCTTATATTATATGATAAACATTATTTCATATTAGTACTACTTTGAATAAAACATCATGTTCACCTGAGGAAAAGTGATGTACGCCGTTTACTTTCGCATGCTTTAAAATGTACTGTCGATATTGTCAGTACGTCTTTTTGTCTGTGAACACGTATTATCTCTCCGGTCAAGCGTAACCGAATATGGAGTAATCTTACAGTTATTGTTTCAAACAATTGAGATAATTTTTTTTAAGTGGTTGAAAAAAATGGGGTAAATTGATTCCAGAATAGAGCATATATTTGTAGTATTTGCTGAATTCTTACATTAAGTCAGGCTAACGAATAACTTCCTGATTCAACCCTAAACAATACAATACAAGGTTTAAAACGATAGTGTCCCACAATATCTGGCGAAAACATCATATGTTATGCAGACACGTCCCTATCGTTGGTAAATCAGTTGTGCAATTTATGTGTGACGAAATTATGTATGTCACCAACGTTGTTCAATTTAAGGTAACGTTTTTCTCGTATCTAGGTATTGTGTAATCAAATATTTAATTATTATTTCCTTCAGACACACTTTAATTTGTAAACAATCAGAAAAAAAAATATCTAAACATATCGTACAAGTGTAGCTCCTAGCTCATTTTCAGTCAATCCCGAGATCCAAGGCTTATAATATATTTAAGAAATGCTCACATCTTGGCAGTATCAACAGAAAGCTAATCTAATGAATTTCAATTCGACTCTTAAAATCAGATTGACAAGAAAAGAGAACAAACTATTATTGTCTTAATGGATGTAATCATTCTTATTAAAACCAAATTTGAATTTCTATGCTCCTCTGTCGTATAAAAATATGTGGGGAAACTGTTTGTATGCTCCTTTATGGTGTGTTATGAAAAGTCAAGAATTAAACGACCTTTTGACATGTTTGATTGATGACAGATAACTTCATAATGATTTTGTTGAGACTGTTTCTTATGACAAAGTTATCTGCAAATCAATGAAAGTTTTTTTTAATAATTTTAGTGAACATTACAGAGGGAGGTAATCATACCATTTACGTATCAAACTCAAGTGGTGTACAGCAAAATGGAACGGTTATATATAGCAACGAATCTTTACCTATTGAGATCAAAGTCAATGCTGTATTCAGATACTTAATTTATGAACTTTCAGTTCAGGAAAATGTTTCACTTGAAGTATGTGAAATTGGAATTGCTGGTGAGTACTTCAATGAGACCAAAATAATTAATCAACCAGAGCAGTCAATCATTTCTATGCATGTTTGCATCCTCGAAAAAAAGATACCATAGGGCCAACAATCCTCACCGTGTAACAATTTGTAAAAAAGGAGACCACTTGATTTGGGAAATGGGAACTTCGACACCTTCTGGTTGTTGTGTCAAAATTGATCGAAATGTAATTTTCTAGTCCTTTCTGAATCTCGGTGAATGTGATAATATATTATGCCCTTCGGGGTAGACACAGTTATGGACATTGTCATCATACATAACCAAATCTTACTGATCTTATCCTAAATGACCTTCTACCATTTGAGTAAACATCACATCCACACAAAACTATGTGCATTGTGGCTTTTGATAAAAAAACATTATACTAATAATATTTCCAAACCCCTGTTACAAACGTCCGTTCCATCCAATACAAACTAACAGATACCATCTCGGATTTATTGTCTTTCACATAATATTCCGTCGATTGGTATTAGAGAACATGTAACGGAGATACATTTCTTTTAGATCTTTCTTTTGAAACAAAGGTTTTGATATCATTTCAATCGGCAATATCCTTCATAATAAATCAGTGAAATTGAAAATGCCTCCCAGCTAGATGTAATCCACGTGATTGCACCTGTGCAAGTTCCCTTTTTACGATTTCCAGCTAGCCACGTTATGAATGGTGACCATAGCATTGTAAACAACGCAGCTACGAAATGTGTTTACCAGCGGGCCTTCATACCGTGATCAAAAATTAAAAAAAAGGAGATACAACTTTAAAATACTAATGGATTTAGTCGAGTATTATGCCCGACATTAATTAAAAGTGAAAACAGAAGACGTAGATACCCAACTGACGTGGTTTAAGATTGTAAGATCGTTCATACAAATCAAATTAAAAACTCGTGTTTCTCATATCTTCGAGGATCAAAACGTTGCTAAGCACTCTTGTTACTTCTAAGGCAAATATATTGATGTTCCCGCATTCAAAAGCCAAAACAATATCGTTTGTATTTGTGATTCGCAATATATATTGACTGCTTGACCAAGAAATTAGGTGACGACCATTGACTTGGAAACCCACCCGTCTGTTCTTTATTAATTCGGAAAAAGCAATCAAAGATGAGGTTCTGGATCTTCTTTACTGTACCAGATCACCAAATAAAAAAAGTGTCCTTACAAACAACGGTATATTGATAAGCCTTCACAATATTCCACGAAACTTTCTAATTCATTGACATTTATTTTGTCAGCAATCAACATTTGGGCCGTTACAAATCGGATGTAAATACTAGAAAATTCAAAAGATTTGCAAGAGTACTTACAAACTAAGTACATCTCCAAGTGCAATAAAAACAGTAATTTAACTTGGCTTATCTTAACACAAGTTGTCATGAGTCGTAACAGAAGGATATATTGAAAGAATAAGCCAGACTTTACCCCTCAAAATGGTCACGAAGGCATATATCTTGTTTCATAAAGGGACACATCTTACTTTTTAATAAATCGTTTAGACAAAATTTCACTCAGACTGTCCACAACGGATATCTCTAGGATCGGATTCGTGTTGGTCAATCAACAACATAACAACAAACATCACCAAGATGATTGATTTTTTCATTGACGGCATATTTGTTACTTTGTGTGTTTTACAACTGACAATCGGCATTCCTATGGGAACAATCTGTTTCCAAATTGTCGACTTGTTTTTTTATTCTTGTGAGATATATTTCGAACAAAAGATTCTCAAAACAAAATGAAAAGAAGCTGATATCAACCTTAAAATTCACGTTCGGCTATGAAGATGATGACCTTTTACTTATTTTGCAAAGTTTGACGACTATGATAACTGCATCTTGTTTTTGGAAGGTATACTTAACTAAAACTGTCATCATTGCGAAGGCTTTAACGGTCGTCATCATGGTTTAATTGAACGTTATGGAATATCTATGTCATTGATGACCACGGATATCTCCCAACTGTCGTTACAACAATTCGATGGTGAAATACCGAATGCAACATAAAAGTAGTTTTACTAACAGTGAGAATTACGACCGATTCCACTAGTGAAACAGGAACTGTTACAAATTCCGGTGCTCCTGGATTCATACCTGGTTATGTATAGATGGTATTCGTGATGATTAATTTTTAGTTTTCCCTGTAGTTTTCCAAATTTATTGGCCATTGAGGTATCTGAATTTATTGCACTTATTATTTTGGTATGTTTTGGGTTTTTTTTTTCTCTAAAAAATGGCCATAGATTTTGGATTATAAATAATGGACTGTAGTCTGAATAAAATCTTGTCATTCAATCGAATGTACAAATGAAAAATAAGTCGCATCTTCAACGCAGAAAAACAAAGTCTATCATCAGATAATTACAGTAAATTGAAATAAAGAAACACTGTAAGGTTGTATTTTATATAGAGTAACATGACGGGGATCGCATGTTGAGCATGTTCTGCTTACTCTTCCAGAACACTTTATATCATCCCCAGTTTTTTGGTGTGGTTCGTATTGCTTCGTCTTTGGACTTCTGTGTTGTGTTTTGTGTACTGTTGTTTGTCTTTTGGTCGTTTTTCGTTATTTGACGTGGCATTTTCAGTTTTTTTTTTTTTTTCATCTAATGGGATTGACTGTCCCTTTGGCATCTTTAGACTAATTTTTTGTCGTTTTATAATTAAGTCTAGAATTATTCAACTGAAAGTGCCATGGTATTGTCTTTTTTTTTGTCTAATGAGCTTGACTGTCCCTTTAGCATCTTTCGACTCTTTTATCGTTTTATAATTAAATTTATGCTTATTCAACTGAAAGTGTTCAGTTAACATATACATCTACATAGTACATACCCAAGAAAGCAATTTTTGATACATTTGATACACCAGTTACACATACATTGGAGTGTAAGAGATATCATTAACTAAAAACAAGCAATACAAAAGTAGTTATTTAAAGAGGGTTTTTTTTCACTTTTTAAGAGGGTTTTTTTTCACTTTTAAAGAGTTTTTTTTTCACTTTTAAAGAGGGTTCAATTGAATACAAAGTTTATCAAAAGCCAATATTTAGTACACTACATTAAAACACAAGCTCTAGTGAGATTTTTGCATCGACTAAGTAACAATATATGTACAAGCATACATAAGTCATTAAAAATACACAATTTAAACATATAATGCATGGTAAGTTTATATAGTTGATATATAAAAGTTAAAAGCAAAGTTGCAGTCATAGTCTAGAAAAATTCATACAAAATAAAGAATATCAGGAACATGATTCTTAAGCAATAGCCTTACAAACTTGACAATCTGTTAAAATTTGTAAACATGTTGTGATTAGATGATAAAATGGTCTTATAATATTATAATTTTTTGGAAGGTTAGAATGTATAAGATTTGTAATGCAATGAATATTTTAAAATGATTTGCACGATTTTGATGATAATCGTCTATTTCCAACATTGATGTAGAGGTATTGATTTTGAATTTATATCAATTTGAAAGTAGGGTACAGCCTAATCATTCAAAATTGCGTTAAACACTTAGATAGATAAAAAAGATAATTATTATATGAACGATGAACTGATTTTATTTACATATTTCAAATGCTGTTTCTAGGTTGTCCTCCTACAAACTATGGGCCTCTTTGTAGTCAATTGTGCCCAATAAACTGCAGTGGCCCTTGTGACCTTAAAACAGGACACTGTACATTTGGATGTGTAACTGGATGGACTGGTAATACATGTGAATTAGGTATGACAAAACTTCTCATCGATTATCATTTAAATAGGTCGCTCTAATGATATTTACGTTTTGTGTAGGTTCGTTGCTGTGTTATTTACGTATTCCCCACAGAACATTTTTGTTCATACAAATATTCGTTTAAAAGAAAAATACAGATAAAGAAATTCACTTAAACAAAGGTAAACTACGGTACAACAAAAGTAAACTATAAGATTCAATATTTGCTAACATACATTGAAGCTCATTATGACTAAAAGTAAAAGTGGATATGTGGGTAATACATCAATGAGACAGTATTATAACCATTGACTCACTGTGAAATTATTTATATAATATTCTTTTTTTGTAGATTTAATGTTCTGAGTTACATGTATGTAACTACATCACACAATATCTAACGATTATGTCCATTATCCTATTGTTTAGTAGGGATAATGAGATTGTCCTTGACAACGTCGTAAACGTCGACGTTTGATTGTTCCTATATAACGTTACTTTGGTTGTTTATTCCCGGTTAAGCGCGGGCTTCATAAGGTTTAGCTGAATATGTATATCCTTTTTAAATTCAATCCAAAATAAGATAGTCAGACGGTAATTAGGATTAACAAAATAATATGAACCTGATGAATGGATATCTTTTTCAGAGTCAGCCGTATTCATTCATTTATGATACGCAAGAACATTCAAATTAAAATACTATAAATAATTACATAATAGATTGATTGTAAATATATTCTGCTATTTCTCGCTGATGGTTTACTGCTTTAACCGAACATGTCTGCGTTATATATGCAATAGAAACATGATTCCTGTCACCCACCATACTTCAGATTCAAAAACATTACCGTATTAATGTTTGTCTCAATTTCATTGCGGAACCAATATAACAGTTCTTATTCTCCATTGTTTATACCGAAAACTTATCATTTAACTTCGTTCAATGCCATCGATTATCTCTGTATTCAAAGGGTACAATTTTGTACCAGCGGCTGTATAAAGGCGATGTTTGATTATGAATACACTTAGGATTTTCAATTTTAAAATACAATATTTGTTAAGTCTTTTTCCATTAGACTTATTGTTGTCTTTCATTATATTGATCAAGTTTAAATTTCGAAAATAAGTGCTTATTGGAATCCTGATTTAAAGGCGTTTGGAAATTTAGATAGCAACTCAACGACACAAAAAGACCTCTTGAGGTCAACATATTTTTTATTCATAACACAGGTTTCATGTATGTGTAGTTCTATATTGCCCCGAGTAAAAAATGTTAATAGAATTATCAATGATCTATTATTAATGCAAATTTCTATGATGACAAAAAAATTAAAATGTACAGAAAGGCAACTGCTGATGAGGTTTCATAGAATGAACAAGCATGTATGGGAAAGGAGAAACTTAAAAAGGCATCCAAAATAAATAAACAAAGTTATATACTCTCATTGGTTTATTACAGATGCTGAATGTTTCGAAAACTCAGAGATACCAGTCTTGAAGTGTGGACCAGAAATTTATAAGGTATAACCTGATTACATGTTAGTCACATATTAAAGAAAGGTTTTGAGGAATTTATCGACATCCCAAACCAATGTATTATGGATTTACACATGTACATATCAAGTCTCTTTCCGATATTTGTAAGATCCTATGTATGTTCATATTTTCCAATTACCTTTCCTGGACAGTTGAACTCATGAAAAGTAAGATATTTTCGATTCCCCCGTCTTTCATTATAACATGTCTGAGCGTTGCAAGTTGACTACGTATTAACACTGTTTCATTTCATTTAATTGTTAACAATTATTTTCATGACGCAACTTAGAACTAAAACGAAAGTTAACTGACACATTACTTAGATCTAGATGCTTAACTGGAGTACTCTTTATATATTAACAAAGGAACTTTATCGATAAGAAGAAGATTAGATATTTTATTTATATCATAATACGTGTCTCCATTCGTATCTTGTGGACAAACGAAAACTTTTTTTATCAAAAAAAATAATGTATCTTGAAATGAACTTTTAATAGATTAAAAATGAATAAAATTACATAATATAACCGCTACAATTGCTATACGTATAATGGATATGGTTTCCTGTTTTAAATAGAAGATAAAGAACAATAATTAAAACTCGTTAACAAGTTTGTTCTCGGAACTATCGTGTTATGAATTGTAACTATCTTATTAAAAAAACACAAGCAGTTTCCATTTCTAAATAGTCCGGATATGTGTTTTTAAATTATTTTGTATTATACTGTCTTTGAGACATATATATTGCAAGTGACTTGCAAGTCATTGTGAATGACCATGTCAATATATCAGGACCCTGTCATTTCTAAACACTCTAAAATTAATGAAAGTCATCCGATTTATTTAGCCAGTACAAAAAAATAAGAAGGATGTATATAATGAAAACAAGACATGCATATTTTTTCAAAGTATTAGACATGACAATATTCTTTTTATGTATAGTAGATTATACATTGTTAAAAGGGAATGTTGATGAAGATCTGAATGTAAACTATGCTAAAACAAATTCTCACTAATCCTGTAGTCAAAACAGTTTTTTAGTAAATGTTTGCGTAATTTTTCCTCTCTGAATTCAATATTTGTTCCTATAGGTTTTTCCATCTAATGGACCTATTAAAGGTGGGACATTGTTGACAATAACTGGAAAATACCTTGGAAATGTAAATGACAGTATTTCCGTTGATTTTAGCGGAGTAAGATGTAATAATGTAACAGTTCAATCACCACATTCTAAATATACTAGGTAAGAATGACTATTTATACGTAATAAAAAAAGATGATATATAAAGATTTGTATAAAAATTTGAACATGTACTTGCAAAACAATGTGCCTTCTCATGTTTTGAATTAATGATTCACACCATACCAATTTGACTATTGGTTACAAGTTCAAACTGTTATTAAAGCAAAAGTTTTTACACAGGACATCGTTGTGCTTTATTTCATAGATAATAAGTTGTTAATATGCTGGCAAATATGAATATGGCAGTAGTACTATTGTAAGTAATCAGTGTTAGATGTTGATTGAAATCACAAAATTATTTCGCTTGAAGCGTAATGCCCGTTCTAAGATTACAAATTTCAATTGGATAAAATGCACAGTTCATAATTGTGAGAAGACTGCAGTATTACTTGAGTTATTCAAGAAATTAAGATATAACTTTGTTTATCAAGAGTAAACAATTATCCGTTCTAACAGATTCCGGTAAAAATTCTGACAAAACTAGTACTTAAGAAAATATACAAAAAAATGATAGGTAAGTAGATTCATCAGATAAAACTACTTTTGGAGTTGTTGCTATTCCAACTGTTTTCCTCCAAATTTTTGTGTGTTATGTTCTGAATTTTGTGACTTTTAAATTGCATCAGTTTACTTCTGACACTGGCGACTTAAGTCATAGTATTCAAGTTGGGTCAATATGAACATTCGTACAAGACGAAAGTGATATCAGGCACCTCGAAAAATTACGAGCATTAAACGACATATATGCTGCTGAACTGTAGCCAAATTTCAGTTATTTGTCATGACAGTGAGGCAAACCACTTGTCATTGGGCTACTGTATATTATTTTCTACAAAGAATGAAAACAGAAAAGCTGGACAAAATTACATTCATTTGAACGAAGACCTAGAGACATTTCTTTTTTTTTTTTAATTTCTCATTTCTAGCATGACATTTTTCATTTCTCATTTTCTTGGAATTGAGAATTGTAAACTTGAAACAGATTGATGTCAACTGAAAAGATGGAAAATCAAGTAAGACAAGTGCAAATGGAAATGAGAAATGTTAAAAATAAAATATCCCTATCTATCTTTCGTAGATATCATATAACAGACACTTTGGAATAGTTTATCACTCATTATATTTATGATATAAACATAATTGTGATGACTTCATCATGGATCAGTTTTGTCGTTCTTTTTGATTAAAATATAGTATTACCCATGCTTTGAATTTATGAACAATATTTTCGTTCACTTTTTTTTGGTATTTATTTGAACAGTTTGACATGTGTAACTGGAAAATACAATGCTATCCAGACAAAGGGGATATTCGTTTCAGTGAATGGAAATAATTTCAGCGACCACAATAGTACACGCTTCAGTTATAAGGTATTTTAATGAATGTATGTGTACATTAACACAAATTAGTCATGGGCTCTTTGAGCTGCCATAATATTTCAAAACTGATGAATGTAGAATAGTTTTATCTAGTAATTAAACAACAATAGGAATTTGATTTCCAAATTTGATATAGAGTGCGATGTTCATTGTTCGATTAACTGCTGCAAGTTTTCCATAGAGTTAAATAAATAAACAATAAGTAAAAGCGGAATATCACTTATCGCGTTTTTCTTCAAGCTCAACCCTAAGAATATTCCTAGGATGCTTATATGGACGACACATATCGTTCTACTTTTGTATGAAATAAACTTATTGTTTATGTATATATTCGTAACCATCAATCTGATAACAACAACAGCAAACAATACTAAAATCATAAAGTTATTCTCCTGTTTTATGTATTCTAATAATAGAATTTTTGTAAATATTGTTTCAGGAATCAATGATGTTGGAATTCTCACCAAAGAAAGGGATTGTTTCTGGTGACACAACTGTTACAATAAGCGGTGATGATATTGGGTTTGAAGGACAAAATCGATACAATATTTCATTTTGTTTTGATGAGGATTGTCAAGAATGCAGGTAAAGTGTTATTTGCAGACAATAGGTGTACTTTGGCTGTAGTAATGAATTTGATGTATATGTATGTATATACTAAACAGCAGTTTAGACTCAGTAGTTGTCAACACAAAGCAGACATATTTTAGTATTGCTATGTGGACCTGTTGTTGTTACATTGTAGTAACTAATACACCATCTACTTTCCACTATACATCATGTACTGTGTTACAACCCTAGATAAAACCGACGAGGAAATACATTACATCGATCACCGAAAACTATCTTCTATGTAGCCTAGGTGGTCGAGTGGTCTAAGACACTGGACACGGTACAGGCAGTGTTGCCACGATATCACAGAAGCAAGGGTTCAAATCCCTCTGAGGGAAAAACATAAATTTGCTAATGCAAATTTGAATATGTGACATTGTTGGGCTAAATTTGAGATATATATATACTCTAAATTGAAAACAACGTTCAACCCTATGATTGCGTTGGATAAAAACCGCAATTTTTATACGTGTCCATGCAAAACAAATTTCTTGGTAGAGGGGTCTAAATACAGCACAAACAATATTTTCCAAAAGACCAAAAAAGTGAAAAAGTATATTTTAACTATTTATATATCTATGGTTACTCTAAATATCAGCACAACAATGTTAAATTAACAAATTTGCGGAAGCAAATTTTTGTTCTTCCCTCAGGGATTCGTATGTATGTTTCAAAGACTTCTATATACAGCCTGTATATATCAGATTAACCGCCTAATACAGCTACTATACAAACAAGATATGGTATAATTGAGAATGAGGCAACTCTCCACAAGAGACCAAATGACATAGGAGTTATCAACTATAGGTCACCGTACAACCTTCAACAATGAGCAAAACCCATACCGCATAGTTAGCTATAAAAGGCCTCGAAATGACAAATATAAACAATTCAAACGAGAAAACTAACGGCCTGGTTTATGTTAACGAAGTACAAAATTGAAAACAACACGTTTAATAATTTCATGCGTCAAATATGATATACAGCAAAAAAGGACGATCACTGAATTACAACCCCCTGACTTGGGGACAGGTACTTACAGAATGTGACAGGGTTAAACATGATAGCGGGCGCCCAACCCTCCCCCTAACCTAGAACAATGGTGTTTAAGTACAACATATGAACAAACTATAAAAATCAGTTGAAAAGGGCTTAACTCATTAGATCGATAAAAAAACAGGAAAATAGAAAGAAAAACACAGACCGAACGTGGCAGGGTATTTATACATACTACAACAAAAAAGACACTAAATACAGATCTGAGAGTACTTGCAGTTCCTGACAGTTAGTTCGAAAGCCTATTATTAATTTGTAAGAAATACATTTAAACTATCAAAAAAATAATTTGAAGAAGAAAAAAACTCGATCATACCAAATATTAGTCTAATTAAGGATGGGCCAATCTTTCGGATTAATGAATTTTTTATGCACAACGTGTTTTTTACCCATTGAGTATGAGCATTACAACAGTTGTCGCAAAGCAAATACCACACAGACTATAAAAAGTAAAATAACAAAAATACGGAACTCCGAGGAAAATTCAAAATGGAAAGTCCGTTAACAAATGACAAAATCAAAAGCTCAAACACATCAAACGAATGGAAAACAAATGTCATATTCCTGACTTGGTACAGCCATTCCCTTATGTGGAAAATAGTGGATTAAACCTGGTTTTATAGCTAGCAAAACCCCTCAATTGTATTACAGTTGCATAAAATTCCAATATATTGACAACAATGTGTGAGCAAAACAAACGGACATAATAGGTAAAAATATCAAATATTGGGGTACAGCAGTCAACATTGTATAATAATCTTAATCACTATAACAACTATGTCAACAATGAAAAACAAAATGCCATGTAGACACTCTATAGACAAAGAACATAAGCAAAATTGAAAACCATGAATACAAAAAATGACCATAGCACAAAAACACAATGGCGGGATGTATAAATACCGATTCACGCCAAAAGAATATTACCAAAAAATCGACTAAACAGTTTAAAAATATAAAAAGACAAATGAAAAGAACACCAGATCACGTAATTAAGATGATTAACAACGTCAGTACTTGGAATCTATACTTCAAGACCATCATGTATAATTTGTGAAGTTGATACGAAATATTTATTAACAAAGTCTTGGTATCTTCCGATGAAGTTTTTTTTAGAAAAAGGACGAGACGTTCTTTGACATAACCTTGGTTCATCAACTTTCTACTCAGACTATATTTCACTTGGAATTGAAAATACGGATCAACATGATCAATAAATGGTTCAAAATAGACAAATTGGAACCAACAGGTCTAGAAACATTTAAGAGATATTTACGAACTATAACGCATAACGCACTGTGGTTTCCGCTCTTTTGAATCAAATCAACAATGTGCTTTTAAAAGATATGCATCTTTTGCTTTGCGTGAGAACCTGTCGATTTCATAGTTCTGTGGTAACAGCGTGCAATGATTTGATTGCCGTATGGGTCTTAATGAGTAAAAATTGACACATCTTCAATGGAAGTGTAACTACGGTCATAGATGACACACTGACTATTAAAAAAAACACTTGCAGGAATGTTTTAACTACCACAAAACAATACGCACAAGTAAGGACATTCTCATTTTTTAATATTGTAGATCTGTAATGAAGATGAATGTTTTAATTCGGTAATACTTAAAACAACAGAAATCTATAAACATGATAAAGGAATCAGAAACTGATGACTTAACTGGCGTCAGTGCAATTTTTGTTTACGTTATCTATCATCATCAAAATAATCACCTCAATAAGCGGTCTCCCTAGTCTTTTAACCATTTAAAGTCATAAAAGATTGTTTAAATGTGTTAAAAAGTTCTCGTATGGAAACAAGAGGTCTCCGATGTAACATTGAAGCAGCTTTTTTAAAGAAATATACCAACCAAGCAGCCAAGATACTTACTCCACTGAATGATATAAACATTTCCTTCCGAGCCTTTAAAGAAAAAAACTAGAAATGTGTGCATCCAAAGCTTAACCAATTTAAAGTCCATTGCAAATTGTCTTTTATGCCTTCTTATGATTCACTTTAATTCTAATAACATACATTCAAACAGATTGATTTTTTTTATTCAGATGCTGTTTGATAATGGGTCTAATTCGAAAAAACAAATCAATGCTGTTAAAATCATATTTGTAAAATGGACAGGAATTGTTGTTTTCTAATCACTATTGCAATTGCATTGGAATTTATTTAGTTGACAGCAACATATTTATCTGGTTAGCAGCTCCGTGTTTTGTGTCCAAAAAAAAATACATTGACTTTTTGAACCTTAGAGTGTTAGCAATGATATCATCCAATGCTACCGAACCAACTTCATCTAAATTAGAATTGAAATTAAGAATCCAGAATTTAAAGCAAGGAAAAGACAAATGAAAACCCAACCAGATTATGTAACTATGATATGGACATATTTGGACAATATAACCTATACGAAGAGGTTAACCTAAACAAAAAACTAAGGCTTTTGCAAACAGTCACAATGACCAGTTGTAATATCCTCAAAATGGGTTTGATCATCTTCTTTGCTCACTATACGCGCCATTTGCATCTGGAAGACGCGAGCAAAAAGAACGAGAAATATGCCGGCAAATAAAAATCGTTTGACCTAAAAACTGACAATATCATGATCAAACAGAAAAAACGACGAACAGACCAGCATCAATAACAAAACAATACACAGAAAGATAACTACAAACATGATCAATAAACAATGACTTCTTCCCTATTGATTAAAGTATTACCCAAACCTACACGAAAACAATACATAGGAATTCAGTTTTCGAAAGTAGAAATGACAAATGAGAACCAACACAACTATATCTGTACATGTATTAATTTGAAAACAATTATTTAATGAGTAAAAATATTAAAAATTTACGGAAATGATTTAATGAAATATTAAATATAAAAAGGCAGAATAGTTTTACAGACAGCAAAATTATCATACTTTAGAAACCATACAAGTATAAAGCTAGGATCTGTAAAGAATATCACTGCTCTTCCAAATTGTCGAAAATATACACCACAGGAAGAAAAGAAAGAAAATATGTTTTCGATTTAACATCGCGAAAAAGTTTGCGAAGCTTTCATTTAGGAATTTCAAAAGACTTAAAAATTTTTAGAAAGTAAATTTGCACTGCACATATTTCATAACTTAATTTCATCCGTAAACTTTTAAGCCTGTATAATAGACTGTATAATAAAATACGTTGTTTTCAATTTATAACAGAACATTTCAACCTTCCTCAAGTTCGGAGTATATAAAGTGCAAAACTACTAAATCGGACCAACCTAGAAATATGACTCGGTTGCAGGTTGTAATTGATGACTTGACAGTGTTAACATTAAATGGAACGTTTCAATATTTACCTGATCCAAAAATTGTGTTTTCAAATAAAACACAAAAAGCCCAACAGAGGTAAGAGTACAAAATGTTTTAAAGAGTTTTCAGAAAGGCATTTAGAAATGATGGGTTGCATGTAATTTCTTTCAGTTAAGATTGTATTGTTTAATTAATGTCACTACGGAGTTAATTCCACATCTCCCTTGTATTCTTACATTGTAGAATGGTAAATAGTCTTATAAATTGTAGAATATCCCATATATTCCTTGTATTTTTACACTGTAGAATATTAAAATAATGTTATGAATTATAGAATATCCCATATATTCCTTGTATTTTTACACTGTCGAATGATAAAATAATGTTATGAATTATAGAATATCTCACATCTCCTTTGTTATCTTACGTTGTAGAATGATAAAATAATGTTATAAATGGTAGAATAACCCATATATCCCTTGTATTCTTACATTGTAGAATAAAAAAATAATGTTATAAATGGTAGAATAACCCATATATCCATTGTATTCTTACATTGTAGAATGATAAAATAATGTTATAAATGGTAGAATAGCCCATATATCCCTTGTATTCTTACATTGTAGAATGATAAAATAATGTTATAAATGGTAGAATAACCCATATATCCCTTGTATTCTTACATTGTAGAATGATAAAATAATGTTATAAATGGTAGAATAGCCCATATATCCCTTGTATTCTTACATTGTAGAATGATAAAATAATGTAATAAATTGTAGAATACTCCACATCTCCCTCGTATTTTTACATTGTAGAATGATAAAATAATGTTATAAATGGTAGAATATCCATTATATTCCTTGTTTCTTACACTGTAGAATGATAAAATAATGTTTAAAATTGTAGAATATCCATTATATCCCTTGAATTCTTACGCTGTGGAATTATGAAATAATATCATGAATTATAGAATATCTCACATCTCCTTTGTATTCTTACATTGTAGAATGATAAAATAATGTTATGAATTATAGAATATATCACATCTCCTTTGTATTCTTACATTGTAGAATGATAAAATAGTGTAATAAATGGTAGAATAACCCATATATCCCTTGTATTCTTACATTGTAGACTGATTAAATAATGTTATAAATTGTAGAATAACCCATATATCCTTGTATTCTTACATTGTAGACTGATTAAATAATGTTATAAATTGTAGAATAACCCATATATCCCTTGTATTCTTACATTGTAGACTGATTAAATAATGTTATAAATGGTAAAATAACCCATATATCCCTTGTATTCGTACATTGTAGAATGATAAAATAATGTAATAAATGGTAGAATATTCCACATCTCCCTCGTATTTTTACATTGTAGAATGATACAATAATGTAATAAATTGTAGAATATTCCACATCTCCCTTGTATTCTTACATTGTAGAATGATAAATTAATGTTATAAATGGTAAAATATCCCATATATCCCTTGTATTCTTACATTATAGAATGATAAAATAATGTTATAAATGGTAGAATAACCCATATATTCCTTATATTCTTACATTGTAGAATGATAAAATAATGTTATAAATGGTAGAATAACCCATTTATCCCTTGTATTCTTACATTGTAGAATGATAAAATAATGTTATAAATTGTAGAATATCCCATATATATATTCTTACACTGTAGAATGATAAAATAATGTTATGAATTATACAATATCTCACATCTCCTTTGTATTATTACATTGTATAATGATAAAATAATGTTATAAATGGTAGAATAACCCATATATCCCTTGTATTCTTACATTGTAGAATGATAAAATAATGTTATAAATGGTAGAATAATCCATATATCCCTTGTATTCTTACATTGTAGAATGATAAAATAATGTTATAAATTGTAGAATATCCCATATATATATTCTTACACTGTAGAATGATAAAATAATGTTATGAATTATACAATATCTCACATCTCCTTTGTATTATTACATTGTATAATGATAAAATAATGTTATAAATGGTAGAATAACCCATATATCCCTTGTATTCTTACATTGTAGAATGATAAAATAATGTTATAAATGGTAGAATAATCCATATATCCCTTGTATTCTTACATTGTAGAATGATAAAATAATGTAATAAATTGTAGAATACTCCACATCTCCCTCGTATTTTTACATTGTAGAATGATAAAATAATGTTATAAATGGTAGAATATCCATTATATCCCTTGTATTCTTACATTGTATAATGATAAAATAATGTTATAAATGGTAGAATAACCCATATATCCCTTGTATTCTTACATTGTAGAATGATAAAATAATGTTATAAATGGTAGAATAACCCATATATCCCTTGTATTCTTACATTGTAGAATGATAAAATTATGTTATAAATGGTAGAATAACCCATATATCCCTTGTATTCTTGCATTGTAGAATGATAAAATAATGTAATAAATGGTAGAATAACCCATATATCCCTTGTATTCTTACATTGTAGAATGATAAAATAATGTAATAAATGGTAGAATATCCCATATAGCTCTTCTATTCTTACATTTGTAGAATGATAAAATAATGTTATAAATTGTAGAATATCCCACATCTTCCTTTTGTTCTTTCATTGTAGAATGATAAAATAATGATATACATTGTATAATATCATATTAATACCTTTTATTCTTACATTGAATAATTGAAAGTGTTATGAATTGCTCTTTAAATATATCAGCATTCGACATGATTAAAATATTCCTTTTCATATTGTAAAACTGATTTTTCTTGTTTAGTGGTGGCGCAACATTTACAATTCGTGGCGAAGGTTTCAATAATGTGGGAGAGATAACTGTTGAAAGAGTGGTAAGTTGAATATGACAACATTCAGATTATCATTTTCTTCTTTCGAAATTAAGAATATTTCGTACGACTACAGTTACGGTTTAAAAGGTAATTTATGTTGATGGTAATTGTATTCTACACATTCTTTTTGGTTAAATTGATTGTTATTTTATCAAATGTTTTGTTTTATTTTTCGCAGTAAATAGTAAGAAGTTTTGGTCTCAATTTGTCTTTTCTGTTCTATTGATAACAATATATTCTGCTATCATTCCCAGTAAAGTGTGATAACATATTGTGTAAAAAGACACCAAAGGAGAAAAAAGGATAAAAACTATGATTGGCCCCACGTACTTAAATATCAAAAAGTATGATATATCTATCGAATAACGTCATCATAAATTCAAAAGACATCTGTCGTAAGATAAAGTATTTGGAATTGGATTTAAGTCTTGTTTTTGCTGTGAGAGTTAAATGTCTGCATTTAATGATAAAAAAAACTGCAACAACTTCAAGATAGCATCTTTTTCACAACTTATCATTCATGTCATCACTATTTGAAAGTTAGGCAAGGCCTAATAAACGGATATGTAGTTACAATTTGTCTTATACAAATACCGTGATTGAGTGAGATAACTTTTGTGGTAAATTTATTCACCCTTATTCTTTAACGTCGATAGGCGTTTACATGACATATTATTTTGTTTTCTTTACTTGTCAGCGTATTTTGAAGTTCTAAATATAATCTAGAACGAAAATATGACTTTTAAAAATTGTGTGAATGCATAATGTTTATTAGGTTAAAGCTTGCGATGTACCAGAAGATACCTCAGCTGTCTGTGAAACGCCTTCAAAACGAAAGAATCAGTCTAACACCCAAACTGTTAATGTTCGTTTTGATGGCGTGAATGTTACAGTTAAGATAGAATATGTGGACGATCCTACATTCGAAAAGTTCCAAGGTGTATACAAATACGACAAAGAGTCTTCAATTAAAATCAAGGTAAGCATGGTGACGTTTGAAAATTAAGTCGTTTTTATGGTAAATGAAGTGCACTCAATAATGTTCAATGTATTCCTTTAGTGTATTCCAAATGAATAATAATCCTACTTTTCAATAGAATAATAGATAACTTGATACAAATATTCAAGGATGTACTTAGGTGAAATTAAAAAAATCTAGAATTTAAAATTGATACTATAAGTCAGAAGAGCATTAGTTAAGGAACAAAATAAGCTAAAATATTGATAGGTTATGGAGCTCCTTTTCGACATACTAAATTTTTAAAAAATGCTGGAAAAGGCTAACTCGGACTTTTACCTTATGTTTGCATTGGTATTATTTGGGTCTCAAATCGAAAGAAAGAAATCTAGAATCTGCTTAAATTTTGGTAAATGACCTTTTATGAGCTATTGAAGTCTTACATGAAAAGAAAAATGGGTGTTATGATGCAAAATATGTTACCCTGTATCAAAGGAAAAACCCAAGGAGTCCGAACATCTGACGCAAATTCTTAAACATGACCTAAGTACATCCTTAAGAAAAAATAAATTTGAAAATAATATAGTTTTAACAGTCAAACGTGTACGATTCTGGCGTATTAACAAACTAACAACAATCTATCAAACTACGTACAGAAAGATGGAGTAATACGAACCTTAGCAGAAACAGGGGGAATTCGGGTGTTTTGAAAGGTTAGCAGAAAAAAACGATAACATTGACGAAACGGCAACAAAGGATGGTTGAAACGGTCAATGTGGTTGAGTCAGATGGATGGAAATTTCTTCCTCTGCTATTGTATAGGAACTAGAAATAAACAACTCAGTCGACCTAGGTCATTGTTTCCCTGATATAAAATATTGGTTTGCAAGTATACAAACACGTTAACTGAACAAGGCATACAATTATTTCCTTATTATAATCTTCTTGATAGGGTAGAAATATTTTAAATGGAGCTCGCCTTGAAGACTACAGGATACATATTGGTTTGGATGGACGTTGTCTCATTACAGATATCAATATGCAATTTATCATATGTTTTCCACCTAATTCAGTACCTCGAACTAACAACACTGATTTCAACCTGGCTCCTGTTATTGTAAGTTTAATATATAATTGATATGTGTAAAACAGTTAAGAATTACCTCATATATATGAGTATATCATTTCTTAACAATTAGGCAACTTCCAACAAAACGAGGATGCAAACATCAATATATTAAGATAAATTATCTTCCTTCAAAAGGGCATTCTTAATAACTGGTATAATTCTGTACATATTGAATAATCCATTTTATCAACATTTGAAGCTTTTGCTGTTACATTCTTCTTACGTCAAGAACTTTTAACAAATTGATTGTACTTTGTTTGTTGTTTCGACTTTATCTAATAAATCTACGTCCAAAGAATACTTTAAACATTCAATCTAAATATGAGAATCATTGACCCAATTTCAACTGAAACCCATCATATTATACGTTATAAATTTTGTACAAATATTGAGCAACACATGCAGGAGTAGTTGGGGGACTTGATTAACCGCGAAAACAGACAATTAAGTACATGCACAATCAAAATTTTCAAATTTAACAATCAGTAAACTGTAAATATCTGTATAACTTCAGAGTCCAACAAATTGTCTAATGATCAGTCGTATTATAAATTTATAATTTACTTTTGTTAATAATTACGAAGATGATGTCCTCTCCAACATCGATAAATGATTTGCAAGTGTGATTCCGACGGTAAATCAGCTGTATGTTCCCTTTTAGTTATACATGTAGTTATGTATGTTTGTGCAGAAGTGCCATCTACATATGGCAATGCAGCATCATACAGGGTTCAATTAACGGTACTTTTGTTTTGTAATCTGCTGGAAGAGGCCAAAAACATCTGATTGTCAGTGAGGCTATTAACTTCATATGTAAATGGGCTATTTATCTCGATGTCAACGTTAACGCGATCACTTTGTTGTTACATGTACGTAAAGGTAAAAATTTCAAATATGTGAACACAGGTTGAAATATTGCTCATGGACAAATGTCAATTATGATTTTTACTCGAGTATCCGAGCATGACCTTTGCACTCCAGTACTAGAACTTCGAAGTGCATTCCCTATTTTAAACACATATATCATTATTTTTAAATAAATAGGTTAACGTTGGAAACATCAAGGCGTACATAGGTGACCTACAGTACAAACAAGTTGTTAATAAATTAGTCATCATAGCTGGTGTATTAGCTGCTGCATTGATTACAGCTGTTGTGATTGGCGTATTGGCTGTAGTTGTTTTAAGAAGTAAGAAAAAGAGAGCTGTCAAAGAATTCAAAATTGAACTCATGACAAGGGAAGAAATGATACGAAAAGCTAGTAGAGAAGGTGAGTTGGTTTTTAAACTGTATTTATACTAAACGGAAATTTTCATTGGTTAATAAGGCAAGTACGAAAAACGTCGAAAATATATAACAATATAATGTTATAATATATAATATATAATAGAAAATGTGGAAAATTTGCCAATGAGACAAATCTCTACTATAGACTAAATGACATAGAGGATAACAAACTATAGTTCACTGTACGGCCGTACATAATGGGCAAAACCCTTACCGCATAGTAAGCTATAAAATGCCCTGAAATGACCAATGTAAACCAATTCAAACGAGAAAACGAACGGTCTGATTTATGTACAAAACAATGAACGAAAAACAAATATGATAAACAGCAACAAGGGACAACCACTGAATGATGTCTTAACTTTAACAAAATTTAATTAATATAACTAGTACATACTAAAGTCAGAAAGAAAACTTTATATGTTTAGAAAGACATAAAACTATAGCTCTGTAGATCCTTTGAAGATTCAACAACGTGTGTATTTCACTTCAAGGAAACTGTAAATGTTGTTCGTACTGCTTTTAACGTTTTATATATGAAAAACACCATACAGTAAGAACAATTATAACAATTTCACTCGCATGAGTCAAACAGTTTTAAATCAGGATTTTAAACAAAACAGATGGTTTTAAAAACTATCATCAATCAGTAAAGGGAGTCCATGTTTACGTTTTTGTTAATGAATGGTCAAATAATTCATTAACGGTTCTATTATCGCACATTTTTGTGGATATGTTTTTAATTGTTCAGATAAGTTATTATGAACAGGTCAGAGCCTGTCCCTTTCATTTTGGAAAGAGGCTATATTTATGAGTGTGGCTTACTATGCTGATGACTACTCTTTTAAAGAATCTTTGGAAGATATTGTTATCGCAGTTTTGACAAAATCTGTTTTTTAGGCTAATATGAACTTTTAGAAACCATTTTGATAATGTTCCGCCCGTGTTTTCTTTTATTGAACCAATATTTTGCTCACGATTATTTTGTCTCATGTATTGGTATTATGTTATTACAGAATTTGCTGATGCTCAGATGAATATCAAAGATATAAAATCTGACCTGGTTACTTCAAGAGTACCTTTTTGCGACTACCAAACATATGTTTGTCATCAGCTCTTTCCAAACGAAGATAAACTATCTAATCCCTTAACTAACGGTTCAGAGGTAACATTACATTTGCATTTTTATTAACGAATGCAAATTTAAGCTTAATAAGTTAAGATGTGAAATATGAACGTAATTCTTCTCTTATTGACTGTGCATTTCGTGTATAGAAATTAACGCGTCTTATTTGATAGGTAAAGAAAGCATATTATTCCTTTTAGTTTATCAAAAATATTTAAAAACAAGAAGTTTATAGATATAAGAAGATGTGGTACGAGTGCCAATGAGACAACTCTCCATCTAAGTCACATTTTATAAAAGTAAACCATTATAGGTCAAAGTACAGTCTTCAACACAGAGCCTTGGCTCTCACCGAACAGCAAGCTACAAAGGGCCCCAAAAATTACTAGTGTAAAACCATTCAAACGGGAAAACTAATGGTCTAATCTATATAAAAAACGAGAAACGAGAAACACTTATGAATCACATCAACAAACGACAACTACTGAACATCTGATTCCTGACTTAGGACAGGTGCAGACAATTTCAGCGGGTTTAACGTTTTATTGGTACCAAACATTCACCCTTATCTGAAACAATAGTGTAACATCACAACATAGAAAGACACACTATAAAATATCAATTGAAATGGCTTAACTCAACCAAAAAGACATATTAACACCAGTGAACATACACTGAACAAATAAATTTGATCTATGATACAATGTAAATACAAAATAAATAAACTAAGGGAAGAATGATTAAAGTGAGTAACATATTATACCGCTGTGAAATGTTAAACAATTTGAGAAAAACAATATGCTTGCACAAAAATATCAGCCATTTGCAATTACTTTAAACACAAGTAAATGAAAATAATGTTGTTGTTAGGTATACGTTTACAGTTAACAGGTTTTCCGCTCAATATTTGCAGTCAATGTTTTCTTTTCTTTTTCACTATATAGTTGGCTTTTCAGAGATTTTCACAACTGCTATCTCTTCATTATTTAATAGGCTTGTACATAATTGTTGCTCAGTTTATGTTTGATAGACTGTTGAATAGTAATATTGGTATTGATTTTTATCTAGCAAACAAGAAAACGTATTGTTATTGTTCTTTGTAAACACTCAAATAAATATTATATACTTTCATGGTATAATTCATGTACAATATAAGTTTTAAAATAAAATATTTATGTCTGTTTAAGAAAATTATTAAATTGGAACTGATGATCCTACGTTTTACAATTTTTAATTTACTTTGTTCTCAAGATAATGAATTCCAAGAAAAACAATTATTTGTAGTTTAGGTTAATACATAAAAGAGAGGCGAAAGATACCAAAGGAACATTCAAACTCATAAGTCGAAAATACGATCAACAACAGACAAATACAGTACACAAAACACAACATAGAAAACTAAAGACTAAGCAACACGAACTCCATCAAAAACTAAGGGTGATATCAGGTGCTCCGGAAGGGTAGGCAGATGCAGATCCTACTCCACATGTGGCACCCGCCAGATTTCATATGTTAGTACAAACTTGGTAATAATTCTAATTTGGTCGATCGAATTCGGGGAAAAGGAGACGGGATTGTAGTAACGACAATTGGAACATATCCGCTATCACCTGTGAAACGAATATTCCATAACGGTCAACATAAATACTGGTTTCTTTTTTAATTCCCCAACGTTTGAATTCTTCGACACAAACTATTGTCACTGTATGCGTGCATTTGTCTATTTTAAAAAAGAAGTCAAATTCACACTGTGTTGTTTTTAAGATGATATTTTAATATTATTATGTAATTCGTTTAATACAATACTGCTGGTAAGATATTTGATTAATATTTTATAATGACATATATGTAATGTTCAACCTTACTAGCGGTCTCCCAACAATCAAACTAATTCTTTGACCAGGAAATTGTAAAACCAAAAAGCATGCATTATTGTAATTTTAGATAACAGATGAAAGAAAAACCATAATAAAAAGTGCAATGGAAAAATTCGAAATACTGTGGTCGAACAAGCTTTTCTTAAAATCACTTGTCCAAACATTAGATCGACCGAATATGCTTACAATGCAAGAAAAGTAAGTATAATATACCTAAATTGTTTCGTAATTACTTCATACGTAATATATATATGTAGGACTCTAAAGTGCGATGGGGACGCTAAAACGAGATCGTCACGCTAAAGTGCGATGGTATAGGCTATTCAATGGAACACGCTAAAGTCCGATGCCTCAATACACGTTTTTCCGCAAAAGTGCGTCTGTTCGCGAAAGTAACGCTAAACAGTATTGTAACATTATAAGCCGTTTGTACAAACACAAATGAACATTCCGGAAAACTAGAATGTTTGTCCAGAGGAAGGGTTTTCTTAGACAACGGAAAAAAAGAAGAGAGAAACAATTGATCCCTATCCGGAACATTTTGGTTGGTGCTGGAAGAGATTAACTTGATTTAGCTAATTTGTGTTTACGAAAGAGCCTGAAAACGACTAGAGTAAAAAAATTCAAACGAGAAAAATAACAGTCCGATTTATTTACAAAATAATAAAGGAAAAATAAATATGAAATACAGCAACGACTACCACTGAGTTACAGGTTCCTGGTTTGAAAAAGCTTCATAAGCTGGAGCTTTGGTCCATGCCGCATTGAAAGCTATATATGGCAACACAACGACCAAATTGTAAAACAAATCAAATGACAAAGACAACGACATAATTCATAAACAAAACAATAAACGGAAAACTAATAGGAGCACAGCAAAAAACAAAAACCATTGCCAGAATCTCATTCCCGTTAGACCATCGCACTTTAGCGTGTTAGACCATAGCACTACAGCGTGTTATACCATCGCACTTTAGCGTGTTAGACCATAGCACTACAGCGTGTTATACCATCGCACTTTAGCGTGTAATATAATTGCACTAAAGCGTTTGACACCATAGCACTTTAGCGTAAACCATTGCACTTTAGAGTGATCATCGCACTTTAGAGTACCATCGCATTTTAGAGTTACATACATTAATTAATGCATATTGCATCACGCCATGGCATGTTCAACCGATGATAAAATCATAGTTCAAGAAGACTGTGTTCCTGATGTTTGAATTCAGACAAAGTTATGACGAAGAATTCACAGCGGTGAGACAAAGACGTGCTGTTTTCAGTGGCGGTGGCATCAAAAACATATTAGTTTGCGATTAATAGGAATCACAAGTGGTAGGTCGATAATATTTGGTACGCTGTTGTATTATCATTGGTAGATTTCAGAAAGTCATGGAGACAAGACTAAAGGCGTGCTGTTTCCGCTGTATTCGGTGACAATAGTACTCTATCTTTTAGACTGTTGTTTGTCCTTTCGTAGTTATTATTTTTTACCAGACGGTATAACTTTTGTTTTCGACCTGTCAGTATAAATATCCCTTTATATCATCCGCCTCTCATTATGACACTTCAAGTAAACACTAGCACCATTTTACCTTTATCATCCGCCTCTCTTTATGACACTTCCAGTAAACACTAGCACCATTTTGCATAATTTGAATTTCACAGTTTTCGAATCGGCATACCATTTGAAATAACTTAGCTTTAGATGATTTACATATTTCAAATTTATGTCCCGCGCTGATAGATGATGTGGTTTTTGCGCATATTAACTCTGTAAAATTATAATTTTTCTATTGTAAATATGCAGAACAATAGATGAGTAAAATGATGAACACCGATTATCATTTCCTGATATTGTTTTTTATTTCAATACACGTTTATATTTTATTTTTGGTATTCGATATTCAGTCCTTTTAATCGTTTATCGGCTAACCGTTGCCAACACATATATTTATTAAATCATAATTGTATATATTTCAGGGCTCAGTTTTCGTCAGTTTTGTCGATTTCATTGCTTGGAAATATGAGACTCTTTTTCGAGTAAGTTTATTTTGAATAATATACTTTTTGTTATATTCTAATGAAAAAAAAAAGTTCAATTTAAGAAAGTAGAGAGTTTTTAGTATGAGTTGGCAACTTAAAGATATAAGTATGATCCTCTGTTCTTTGTGGTGCAGAAAAATTGGTTCCGTTTATATTGTTAATACAAGCACGATCATTTCTCAAGAAACACATTAAAGATACCAGGCTTATAATTTTGTACGCCTGATGTGCGTTTCGTGATAAAGCGTCGATTTTTGCTTTTTATATACATGTAGTTGAAATGGTAGACGTTAATATATTCAGCACAGTTAACTTTCTTTTTTGCTATGGACATTCGTTATAAATCTCTTTAGAGACACGATATTCATTGTGTTAAGGGTTGCCTTCTTTATAAATATAGTTAAAGTTGATGTGTGATGCTGTGAGGAGTACTGTTACTTTCAGAAATTATTGTGTTCCTTTATTATTGCGATTTTTAAAGAAAGGACAAAAATGCGAGATTTATTATTGCGATTTCAGTAAAATCTGCATACAGATATATGTATCAGATATCAGAATGCAAGGTCTTATTATTGCAATACTCAATAATTTATGATGCTGTATGTTGAGCAGAATCTTTTAAGCCTTACGTATCACCTAAGATCAGACCCGGATTTCAGTTGAGTTCATGTTTCTCATTCATTTGTTTCCGATGTAGTGTTTTGTGACTTGTTGTTCATCTTGCATCGTTTCTTTTACGTTTTTTTTTTGTTTTGCCTTGCTGTTGTGAGTTATCCTTTGAGTTTTAAATTTTCCTTTGGTATCATTAGCCTGATTCTAACAACATTTTTTAACTGGCTTTATGTAAAAATAAATGACGCCATTAATAAGATTATCCTGGGATTTTTTTGGGTTTTAGTTTCTTATTCTTTTGTCTCTTATTTAGTGTTTGGTGGACTGTTGCTTATCTGTTGTCGTTTTTCCTTTTTTGCCAAGGTGTTGTAAGTTTCTTTTCGACTTATGAGTTTTGAAATTACCCATGGGATAATCCGTCTACTTTTTAACAACATTTTTATCCGGCCTAAAGTAGAAAAATAATTGCAGTCGAACACGATTGGATTATGAAATGATTAACCATCCGGAGCACATAAAATTACTGTCCTTCTTCTGGGGATTTGTGATGCTCAATCTTAATTTTTCTATGAAGTGCAGTGTAAATTGTAGACAGTTTTGTCTCTCACTATATTTTCTTGGGTTTTGTCTGGGTATATTTGATGAGTTGTGACCAAATTTTGTTATCTACTCTTTGATTATCCCCCTTCCTAGTTCCTATAAGGTCAGATATTACTCGAGATGTTTTGTATCTTTTTTTTCTTATTTTGTAGTTTGGTTCATTGTTTGCTGGTTGACACGATTCGGTCATCAACAAAAAAACAGCAGAAAGTTTTATTCAGAAGGTAAATGCAATCTCTGTTTTAGAACTACTGACTGTCGTTCAAAGTTTCCACAGTTTTACTGACTTCTATGTTAATTGAAATGCTAAATCAAAAATCTATAAAAATGATAACAAGTTTATTTTGTACTGCTTTCCTCTGCTCTTATTCAGATGGTTTAAACAAAACATGCTTTCTCACAATATTCGGTACTGATTACTTGTTTTGTAGGTTTGACTCTATTACCCTGAGATTATTGGTAAATTGGTTACAGATTGGGCTGTACAGACAATTAACTGTATGTAGTGTTCTAAAATATTGATACAAATGTAATTAATTTTCTGTCCTTCAACTATCAGGTAGATTTTAGCATAAGAAATGTATTTTTTATGAATTTTAAGGATATGTACATTTGTTATTTTTACTGCGTTATTTTATTATTAATGATAATGATTAACATGACGGTTATTCTGATTTTAACTTCTTATATTTCTGAACATTTATATTTTAAAATCTAAGGTTTCCAAATATAATACAACATATTTTAACTTTACTCTTGTTTGTCATTTACATATGAATAACCAATTTTCGTTACAGTCACACAATGGTATGCAACTGTTTTTGTTATACAAAGCAGTACAAACAATTACAGAAATGGGACCAATAGATGCAATTACAGGTAGTTCAAAGAACACCATTGCAGAAGAAAAGCTACTTAAAATGAGGATCGAACACCAAAATATTGTAAGTCAAATAGCAGTTACGCCGCTAGTAATCAAATTGTTTACTGAAACAGGCATTTCAATTTGATTCGATTGAAAAATGATTGAATTTTGATTATGTTGGATAATTGACTTATTGGCAATATTAATGGTACCACTTTTCCTTATCTGTATTGAGAGTCTATTTGTTAATGAAATGATTTTCAGACTAATTTCAGAAACGTTTTTCAACGTTTTGGAAATGTTCAATAGCGTTCAGCTTAAATCGGCTGTTTCAGTATTACATTCATAACTAGATCATCCTATTCTGAATTTGTTAGTATTATTAAACGATATAAATGCTGTCATTCATTGTTATATTTATCATAACAAGAGACGAATCGGGAACAGTGACAGAGTACTCTAACGAAGTATGTATCAATCGAAAAGAGACTTTAAATGCAGTGACTAGGGTCTCGTCGATGCCTTTAAAAATCACTCTGGCTAACTGTCTGTCTCTTTTCCCGTCTGGCCCTCAGCACTTATACGTTATATGTAAAAACCATAAAATGAAGGTCCCGTTCGATCTTCTAAAATTGAAAAAGAACTATAGTACAAAACTTGGCTTCGTCAAACATTATCAATAATTTGATAAATCTTATTTTGCATTAATTTTGACACAATTTATATATATATGCTTATCAAAATTAATCCCAATATCAAAACTTGAATTTTGTGATAAAATAGTAGAAATTTGACGTAAAAACTACGTTTTTGTAAAAAATCACAAATTTTTAAAAAACATCTTTTTGTGTAAGGCTTTTAATAAACATCGAAATAAATGTATAATGAATTGATCAAAATTAATTGCAAAAAAATTAAAACAAATGTTCTATTAACTTACTTTCAATTAATGCATAAGAAAAAAATTGATATCCTGTGTCAAAACATATTGGCTGTCCACCATTTCAGAAATACAATGTACATTTGTAGCTGCCAAAATGCATATTGCTTGGATTTAACAAAATTTTATATTCATCGAGAACACATCCAGATTTAATTCCTTGTATAAACATGTATACCCATGAAAACACTTGCGTTGTGAGTTTGTATTAGTTATTTCATTGTGTGCCTCTCTCTAAAATGTGTTGACATGCCAGATTTCTAGTAAAAATTAATGTCTATATTATTAAATTTGAATAAACGGTTAAACACGTTTGTAGATGAATCTAAACATTAGTTCACAATTTTAATGACTTTGTTGGTATGGATTCAAAATTGTTATTTTTTTATTGTTTTTAGTGTATTTTTTTTTTTATTATTACATATTCTGAATTTTTTTATTCCTTAATCTTTTTGAACATATATGCGCTGAAGATTTGTCTTACTTCAACTTAATCGCGGAATATTAGAATTATTTAACTTCTTAAGGTTTCATCAGTAAGGTTAATGCTATTTCATTGAATTAATCACCGTGTAATAGACGGTTTTATTTGAAGAAAACGGGTTTGTTTGAGCATTCCATTATCAAATGTTGCTCAAATGTATTTTGTTGTTTTAGACATTACAAATAGATCTGAATGGAAATAGTTGCCAGCATTTTCCTGTCAAAGTTATTGACTGTGATACAATATCACAGGTGAAACAGAAATGTTGTGCGCAGGTTTATAAGAATAAACCTGCTTCAGAAATACCAAACGATGATGAACTTTCTTTAGGTATGTATTTCTAATCACAATACATCTAAAATCCATTTCTGTTTGAATATAATATGTGTGTTCATAAAATGTGGATAACTTTGAATAAACTGAAAACTTTTTCTGTAATATGATTGACCTATTAACCATGCGATCAAGATAGCAAAGGAATATACAAACTCGTAAGTCACGAAAAACTGACATCGCCTTGACAAAATTGGATCAAAACGACCAAAGAACAGTCTACAAAACACAACAAAGAAAACTAAAGACGGAGTAACACGAACACCACCAAAAAACCGGGGATAATATCAGGTACTCCGGAATATGATACCGGTCGTCTTGCTCATTTTAGTTCAGTTCAGTGCTATATCTAATTCGATGATATCACATTCAAGGAAAGAAGACTGGATTGTTTTTACGACAATTGGAACATATTTGTCGTCATCTGTGAAACAGAAATCCTATAACGGTCAACCATGCCCAGCTCGTGATAGCGTCGGTTATATTGTCGAAAGGATGACATAAATTTCACCATTTGTTTAATAGCTTCCCTATAAGCAGAAAAACCCTATCATGGAAATCATGATCGATAAATTCAAGCTCTGGAGTATCACATCAACTGGGAGATATATTCTCATATGCAAGTGCTATGTGAATGTTGCTACATAGAAATGAAAAGTTTCCAGTTGAGAAGCTGAAATTATCTTTATTTAATTCTCGACAGACCTTCATTGTCAAAGTCCAGATGTTAATCAAGATATAAGGCAGACTTAACTGTATATGTAGTATTCTTTAATTTAAATTCGGTGGGATAGAAGCGTTAAAAAAAGTGTATCAAGCTATAAATGATTAAGTGAGAGGACATCATCTTTTTAGCGGACCTTGCAGTTCAAGGATAATGCAAGCTTTTTTAACCGCTACTGTATGTCGAAATTATCAAAGGAACAAGCCTGCAAAGAGAAGTTGCTGCCTATGGGAATACCGATTGTTTGTTAAAAAAAACCTCCTCCAAACGTAAAAAAATATGTTGTTAATCAAGAACACAAGCATTTTAATAATGTCTCAGTCTCGAAGAATCTTTTGTTTAAATCATACATTTGTTTTTACAAAGTATGATCTATCCCTGTCTTAAGGTGTAATACCACCATTGATTTTCCCCTATTAGTCTTTGTTAAATTTGCACTTTTGAAAAAATTGTGCAGAATTTATCTTTGTTTCAAATAAAGAAATGCTTGGCATGATTAAAATTTTATCCTGTCCAGTACTATAGAAAAAATTTCACATAACATTTCATTGCATATAAGAAAAAAACCATCACTGGAAGTTAACCAATCAAATTTTCCCTTTTTTTTAACCTGTGTACAAGCTTTAGTAACCATGTAACCTCAAGTTTCCAAAATATTCTATAGAAACCCCAAATAAAAAAATAATGGTGCTTTGAAATACCAAAGATATATGTTTATGACCCAGAAATGTTTTACTGCAATGAAATGTAGGATCAATTACCTACCACTGTCAAATTCAAGGGAATATTATTTTCGACCTATTTTCGCATGCAACCGGATGTGACGTACTATGATTTGGTGGTATTACACCTTAAACAAGATAATTGGTTCTACGCTGGCTATTTTTTGTTGGGGAGGGGGGGGGGGGGGATAAAGAAGGACCAATTATTTCAATTAGTCTTAATGTTTAGAATGGGGAATATTTGTGTAAAGTGTCGAGAAGTCAAAAGATTAGATACTATTGCAAGACGAAAGAGATACAGATTATATGTAATCTATCATAATTGTTGAATATTTTAGTACCAACATTGGATTCACAACTCACATAAGCAGATAATTTCATAATAAACATTAAGCCCGGCTTTAATTGCTGATAAAATTGCTTCTAATAATTTCAATAGGGGTGTTTTGGAGCGTTTGGATGACCCAGTAATATAACGATCTAAGAACAATTATGTAATGTATGTATTAGTATCAAATACAGTTAAGGCAGATCCAGTCCTACATTTTTGTTTAAATTCCAAAGGAACATAGAACAGTCCTATGAATATTCGGTATGTGTCGTTGGGACATATGGTGACTTGTTGTGTGTGATCCAAGACAGATCAGGATAAATTGAATAGATCTTGTTATCTACTGACAAAACATTAAACCATATATGACAACAGAAAACAAAATCAAGAACAAAATCACCACCATTGGCAAAACCGAATCGTATGAGCTTATTGTTATAAGAATTTGTTTTTCTTTTGGTTTTAAGGTATTTTGCTCCTCCAATTTTAATACATAAATGAGATATACAGTTTTATCGTCCGCCGGTAGTTGTGGAGACAAGCCTATGCATAGCAACTATTCATATGTATACGTGTTGCAAAAGAGAAGCAAAATAAAAAATGAAAACAACCCGTTATAAATTGCATGCATCCGAAGCGCGTTTCTGGATTTACCTTCATCAAGAACGCTCAAAGCCGAATATTTGAAAGCCAAGGATGTATAAGAACCTAAACAGTTGAAGAGCTATATAACCAAAAAAGAAATAAACTGACCACGCCTTTGCAAACAAAACGAAAAGCGACGAAAAGACAAACAACAGTACACACAACACTACATAGAAAACTTCGGAAGGGTAGGCAGATCCTGCTCCACATGTAGCAACAGTCGTGTTACACATGTAAGTACACACACGCAAATAAGTCTAATTCGGTAGGTCACATTCGGAGAAAAGAAAAAGGAATTGTGGTTACGACAATTGGTACATATATGTCGTCATTTGTGAACCTGCTATTTCATAACGGTCAACCAACTCGTGATGGCGTCCGTAAACTTTTCGAAAGATGATTTTAACTTCACCATTTACATCTTGCTTCAATAGCTTCCTTGTTAGCTGCAACTATCCAGCTCTTGAATATCGTATCAACTAGGAGATATATACTCCATATGCAGGCGCTACATAAAAAATGAAAGTTCACAATTGGGAAGCTGAAATCAACCGACCCTCAATGTCAATTTTTAGATGTAAGTAATGATATGAGGTGGATTTAACTGTATCTGTTGTATCCTTTATTTCAAGTTTCAAACAAATGTGCATGTTGTCATGGTCCTTATCTTTTATATCATATAGCTTGTATGTTTATATTTGAGGTCATACATAAAAACACATTCGTTTATTATATTATAGAATGGCAAGAAGGAAAAGCTGGCAAACTAACATTGAATGATATTGATAACACCAATGAAAGAAACAATGGATTGATATGTCTGAATACCTTAAAACATTATATGGTTAAGGACAACAGTAGAATGGCCCTGATGTACAAGCCTCATGGCAAACAAGAGATCTTTGGTAAAAAATGTTCATCAATCTATATCAAATATCAGTCATGTGTCTAATATAATCATCGTTGAATCATTCCTATTCCTATGCCAATATCATACTCACTATTGATATATATAGATTATAACATGGCCTTTTTCATATCAGACCCCTTATCAGCCCTAGGTCATGTTATCAGCCCGTGAGCCGAGAGGCTCGAGGGATGATTTTGACCATGGGCTGACAAGGGGTCTGATATGAAAAACGACATGTTATGTTCTTTTTATCATAAACTTCAGCAGAAGACATACAGACAAAACTATTTTTAAAACGTTGAAACAATGCATTTGTTGTAATATTTGTTTTTTATTTTTTAATAATATATTTTCCTGATTATTAATATTTTCTTTTTCTCCAACTTTGTTATGTTTTACTATAAAAAAAACCGTACCATTGAGGTACATTTTCCGGAATTTGCCGAATTAATATTTAGTTTGCTTTTAATTTACTGATAACACAATCAATATTAGTACCAATAAAAACAATATTTAATGATCTAATTACAGTGTTGAATCGGTAACCTTTAAGAATAATTTTATTTAAAGGATCGATAAGTTTATCAGGATCGTTTCTAAATTTCCGGGCACGGTAAACAATATTGCCGTAAAAATGAGGATGTGCAATCCCGTTTGAAATAAGTTTTCTACAGGTACAACCAAACTTAGCCAAATCTTAATATCTGTGGAAGAATTTAGTAAAAGTTTTAAGTAATTTGTGGTAACAAAATCCCTGGCTTAATAATTTACCAGTAATACATAGATTACGTTCGTTGAAATCAAAACGTCACAACAGACACGGGCATAGCGAACGAGTTGTGAAATATAAACACCGTAAGATGGTGCTAAAGGAACATCACCATCCAAAAAGGGAAAATTAACAATAGGGAACGACAAATCGTCCCTTTTGTCGTAAATTTTAGTATGGAGTTTCCCGTGTAAAACCGAAATTTCTTAATCTAGGAAAGGACAGTTGTTACCGTTTAAATTTGATTTATTTAAAGTAAGTACCTTTGGGTAAATTTCTGCAGTATATTGAGAAATTTCGTGATTATTTAACGAAAAAATATCATCAAGATAACGGTAAGTGTTGTTGAATTTATCAATTAAATGCAATTTAGACGAGACATGCCTGTTCCAAGCTACATGTAAGTCAGGAGCATATAATTCAGTGATTGTCATTAGTTGCTATGTCATATTTGTGTTTCTGTACTGTTGTGTGATAAATCAGTCCGTTGGTTCTTTTGTTTGAAATGTTTCACATTTTGTCATGTCGGGAAGACAGAAAATTGATAGGGGATATCACATCCTAATGCTTTAAAAAATGAAAACAACACGTTATAAATTTAATGCGTCCGAATGTGACTTAAAATAATAGCAAAATCCATGTTGTTGTTTATATAAACCGCAAATATATGTAAGATCCATGTCAGCTGATTATTCCGTAGAATAAATTTAAGAAAGGTTATCAATTTAATGTTGTAGTAAGATCTCTGAATATTTGCTTTGTCAAAATTAACACTGATTTTGTTTTAAATAGATTTGTAATACTATCCATATATGTACTCTTGTGATCATACATCCTGTTGATACTAATCTTGTGTGCATTATACAAGGATAAGCTTCTTTCAGACTGTTTGTATTATTTTTACACAAAAGCTGTTTAGTATGTTTTACTTGATATATCTAAGTTTTGAAAAACCTGAATTTTTTATTAGTTGAAATCGGCTTTGAACTAGCTTTTAGTAAATGTGAGTGCTCGGTACGTTATGTATTTTTCTTTTTGTTTACTGTATTCTTTGAATCAGGTCGAACTATTTAGTCATGCCTTTTTAGCTGACTTTTTAAAACAAATGTCTTATGTTATTCTGTTACACTACTGTCTCAGGGTGTGTAATACGTTTAATAAAATGCTCCGGGTGGCGCAGCCTGATACGACTACAGAGTTCAATCCATGAACAGTTGGGGAAAGTATGGACACTACATTCAAGCTTGATACAGCTCTGAATTTGGATTGTGATTAAATATTTGACACAAAATAGGTTTCTGACACAGAATGAATGTGGTCAAAGAACAGAAAAATTTGAAATTGGACTTTTACCTATTATGGTCCAATATCAAAAATATAGATATACCGTTAGATTCATCATATCCAAGTACACAACGATTTTATTTATTTATTTATTTATTAATGGACATGTAGTTTTTAAAGAGGTTAGCGTCATCAAAAAAATATATATGTAGCATTCTGAAAGTTATAAAGAGTAAAAAACAAACCTACCACGAAGTTCTAAAAAAAATTTAAAAAAAAACAAATTTCCAAAATATCATTCATCATTAAAACAATGTCTTTTACAAATTTATAGAACTTAACTTTAATTATTTTTCAAAATATCTAAAAATGAACAGTAAATTTCAAACTATATCTATACATAGTTTCTTCTTGAAATTAGAATTTGATGATATATCTATTTTTAACTATGAATCTATAGTTGTACAATTAGAGATATATGTGGTACAATTAGAGATCCATACACTTGTACACAAGTTATTATCCTGAACTAGAAAAATGCTTGTTTTGGCCCCTAATTCCTAAACAGTTAAGACAATTAGCCCAAAAATAAATCCCAACCTTCCGTTTGTATTATGGAACCTTGCGGTACAATGTCATAGAGATCCATACACTTATACTCACGTTATTGTCTGGAAACCAATTGGCTTAAGATGACAACGACGACGACGACGCCAACGTCATACCATTATGCGAAAGCAAAAATGTTGCCGTCATATAAAACCTTTCAAATACCTCTTTTTCTTCGATCCAAGTATAATCATTATGACAAATTAGGGTAAACACAATTTAGAATTACCACACAAATTGCTGAAAACATAAGACTAACAGCATGTGTTATATTAGCCTCAAGTTCAGTGAAATACATTGTTTATGCTATATACCATTATATAAAATGTTAAATAACTAAAACAAGTACAATGCTCTTGATATAAAAATAAAAAAAGGAGATGTGGTATGCTTATCAATGTGACAAACAAAACCACTAAATTACATGATCCTGCTTCGGGAGAGAGACCTAAATAGTGTGGCAGGGTTAATAGATATAAGATGTGGTTTGAGTGCCAATGAGACAACTCTCCATCCAAGTCACAATTTGTAAAAGTAAACCATTATAGGTCAAAGTATAGTCTTCAACATAGAGCTTGGCTCACACCGAACAGCAACTATAAAGGGCTCTAAAAATGACTAGTGTAAAACCATTCAAACAGTGTAACCAACGGTCTAATCTATATAAAAAACAAGAAACAAGAAACACTTATGAACCACATCAACAAACGACAACCATTGAACATCAGGTTCCTGACTTAGGGCAGGTGCAAACAAAGGCAGCGGGTTTCACGGTTTAAATAGGCGCCAACCTTCACCCTATCTGAAACAATAGTGTAACATCACAACATAGAAAGAAACACTAACATGTTTGTGAGAGCTTAATTAACCCTCCCCTAACATGGGACAGCACAACATAAGAACAAACTATAAAAATCAGTTGCAAATGGCTTATCTTATTAGATCGGAAGGAAGCACAAAAAAAATAGCATAAACAAGATAGACACAAAACACCGATATTAGAGTACTAGCAGTTACTGAAAGCTAGTTTAAACCCAATTACAACTAATAAAACTATAATGTTCCCTTAGACTTAAATATCAATAAGTGCACATCCAAAGATGTCATTAACAGTCTGAGAAACGCATGACCTTTATTATATTTTAATGAGTTGTTTTTATAATTTCTAGTGAACACGCCAGGTATAGAAATAGAAAGTAAGATTTCAGAGGCTATGTCATTGCTAGAGTCGGACGATGGTGAAGACGAGAAGTCAGAACCACAAAAATGGCACTTGGTACATGTATATTAACTTACCTTATATTTACAATGCATATTGAATAGTTGTAAGCTTTCATTTAACATGTTTAAATTCCATGTTCAGGTATTCCTAAAGTGCATCAAAAATTGTGCATATTATTTAGACACAATCATTATAACTATAAAGGTATAGTTATTTGATATTTACCTTTGAGACATTGATAGTGAACCGCGGCTGTAAGAGAGGCTCCACTTTAAAACACAATTTAGAATTGTCTTACTGAAGAAAATTATCTTTTATAATTTGACCGTAACAAACATTATTTAGAATTAATATCAATAGTATTTGTATAGGAAACGATTTTCCGAAATTGCCAGTGCATACTGTAAATAAAAAAAATGCTTATCTTGTAGTTGGTTATTCCTTATATAATACGTTTGCATATAAATATTGGCCATTTTTGTAACGACTAAGAATTTAAATAAACCGTGCCAAAGTTTTATCCAATTCATGCAATAGGCAAGTAGGTAAGGAAGACTATATGAAATATTTTTAACTTCATTTTAAATCATTCTTTTTTAGAGTTTTAGTTTGTTTGGTCAATCTTTATACATCTTATTATTTGGTTTTTTTTTTCTATAGGAAACATGTTCGGTAAGTAAAGAATGTGCTGTCGTGTGTATACTTTGGAATATATTCGTATGTTTGATACTCATTAGTTAGAACTATTATGATATTATCAACTTAACCAATATCCTATACTTCAGTAAGATCTGTATTTGTTCTCCCTGTATTCATAAGCGTCAGGGTTTATATTCGTTTTCTCTTTTCTTTGGATGCAGTTTGTCTCATTGATATATAACCTACTCGTAATAATTTGAGTTATCATAGCAAACATTAACGGGTTCATATAGTCATCTTTTAGGCTAATCATTTGAAAGTTGCACAATGTTATTAACTTATTAATGTGCATCTTAATATTTCGGCAAAACAAGTAAGCATGAAGTGCATTTATTTTAATAATAAACTAATTCATAAACAAAAAAAGTTGCTAATCTTAACGTCTTCATATTGCAGTTGTGTAATGTGCACAAGCCTTTTTCAACATTTTATAAACTCTTTGAATTTGGTTAAGTAAGCAATGGGAATCATTTTGTGTTCATTGTGATAATTTTCTATTTCCTCAATTTTGGTGAATATTGTCGTAAATTATACAATGATTATAAGTTCAGTAGTCTAATCAATGGTTTTTTTTCCTGGAATGCAGAATTTGCTCCTAAACCAGAAGTCCAACTGATATGCTACTTTTTGCTTCTTACTAGGTGTTTAGAAATCACCAGTGACATATCATGTAGTCTAAATTCTGAATAAGAACATATCATAACGATATAGACCAGTACAAGTGTTCTACTCATTTCATATAAACATGTTTTCGTCTTTATTTATACATGTAGAAATATGTGATTCTAGATTGCCATGCTTTCTCATCACTAATTTGTAAATCACTCTCTTTGACCACTGTCATAGATTTGTAGCGAGTAATACGCATAAAAATGACAAGCTTAGTTTATTAAGTCAAGTTATAAGGTATAAGTATATATTATATAACAATGCTTTACCGTTATAAATCGTCTTCCAAGTTAACATGCGTTCACCTGAGACATTAAAAAAAAAACTTTACAAAAATGATCAGTTGTTTACCTATGTTCAAATCTCGTAATTCGATTAAGGAGAGACAAATCAATATCATAAACAAAAGCTGATGGAATCCCATGAACTCCAAAAGTAGCGAGACCGGGTGCTTTGAATGAGTAAGCGTCTACTACTATGCATGCATCACTCGCTAAGAGGGTCCACACTTTTACAATCGGGAATGGGACACACTTGGTACAATTTCATCTCCCGTACACAACAGACTGTACTTTTTTAGTCTAATTTTTAAAATGTCATAATCGGGAGTGGGACACACTTGGTACAATTTCATCTCCCGTACACAACAGACTGTACTTTTTTAGTCTAATTTTTAAAATGTCATAATCGGGAGTGGGACACACTTGGTACAATTTCATCTCCCGTACACAACAGACTGTACTTTTTTAGTCTAATTTTTAAAATGTCATAATCGGGAGTGGGACACACTTGGTACAATTTCATCTCCCGTACACAACAGACTGTACTTTTTTAGTCTAATTTTTAAAATGTCATAATCGGGAGTGGGACACACTTGGTACAATTTCATCTCCCGTACACAGCAGACTGGTTTTTTTTTAGTCTAATTTTATTACCCAATATTCAATAAAAAATAGAGTTGTTTCTCCATTTAATTAAGACATTTCAAGTCGTATTCCAAATCATTTGTTAGCTTGTGAGTTTGAAAATGTCTTTGGTATCTTTTGCTTCTCTTTTTCGTCATTTACATGTGTAAAAGTTCAACAAAATCCAATAAATTCTACCAACATTATGTACACGATATACATTTTTACTTTTTGTCATTACCTTGACTGTAAATAAAAAAAATATATAAGAAAGGTTCATTTAAGTTTTTGCGCAGTGTTCATTGCTCTTAAACTTTGTACTTTATTTGGCCTTTAACTCTTTTATTCGAGCTCTACTGATGAGTCTTTTGCAAATAAAACGCGCGTCTGGCGCACACATTATAAGCTTGTTACCTTTGATGAGGTTTTTTTCTTGACATAAAAACACCTTTAACAGATTTATGAGGAAGAACGATTCGAATTGATGCTACATCTGTATTGCCTTCACCATAAGGAATAACAGAATAGTCGTCTGGTTTGTCAATGTATCCATTGTGTCCTATTCCTGGTTTTGAAATTTTAATTGAGAGGGGATGCATATGCTGGTTAATGCACGTAAAGCATGGGCGCTTACCCTGTCGACGAAACCGGTCTCGCTCAAATTGTAGTTCATGCTGCGATACCCTTATTTTTGTGTAACCTAATTTTTGTTTTATCTTTACAAGGTATTTATGAGATTTGATAATCGTTAAACTTTTGGCTCACATCTTCATTTGTAAAAATCAACACGGAGTTATAGAAAGTAAACTGTCGTCATTTTTACTTAACATATACTCTTAAACCCTAAGCATTTATAAACTATTTAGACATGTAAAATTTTCAAAATAAGACACTGAATAGCGGTTTTTTATGATAAATATTCGAAAAAATGTTTCTGTGAATAGTGAAAAGAGCTGATAAATATATATATTGAAAATTACGTTTAAAAGAAGTTTAGCAACAAAAGTTTATCCCTGGTTTTTGCTGCCATCTGTAAAATAATTGCATCCTGGATAAATTTAATTGCATGTTATAGTTATATTCAAACAAAGGATAATCAAATAATGGCAACAGTAGTATATCGCTGTTCGATAGTCATAAATCAACCGGTTCCAGATGTTACTTGAGTTTTCATTTATTTTTAATGGTAAAAATTTATTTAAAATCTGTAAACTTTGTCAGAAATAAATCCAGCATTATTATGATTATCTCTTATATTGGACAATAGCCTCAATATTCATTTATTTTTGTATTAACGTAGCATTGACAAATCATGACTTAGGAATAGTGATTTGTCTGTGTGTAATTGGAAACTGATTTTATTATGTTTAGGAATAATAATATTTATCATATTTTCTAGTCTAATCTACCAGATGACGAAAAGTCGAATAGACAACTTGACTTTGGGAACATCTTTTTGAATAGATTATTTCATACGAAGGTATGATAGTGTCCATTACTTGAGTTTTATCATTATAAAGAAAGCATACATATTGGAATCATTATCAGTCGACTGCATTGAAACGTAAAGTATTATCTAAATGAAACGCATGAACTTGTTCTGTACAGAAATGTCTAAATATAACATAAGTGGTATATAGTTAGTTTCTGTTTGATGTAAGGTCTTCTGAAACGTAACGGTATACTAATAAAAATTAGTAAGTCGAAAAAAGACAGACAACACCATGGCGAAATCAAAAGATAGATGTTTCTTTTCTTCCTCTCACACTAAATTTCTGAATTTCGTTACATGAAATTGTATAGCAAATGTTCATCAAAGAGATATAGTTTTCTGTAGTAGGATTAGTTATATAAACTCACATATTTTTACTAACACTTAACCAAGAAATACAGGAAGGCTCAAGCAAAAACAACACAAACCCATTTAAACAATGCTAACCATGGTTAGATAGCTGCCTTCTACGCAGCAACCTCTAACAAGAGAATGAGGATATGAAATGCAGTTCTTGAAAATCGTGCTAGCTGAATTTAAAACATGATTTTTTTTCAATAGACAAATTTCAATCTTCTCTTGTGTAGTATCGATCTTATCTTAACCTCTCTGTCAATTTCTAAATGTTATTCAAGATATGAATCAGCAGGCGACATTTCTAAACTGAAATTGCAATGTTAATATTACCTTCACAAATCGTATTTTGTTCGATTAACTTCTTAAAATTTTCAAACAAGAACTTTTATATGATATCGATATAAGAAGATGTGGTATGAGTGCCAATGAGACAACTCTCCATCCATGTCACAATTAGTAAAAGAAAACCATTATAGGTCAAAGTACGGCCTTCAACACGGAGCATTGGCTCACACCGAGTACGGTAATAGTGCATATACGAAAGAATCTTTATACTATAAAGGATATTAGTACATTAAAAAAAACTAAGGGTGTGGTAATTTTAAGGATTTGAATTATTTATAAATTTTCAATTTGTCATTCGGGGGGGGGGGGGGTACGGGGGCGCTAACTTTTATTGTATGCAATTTTACATTAATTAAGGGTGTGCATATTACCGGGATATTAATTTTCATTACATTTTCTACTAATGGTAGGAAATTTAACTTGTTAACCATTTTCAGAGTGGGTATTAAATATGTCCTTTACTATTCCCCAAAATGAACGCTTGTGGTACTTTATGAATACTTGCAGCGGCAACCGTCTTATTTGTCTAGTTTTAACCTATTGTCGTCTGATTGAAGGTTTTTTAATTATTTTATAAATACAATAAACACCATGTTCAACAACTATACCGACATCATAATCAAACTGTGTGCCGGTACCAAGTTAGGCTATCCGGGGCATGGCGTGTTCAGAACAGTCGGTTGTTGGTAGTCTGTTATACTGTCTAACTTGTTTGTAATTTATTTTATTCGTTTTATGCACTTGTTCTTCAAGAACAAACAATATCTGGACACTCTTTGCTGTTTGTAGTGATTACTTATAACTGAATTGTCAATTAATGTTTTAAGAACAAATGAGTACATTGAATCAAATATATATGCATATCTATCTCCAGTTGCTCCTAGCAGACTACATTGATTCGACTTTTGAGGAAATAGTAGATCCGCAAACACTATCGATTCCAATTCGTTACTTCCTCTGCATGTTGGATAAATTTGGAGATGACTTTAACATTGATCCAGAAGTACTGCAATCATGGAAAAATGAGTTGTAAGTGTTCAAGATATTTGCAGAATTTTTTTTAACTACGTTTCTACATACTAAGGTTGAATAATCAGGGTAAAAAAATTGTTCATGCATCTATTTATAAAAATCTATCATTTCTCATTAGTTGTTTACTATATTGTTTTATATAATCATTACACTGGTGTCGTCTCATTTGGCACGTTTGGAATCTTTATACAAAATTAATCTTTCAATCCTATAGCGTTATTGGTTTTGTAACCATTCATGATTAATTTTTCTTCTATATTTTAGTTATGCTACACGAATTTGGGCTCCATTGATTGGTAAACCAGACATACTGTTTGACGTTAATGTGCCTGGTCATGTCGGGCCATGTTTGGACATTCTGAGACAAGTCTTTGTAGAATGCTTCACACAGACAGCCCACAAAGTAAACAAGGTCAGATTTCAAGTATATATTATTTTATTTCAGTGTATGTGTTTTTGTATTTCAGTGGTCAAAAGTATGTTGTTTGACTACAATTGGTACAATCTGAAAGCAGTGACTTTTTTTTAATTCCTCATATTTAAAAACTGCAATAATAGCATTATCGGTACCAATTTTTCTGAGCCAGATGCGCATTTCGACAATATATATCTTTGATGCTCGATGCCAAAATGTTTGAAAAATCCAATTTATATAAAAAAATGAAGAGCTTTTAAGTCAAAAAAGGACAATGTTTAGTTAAACTCGGGCAAAGCTATATATCACAATGAAATAATTCATATGTTGATTGCTGATGCAAAAAAATACTATCAAATTTTATTTTGCAATTTTATTTGTAAATGGACAGGATTCACCATCACAGAAATTATTGTTCCATAAAGATATTCCAAGATACAGAAAACTCATCGGTCCTTTCTTCAAACGGGTAGAGCCAGTCAATGATCAGGCATTCTGGAGTGAAATAGACGAACTATCAAATGTAATTGTTATTATTTTATCACATTTAAAATTCACTAGATTAAAATTATGAATTTAACCTCTCTGTAAAGGAAAACTTTAAAATATTAAAGCGGCTATAGAGTTTGAATCAATATTACTTTTGCATAAATACTGTTTGGTTCATCAATGATATCGAAGTCTCTGTATTCAAATACTTTCTAAGAGGTTTAATTTTATTGATTTTTATTTTATTTTTATTTTTTGAATGATAGAATTCTTATTGTTTATAAAGAAATAATTTCTACCATCACAAAACACTTTTTGTTTTTGAGTGAAGGAAGAAGTGATAAACGTGAATATGACATCAACACAACAACAGCAACAAAAGCGAAATGAAATCTAGATGTTCACATATAGTACATGGGGCCATACAATATTCTGAGCTCGTGCAGTCTTTAAAATATTTTAATGATTAATGAAGAAACCATGAAAAATCTGCCATTTTTACACAGTTGTATTTTAGAAAATTTTGCATCCGGGCGTGAATACAATGTGTCTGTGTCATGATATCATCACAAATATACGATCAAAACATTACAATAGATTTTAATATTCATTTTAGAAACAGAAAGCAGAACTGAAGTTCAGCAGACAGTTGATTCTTCATCAGATATATAATTCGTTCATTGGAAAGTACAGAAGTGAAGTATGGAAAATTAAACCTATTAGAACTTATCATGTTAAACATAAATCCTGTATTAATGAACGTTTATAAAATAAGACATAGTAAAGCATGCTGTTTTCATGCCTACATCATAGCTGATGTTAAATGCATTATATGGGTTTAGAATTACATGACTTTCTTAGGTCTTATAAAAAAATACTGACATATAGGTGTTACCATCGTTATCGCGGCCATGCCTTATTAGTAGTTGTAACAAAAAAAAATATTCAACGCTGATATCTTAAGTGCGTCCCCTGCAGGCCATTTTTTAAAATTCCTTTCTCCGTCCTCTTGTTTTGGCCAAAATTACCAAAATTCTTTTTTTTTTCGTAAACACACTTAACGACAAAAAAGAACGTATTGATTTGACATGTTAGATAACACGTATTCGTAGTAACCTTCATCGGAGATACTCAAGACCAAATCATTGGAAAGGATAACAAAGCATATTACAAGAAACAATTTCTGCAATTGTTTTCAATACCAGTGGATAGAAATGATAGTATATGTTATGATGTTAGTAAATATCAAAGCATACATATCCTGTTTCAGAACGTTTTGACATTTCCTTTCCGATTTGATGCCTAATTTGTTGTCCAAGGATATAATTGAGTATTTTCGAACACTTCAATTATGTTTTTTGTTTTAGATAATTGAGGATTTTGAGGATATGGAAGAAAGCAAAGACCTCCAATTTGCAAAAAAGGTTGAAGAATTCATAGATTTGATGGAAGAATGTTCAAATAATTCTTAAATGAATATCACAGAAACTGTAAATAAGAGATTTTTCACAACATTCATGTCTCACTTATAATGACATTAAAGATATCTATGAGCGTAAAGGCTTAAAACTTGTCAGCAAATTTAATGAAATCATAATTTTAATGAAGTAAGCGTTCCTGCATTGTTAATTGAATGGCTTTAAGAAATACTTTTTCTCAAATTTAAAGCCTTTTTCTGTAACGAAAAAGGAAAGTATGCTAGATACACTTAGTGGAAATGTGAAGATATGATTGAAGCTTTAAATTTTCTCCTGGACAACATATATGTACGTTTCGGCGATAGAATGTATCGACAGGTAGTAGGTATTCCTATGGACACTAACTGCGCCCCTTTAATAGCAGATTTATTCCTGTATTGCTATGAATCTCAGTTTATGACCAAACTCAGTAAGGACACGTCATTGTTATATTTGGTTGATACATTCAACAATACCTTCCGTCATCTAGATGATATTTTTTCGTTAAATAATCCAGAGTTCTCTAAATATACTACCGAAATTTACCCAATTGAACTTACTTTAACTAAATCTAACATAAACAGCAGTAGTTGTCCTTTTCTGGATTTGGAAATTTCAATCTCTAAAGGAAAACTCAATACGAAAATTTACGACAAAAGAGACGATTTTTCATTCCCTATTGTTAATTTTCTTTTTTTAGACGGCGATGTTCCTTTGGCTCCATCATACGGTGTATATATATCCCAACTCGTTCGTTATGCCCGTGTGTGTAGTGATGTCATAGATTTTAACGAACATAATCAATGCATCACTGGTAAATTATTAAATCAAGGATTTCGTTACTATAAATTACGTAAAACTTTTGCTAAGTTCTTTCATAGATACAAAGATTTGATTAGTAAATTTGGCTGTACTTGTAGAAAACTGATTAAAAACGGTATTTCACATCCTAAATTTTACGGTAATATTGTACTTAAGGCGCGGAAATCACTATGTGATCCGTGTAAACTCATCGAACCTTTAAACAGGCTTATTAGTAAAGGTTATCTTACCAATGTTGTAATTAGATCTTTGAATATAGTTTACATTGGCACCAATATCGATTTTGTCATCAGCAAATTAAAACATAACTAAAGTTGTATTTTTTTTAAAGTGGGATGTATAAAGACACACCCACGTTCGTTTAGATCTATAAAGAGGTTATACTCCTAACTATCCTACTGTCTGTCGATACATTTATTTTTGGCATTGCACTAGTCATGTCTTCTTTGACTGTCCATGACGTTAAAATACTAAATCCCTGGGATGTGTTTTAGTTGATTTTAGTCTCTGATGCATGATTTTTATTATTAATTGTTTTGGCTTTTAACTAGCTGTCAGTAACTGCGAGTACTCTCAAATCGTACTTTCTTGTTTATTTGACCTGTTGATACTAATTGTATTGCTTTTTTGTTATTTAATGTTATTCAGGGTTATATCTGGTCTATATACCAGCTTTTATAAGTGTTTGGTATAACTATAAATTTTCAATTCGTACTATGAACATCAAAATTATTTATTTTGTAATAATATTTCCTTTCTCTATTGGTACTGTACACGTATACCTGACAACAAAATTATTTTCATTTACCTGTGTTTAAAGTTATTGCAAATGGATGGTATTTTTGTTCGAGCATATTGTTTTTCTTTAATTGTTTAACATTTCTTACCGATATAACATGTTACTTTTATTATTCTTCCCTTAGTTTATTTATTTTGTATTCAAAATTATTAATTTTGTAAAAATATTTCCTTTCTCTATTGGTACTGTACAGGTATACCTAACAACAAAATTATTTTCATTTACCTGTGTTTAAAGTTATTGCAAATGGATGGCATTTTTGTTCGAGCATATTGTTTTTCTTTAATTGTTTAACATTTCTTACCGATATAACATGTTACTTTTATTATTCTTCCCTTAGTTTATTTATTTTGTATTCAAAATTATTAATTTTGTAAAAAATATTTCCTTTCTCTATTGGTACTGTACAGGTATACCTAACAACAAAATTATTTTCATTTACCTGTGTTTAAAGTTATTGCAAATGGATGGCATTTTTGTTCGAGCATATTGTTTTTCTTTAATTGTTTAACATTTCTTACCGATATAACATGTTACTTTTATTATTCTTCCCTTAGTTTATTTATTTTGTATTTACATTGTATCATAGGTCAAATTTATTTGTTCAGTGTATGTTCAATGGTGTTAATATGTCCTTTGATTGAGTTAAGCTATTTCAGTTGATATTTTATAGTGTGTATTTCTATGTTGTGATGTTACACTATTGTTTCAGAAAAAGGGTGAAGGTTTGGTACCAATAAAACGTTTAAACCCGCTGCATTTGTTTGCACCTGTCCATAGTCAGGAATCTGATGTTCAGTAGTTTTCGTTTTTTTGATGTGGTTCATAAGTGTTTCTCGTTTCTCGTTTTTTATATTGATAAGACCGTTGGTTTTCCCGTTTGAATGGTTTTACACTAGTAATTTTTGGGGCCCTTTATAGCTTACTGTTCGGTGTGAGCCAAGGCACCGTGTTGAAGACCGTACTGTGACCTATAATGGTTTACTTTTATAAAATTTTTACTTGGATGGAGAGTTGTCTCATTGGCACTCATACCACATCTTCTTATATCTATCTACTAATAAGTATGCATGATTGAAATCGTCTGATGACCGCTTATTGGAGTTGTTGCTCTTTAATGATGATTTTAACTAATTTTTTGCGTCTTTGCCTAATATCCAGAAAAGATTAAAAAGATTGATAGAAACTGAAATAAACTCATCATAGATACCAGGATTAAAATTGTGTACGCAAGACGCGCGTTTGGTCAACAAAAGACTCATCAGTGACGCTCGAATCAACAACAGTGAAAAGGGTCAAATAAAGTAAACTGATCAGCCAGACCAGATCTCCAAATAAGCCTACTGGCCGAAACCATCAGTTCACACCTTATTGGAGTTATTGCTCTTTTATTACAGTATTTACCCATTTTCAGTGTTCTGCCTAATATCTAAATCTTTTATAGATAGATAGTCACTTTATATAACAAAAATGATCAGCAAGACAAGATCTACAAGTAAGTCAACATGGCCTTAATCGTCAGTTGTCTCCTTATCGGAGTTCTTGCTCTTTAATGACGATTTGCACCAATATTTTGCGTGTTTAACTATTATCCTGAAGTCTATAAAAGATAGATAGATACTTTAGATAGCAAAAATGATCAGCAAGACAAGATCTGAAAATGTTGCCGAAATCGTTTTTAGACTCTTTATAGCTGTGATTGACCTTTAATGACAATTTTTTTACCCTTTTTTTGTGATTTGGGGAAAAACTAAAGACGATAGAGAGAAAAAAAAATGATCAGCAAGACAAGATCAACATGAATTATATTCTAGTTCACAATGTTGAAGAGTGTTTATTCTTGAAGATGCCCATCTGGACCTAGGTTAGCGACACAGGGCCTCAAGAACCCCTAATTAAGTAAACCATACGGTAATTGACATGTAAATAATACGTCGAGGTTCATTGCATTAGTCTTATGTAAAAAAAAGAAAACAATTGCATACTATACGTGTTGGAAAAATTAGATTTTTAACCACACATCCGAGTTTGTTTCCGAAAATCTTTGAAAAGGTCGTTTTGTCTTTTTTGCTGACCAGACACAAATTAAAAGTTACACGAGTTCTGGATTTGTAATGAATTATAATATTTTTATATTTTATTTTGGAAAAGAAGGTTAACATGGTTAAACAGTGTAAAGGAAAGGCACAATTTGATTTTTAAGAAGGTATGACTTTAAGGAAGTGCGTGTCAAAAGGACCATTATTTTATATGTGTTAATGCTATTTTAAGTACTTATCTATTGTAATTATGTAAGAGCAAATCTTTTTACTTAAGTTTAATAAATTCTTTCAAACATTTAATTTTTTTATATATTTTATTTAAATCTACAATATAGTATGAACATTTAGAATTTTATTCAACTTTTATATATTAGAACTGGTAAGTGATAAAAGAATCCTTATGCAGTCAGTTTTAATGCGATAATGCCTTTTTTTAAACAAAATACTTCGATTATAATGGCTTTTACTTTTTAGACAAATTATAGATATACCAAGTTATTCATACTATAAAAATCGTTAGATTACTCCTTTTAGAAGTCATTGCGCGCGGTTTGCCTAATATCTTGACAACTATTATAGATGTATGTAGCAGGAAACTGAAAAAAGGAAACATGACCAGTAATACAAGATAATACCAATGACTGAATTTATCCATATGCTCCTTCTTAAATGTATGGCCCTGAAATGACTATTTCAACCCATTTAAGCGTGTTTACCTATAATCTTTAAAACTATAACTGACAATTCTTTTTAATAATTTAGCAGCCTTGTATATTATTTTTTATACTTTTCCAACTTAGTCGGTAAAAATATCTGCAATAGGGAATGTATACATAAAGACAACAACACTTATAAAGCTCATCCGACCGAAGCGCTTTTCTGGATTTACTTTCATCATAAACGCTTAAAGCTGAATACTTGAAAGCCAAAGATGTATAAGAACCGAAACAGTTCAATAGCTTTAAAACCAAAAAGCATAAAACACAAAAGAACGTAAACCATTAGTTGACACTTTAAAGGAGTGATTGTCCTACAATGACAATTTTGACCTACTTTTATTAAGGATACAGCAAAATGTAGTTACGACTTATACCGTAATCTGTTCGTCAATATTGACATTCCCGAATGAAACTTATCACCAAAGTTGTACTTACCATGAGCAACATGATAGGTGCCAGTAGTGGCGCAAAATCTGCTTATCCTTCCGGAGCACCTGATATTCACCACATTTTTGGTAGGGGTTGTGTTGTTCAATTCTTTAGAGTATTTTGTGAACTTGGTTGTGTTTCCGTCGTCTTTTTCATTTTTTTTTTTTGGCCAAGATTTTTCATTTTCTCTTCAACCTGAGACTTTTAAATCGCACCATGGTATCTTCCGTCTCTTTTTAGAAAATGGGTTTGCCTAAAACCTTGAAAACTGTAATAGAAAGACAGAGACTGTTTGTAGCAAAAGTTAACAGAAATATAGTGTCTTCAAAAATGAATGTATGACTAAAGTACCAGCACACTCCTTATTGGAATTATTGGACTCCAATGACGATTTTAATTTGTGTATGGAGTATTAAAATGTATTATGAAAATGAACTGTGAATAGAAAAAAATGTCAGCATTATTAGTATTACAACTAAACGTCTAATGAATGATACTACCAACTGACTTCTTATTGGAGTTATTGTTCTTAAAAGACTATTTTTCAACAATTTTGACTTTTGCTTATTATCTTGGAAAAAAAACCTCACCAAAGATACCAAGCTTATAATTTTGAGCGCCAGCGCGCGTTTAGTGTTAAAAGACTAGTCGTGACGCTTGGATCAAACAAAATAAAAAACACAAAAAGGACGATATTGAAGAGCACTGTGAACCTATCATTCCGAACAATTTTGCCAAATACAGCTATCATGGTAATCTATTCCTTTAAATTACAATAAAAAGACAAAAACTGCTCAATATGAAAATGGTTAGAAATACAGCATATAAAACTGTCATTGTAACTGAAACATGAATTTACTGCCTTTAAAAGATTCATTTTGATAAATTATAGTGTTTGACCTATTATCCTGAAAGCTATATAAGAATAACATGAACTGAATGTTTTGACAATAATAAGTAATAAATGATCACGAAAAGTATTAAAGGATCGCAAACATTTATTGACTCTTTAATGTCCTGGAACGACAATTTTACATATATTTAGTTAGCCGAAAAGATGGTTGAGTAAAGTTTTAGCGTTATGCATTTGAAATGTTGTCTTTTTTTTCTTTTTCTTCCTGTAGGCGAACAAAAAATACGATTTACAAAAAAGATTCAGATTAAATATTTCCCATTTTTATCCTATTGATGTTGAATTGTCCACTTATAATGACAGTTTTGAAATGTAATTCAATTAACCTTTTAATTGATAATTTCCTGGTTATAGTTTTGAACCATACCATTACAATATAAGGTCAGTGTTTATTTACGTGCTTTTTTAATCTAAGTGAAAACATATTGATTCGATTATATGCAAACAGAAAAATACTTCCTATTTAATTATTATTTTTAATGGGATGGTTTAAATAATTCCAGAATAAAAGGTACGCTTTACCACAGTGGAAATTATTTTTGTTTTGTAATGTTGCTGCTATACATTTAGATATAGCTGGAATTTGTATCTTTATATAATATGTAAATATTGCATATTCATATGATTGTTCTCGGCCTGAACATTTATTGAACATTTGTCACTGGACGTTAGGCAACCAACAATCAATCAATTATATTCATATGGTTAATTATATATTTGTTTGTGTTCGAGTTAAAATGAATAGAAAATGATGTTATAGACATATATATATATATAAGTGTTTATATGTACATGCGTTAGTGTCTGCAAGTTTACTGACAACCTTTATGTATATCATGTTTTTACTTTCAAATAATTATCGATATTATTAGTATTATTCATCTTATCTTATCTTGTTTTATTTTGGCTTCATTTCATATAACAAACACAACTTCCTTGTACGTTTCTATCCTACATTTAGTTTAACAATCGAATATTTATAACTTTTTTATTATTGATATTTTATCGCAGAATTAGTCGAATGATGGAAGAAACATCTGGTAATATGTTATCAGTGCTACTTATCCACACAACTGTTGTGTTAACAGTTGCAGCACAGAGTAAGTCATGCAAAATTTGTCAACGTTATATCTTTGATAAACCTTTTTCCACTAAAATCAAAATATTTTACTTTTTTTACTCTGTTCAAGAACTGAATGCTCAAAACAAACTGCGATTGTAGAACTATCTTTCCTTCTTAAATTTAAAATCATGTCTCGATTCTGGCAAGTCGATGTGTTTGTATCCCTTCTTTGTGTTTTTGTCTATCTATAAATTGATATAAGATGTCAGAACTTATGTCGAATTTATTAACCACATTTTAACACAAGGGAATTCTTTTTAATATGTAAAAGTATGCATGTATAATGTAATTTTTCTGCAAATTACAATATGGAATATATTAACAGTCATTTTATGCTTCAACTAGTCAGACAGTGGTGTACTTCTACAACAGTTGCATGTTATATATTCTTTATAGTCTTCTTTGTTTTGACAGAAACAGTCTAAATCTTAATCAATATGCAATTCGTATAAGCCCAATTGTGTCATACTCGTATTGATCATGTTGAAAAATGTATCAAACATATTGGATGAAGGAAGATAATTTACTTGCAAACAATTGCATTTAATTCTTCCAGGAAAAGGGTACTTATTGTAAACATTAATATCGGTCAGGTGTTTGTGATGTAGTTAATTTTATAGATAATAAAATTGCGAATGGAAATGGGGAATGTGTCAAGGAGACAACGACCCGACCATAGAGCAGACAACAGCCGAAGGCCACCAATGGGTCTTCAATGCAGCGAGAAACTCCCGCACCCGGAGGCGTCCTTCAGCTGGCCCCTAAACAAATATGTATACTAGTTCAGTGATAATGGACGTCATACTAAACTCCAAATTATACACAGGAAACTAAAATTAAAAATGATACAAGACTAACAAAGGCCAGAGGCTCCTGACTTGGGACAGGCGCAAAAATGTGGCGGGGTTAAACATGTTTTTTGAGATCTCAACCCTCCCCCTATACCTCTAGCCAATGTAGTAAAAACAAACGCACAACAGTACGCACAGTAAAACTCAGTATAAGAGAAGTCCGATTCCGATGTAAGAATAGGAAACAAAAGAAAATAAACAAAATGACAATAATACATAAATAACAACAGACTACTAGCAGTTACTGACATGCCAGCTCCAGACCTCAATTAAACTGATTGAAAGATTATGTCTTCATCATATGAGTATCAGGCACAATCCCTCCTGTTAGGGGTTTAGTATTATACCGTCATAAAATATATGAGAAGAACATAACCCGTGTCATGCCAACAACTGGTCAAAGAGGTCAAATTTCACCACATTCATGTGAAGGGATACAAAAGACATGACACACTAGAACATATTCTAATTAATAATATAAGACAAAACTCTATGGCAAAATTATTAATGTTGTTAAAGGGCCATAAGCTGTCAAATTCATGTTCACTGATTCGACCCAAATTCTAAATTTTTATTCGTAACATACTTAAACGTAAACTATATCCAAATTACTAAAAGAACACACAAAAACAATTAACAATGCATGGGATCGCTATTATTTATCAGTTTTTCGTACGTATTATAGACCAGACGTCATCTAATTTTTTCCCGAAGACTGCCGACGGTCATATAACCCAGTAAATTTACTAAGTCTGTTTGATTAATGTTATTAAAAAATTATGATTAGGTAAAAAATATTTTAATCATCGTTTATCTTGTATAAGAATGATTTTTGTGGGTCGAATCAGTCAAAGAAATGGTTATTCCTATTGTCCCCCTTTTTTACTTTTCGATATACATGTACTTTCCTTTTTAAATAATGAACATGCTGAATACATGCACAACCCATCTCCTCTAAAGATCAAATTAAAGTTTATATGAATACGGATTCAAATGAGTTGAATTATTGACTTCCAAGTCAATAAGAGACCATTGGTGTATTTTAGCTTATTTTGACGAAATGAAACAAATTGTCTGGTATAATATCGGTATATCATTTCTCAATTCCGCTTTTATAAATGTGTGCGTGTCCTACTCTTACATGTATTAATGGCTTCACTCAAATTTTCATGTTTACAAAACCAACACTTGATAGCTCTGGTTGGCGTACACTAGACATTTGACAAAAAAAATGTGTGAATCCAACAGTTTAGTTTTGGGCAATTGAAAGTTTGTGCTTTATAGTTTGTGATAATCAGGCATACCAAGAGGAACAGTAATAGTCAAAGTGACACTGATTAAAGCCGTAGAAAGAGTTTTGCGCGTTTCAATTGACAAACTGCTTGCTTAAGGATACATAAATTGTTATCTAGAATTTAACTTTTTAATAATTGAGTTAACTATATTTCACCTGACAAGTTTTGATCTCTGTCTAATGCTAAATATTCAAGTTCTTAAGCTGTGATTTAATTATATGATCATTACATTGTATTTGGAAATGTGTTATTTTCTTTTGTTTACGTTGAGAACCCAAAAAATTACATTCTGTTTTCCCAATTGTAAAGATAGCTTACTATCAACAAGCCAGTTGCTTCAAGACTCCTAACTTCCTTAAGTTAATTTCTTTGTCCTTACGAGAAAATATTATAGTGCTGTCGTATGCATAAATCAGGAGTTGTCAGTCGGAATTAGTTCTTATAGACATATTGTTGACGTAATATAGAAATAAATGATTATCTAAGGTACATAACAGGTAATATTAAGAAGTTCAGATTCCGTCCCATTTACATTAACCCGTTGTTTCCGTCCAGTTAGAAAAGACTCAAACCATTTGACATCTTTCACGTGCATAGATTTTGATATTTTAGTATAATAGTTGATGGTCAACTGTGTCAAATGCTTTTTGTAAGTTTATCATTAGCATTTCTGTTAATAAACTGTTTAAAGTTTGTTATTCAATGTGATTGAATAAATAGATAAGACCATTATCAGTTGAATAAGAGCTACGAAAACCAGATTGAAATTGGTACAATAAATTATGATGGATCTGATGTGTCTCCATATGTATTTATATACGGATTTTTCAACAATATAAGAGACAATACATATGATGCTCACTGGTCTATAATTTGCTATTTCTGTTCCACTGCTCTTTTTAAATAAATATTTCAGTCTGGCGAGGTTCTTTCGGTACTATCACATTCGTGATTAATAAATTCACCAGGTAAGATATTTTTTTGCCAGATCGCTTCCTTCGTCTTTTATAAATTTAGCAGAAATGTTATCTGTTTCAGTGTTCTTAAAAGAGTTTAAATTGCAAAGTTCTTGATATATAAATTCTTGGCTGACATATGATAATTCTAATTGGACATTATTGTTAGTAACTTTGCTGTAGGCTCTCTTAATATCTCTCTGAACTTTGTTTCTGATGTTACAAAATTGGGTCTCCTGGTTATTGTGTGGTTTCTATCAGTTGGCAAGAGGTTGTCTCTATTTCTGGTGTTATCTAGAGTATCACATGTCATCCATGGTTCAGATTGATGTTTTACTTTTCTCTCTCTATACGGAGCAATGTCATCAAGGATTGAATGAAAGAGTGACCGAAATTTCTCCCATGCTTCATGTACATTTCTACATAAATACAAAGGTGACCAATCTATGAAATTAAGTTTATCATTAAAAACCTGTTTATTGTTATTATAGTCGACCTTGTTCCGACTATGTTTTGCTTTTCAATCTTTTGTTTTTGTGACTTCCTCGTACATACTGTCATAAAATGGTCATTGATGTCTGTTGAGAAAACTTATGATGGTACTTGATGTTGGTGCTACTCGCGTATACATGTAATCTTAAAACAGCTGCTTTAAGTTAAACTGATTTAGAATATAAGAAGACTTACATATAGTATATGTATTTAAAGCTTATATTGAAATCAACTAGGATAATTTTGTTCACATTAATGTCTTAATTTATTAAATGTTTGTTTAAAAAAAATAAAAAAAGTAATAAACATGTTGTATGCTGTTTATATTTATACGGAATTGCTTCTTGGATGATAGATACTGTACATAATACGTCAGAATTGTAAAGAATATAACTTTATTAAACTAATTTATGTATATGGTCATTGATATAAAAATAAGTAGATGTGGTATGATTACCAATGAGACAAGTATCCACCAAAGTTCAAATAAAGTGGATGAAACCAATGGTAGGCAACCATACGGCCTTCAATAATGAGAAAAAACCCATACCGTATAGTCGGTTATAAAAAGTCATATAAACAATTCAATTGGGAAAACTAACGGCCTAATTTATAACAAAACAATTTACGAAAAACAGACGTGAACCAACGACAATCACTGAACTACCGGTTCTTGACTTGGGACAGGCACATACAGAATGTGGCGGGGTTAAACATGCTTGTGAGCGCTCAACCCTCCCCCTAACCTAGAGCAGTGGTGTTACAGCACAACATAAGAAAATTGAGTCAATATATCTTTAATGATAGCACTGTTATTTTTGAAATGAAAGAGAGAATCATATGGTTTTTAATATTTTTTCATAGTAAACCTTACACCATATGGACATGCTACACAAAGTTCAGTGACACATAAAAGTGGACCACAAAATGCTTTAAAGCCTCCTGTATCAAATGAATGGGGTTTTGACAAATGTACACACACAGTACACGGTCATAAAACAGCTTGGTGGATGTTTGAATTCGATGCTGAAAATACATACATTACAGATATTGAAATATTCTACAGGGAAAAATGTAAGTTAGAAAGTACATAATTACTTGTTCCTTTGTTCTTTTTTAAGGGTTAACCAAATTCATTAAGTCTTTAAGTATTTATGTAAATTAAAGAACAAAACGTGAATTTCTGTATGCAAACCATTAAGGGAAAGAATTCAAAAAACCTACATCATTGTAGGATGTATTTGTTTCTACACGAGGAACGTCAAGGGCAGCAAATGGAAATAGCGATATAATTTTTATAGCGTAAAACGAAGTGGCATGATATGCGGTAAATGGGCATATAAGCTGCTTTCTTTGAGAATCAGTTAGTTATTCGGGGAAGATCTTGTTACTGATTATAACTAGGTTTTGGTATAGATTTATAATTTCTTGTGAACCGTCGAAAATTGATGTCGGCACTGTCTTTGCAAAAATGAAAACAGCACTTTATAAATTGCATGCGTTTAAAGCCTTTTCTATATTTACCATCATCAAGGACCATTGTAAGCCAAATATTTGAAAGCTAAGGATGTATAAGAACCAAAACAGTTGAAGATCTGACTAAAAAGGACTTTAAATAACAGTTAAATCCATCTAAGACCAACTTTGCCTGAGGGATTTGAAAACTTAGTTTCTTTGTTATTTCTAAATTGATAAACGGACAATTTTAGACAAGTTTTTTATTATTCATGTTATTACTGAAGGACTGACTAATGAGTCGATAATACCCTCGGGAACTGATATTCCACCAGTAGCTGTACCGACCAGGTGCTCTTAAAAACGGAAACAAAAGAGAGGCGAAAGATACCGAAGGGACATTCAAACTCATTTGTCGAAAATAAACTGACAACGCCATGGCTCAAAAAGAAGAAGACCAACAGACAAACAACAGTACACAAAATATAGAAAACTAGACTGAGCAACACAAACCCTACAAAAAAACTGGGGGTGATCTCAGGTGCTCCGGAAGAGTAAGCAGATCCTGCTCCACGTGTGGCACTCGCTTTCAAAACTCATGCGTCCGAGCCGCTTTTATTTTAGATTTACACTCATCAGAAACGCTCAAAGTCGATTATTTGAAAGCCAAGGATGTACTAGAACTGAAACAGTTGAAGAGCTATATGACAAAAAAGGATCTAAAAATGATAGCCAAACCCATTTAAGGTCAGCTTTGACTGAGGGAGTTGAAACCTTAGTTTCTTTATAATTTTTAAATTGATAACGGACAATTTTAGAACGGATTGTTATAAATCCTGTCATTACAGATGTACTGACCACTGAGATGAGCATACCATCGGAGACTGATAGTCCATAAACAGCGGTATCGACCACGTTCTGTAAAAAAGGAAAACTACACTTATAAATTTCATGCGTCCAACGCGTATTTCTGGATTTACCATCATCCGGAAAATTCAAAGCTGAATATTTGAAATCCAAGGATGTACTAGATTCGAAACAGTTCAAGAGCAATATGACCAAAAATGACCAAAAAATAATAGCTATATATATAATACTTGTAATAAATGTTTAAAGATTTGGTATATATTCATATCATAAAAAGTTACATGTATAATTTTTTGATTAAGTGGAACGATATTGCAAAAGTTGTGATCTTATGACATAGACGATTGCATGCAATCTAAGTTTATTTTGACTTTCTAATGTTATGGCGGTATTAAATAGATGAACATGTGATACTTTATCATAATGTAAGAAGTCACTGGTCAAGAACGAAATTGATACTTTTTGCGGACGTTGTGGACCCTTCTGAGGGATTAAAAAAATTATTCCCCAGAAGTTTGGCTTGGCCGTCAGTTGTTAAAACATATCTGCATTTCTTCATAATTATACTCTAACCCAATTACCGATACATCTATGTTCTCAAATTTTTCTTCGTAAACAACTTTTTACAAATATGAATTAAAAATTCTACAGACTTTCTCCTAAATTGAACGCATGTCATACAAAAAGTGTAATGCATCCATAGTCCTGGCGTTACGGGACGTTGTTGTGTATATACAACACCCTCATAATAATCAAAGGTTCATCTGTGTCTTGTATATATAACGTTTTTTAATGCTATATGTTTCGAATATGGGCGCATGCAAGAGCATTTGACCACCGTGCCATTTTCAAACACAGGGGAGGTTACGAGTTTATAATATGGCTATGTAATTATCTCAAAATTTTACTAAACAAACAAAACCAGTCATATTGACGTTTTATGTCATTATTTTGCTTATATGTATAACACTCCACATTGCAATGCTCTTTACTAGATTTTGTTGTTTAGGAGAACCTGAGTATCCACAGAGAATCTCCGACCTTTGTCAGTCTATGTCAATTAAGATCGAAATCGAACAAACATCACCATGATCGGGGTTCTAACTTGTTAAATCAGAGTTGATGTAATTCAAGTACAGGTGCTAAGGACTTAATACCAAATAGATAAACCAATCTGAACCAAACAAGTACTTAAATATACCTTTCTTACGAATAGTTCATGACAAAATAGAAATTAAACAAAAATAATGGAACTCTTTATTAGAGAAGGTAAAAATGGCCAGGTTGGAAGATTTGAATAGTTTACATCTGTTTCTGTGGGCTTTAAAAGTTTAATGTAGATGCATAATTTAAGATTTTATACACCTTATATACGTGTTTATACTTAACTTATAGTATGGAACATCGAGATATTCTTTAACTTTTTAATTAAAGACAAATTTTCACAAAACAGTCGATAATGGTAGGTGCAAATATATGTGGATCTGTTTTGTGTATAAGCAGAACTCAGCCGGAAAAACTTTCACTGGAAGATAAAAGATTGATCTTTTTAAAAGCATTAATTTGCATCTCTGCCCCTGACACCATTTTTTGGGGAAAAAATCATTATAATGGCCAATAATCTTATCGATAAGAAAAAGGCGAGTATACCTTTTTATGTTTAGGCGTGTTTGAGTTGTCTGGTTTTGTCTTGAAAACATATAGAGCAAAATATTTAATACATCATCTCGCTTTAAATTTTATCATTTTTATATATTAAGGCTACAGGTTAATATTCTAACATTAAAAATTCAATTTACAAATAGATTAAATATATGGGTTAAGTGAAATACCTTTCTAATAAGTCATAATAACAGAGTAGGTGGGTCTGACTAACAAATTTTACTTAAACCGCTATACGACATAGTTTACTTGAAGATCTTTTTTGTGCATAACTTCAAACAAATTTCATTTTTAGTGTATGTTATTTAGGGTAATTAGTCTTCACCATTTTTAGTCTGCCCTTCCAAGAAATATTTAAATAGAATGTTTTAAGTGTTTTTCGAACTCTCGAAAATCCCCCTGACAACCAATCAGACAATCGTTTTAAGTTGACAAAAAGAAAAAAAAATGTTGATTAAACTTGTATGCATATGAAAGCAACATTTATGTACTATGATGCTGAATATTTCGATGAAATGTAATATGAATAAGATATTTCAGTTCTTAGTCAACTTAATTTTCAGCCGATCAGATGGCTTTGTTTTGCATGTTTCAATGATACATTTTAAGAGGTTTGCGCATATATTATGTAAGCGATGCAGACTTTCTAAATCTCATAGGACTTTTTGTTACTGCAGTTTTGCTTATTGACATACATGTTTACTACCATAGACATATATCTTCATTAATCATTACAGTTGCTAACCGGATGGATGGATTTAAGCTATATGTGACAAATACTTCAACTATTCCACCTGACGGTTATCTCTGTTATGAAGATCCTGATCCTGGTTTTCCAAACATCACTCAGACTATTCCTTGTAATCAGCTTGGAAAATATGTCATTTATTACGACATTAAAGGAGATGAAAATTATGGACCAATTGTTGAATTATGTTACGTTTCCATTAATGGTAATTGACATTATCTATTTTTATATATTACATGTTACGTTCTTAGTTCTTCAGTTATTCAAGCCGTACATTTTAGTTTATGATATTTTACCAGCTTTACAGCTTTCTTTAAATTTGCAAACTACATGTGCTGGCCTTGGACATACATTCTATATTAAAATTTGCATCTGATGCATAATTGCTGTATGCTTATGCTTTCACATCATTAAATGGACAACATATATTTTATTTTACTTTCACAAATAACAGATGTTGATACCAATCGGAAGGAATTATGATTAAAATTTAAAATTCGTTTCTTATCAAAATCTTTATGGGAGCGCTACACTTTTGTTCTGGCGATTCATTTATTTTCATGGAATATAAAAACAATTGTAGATTATTTACTATTTAGCGGCTTTGCCAAAGTTTGAACACTAAGATAGAGAACGGAAATGGGGAATGTGTCAAAGAGACAAAGAGTAAGAAACAAAGCCGAAGGCCACCAATGGGTCTTCAACGAAGCGAGAAAATCCCGCACCCGGAGTCGGACTTCAGCTGGCCCCTAAACAAAAATGTGTATTAGTTCCGTAAAAATGGACGTCATACTAAACTCCTAAACATATAAATGAACTAAAATTAAAAAACACAAAACTAACAAAGGCCAGAGGCTCCTGACTTGGGACATGCGCAAAATGCGGCAGGGTAAATCATGTTTAGTGAGATCTCAACCCTCCCCTATACCTCTAGTCAATGTAGATTAAACAAACACACATCAATACGTACAGTAATACTCAGTTTAAAGGAAGTCCGAGTCTTATATATATGTCAGAATAGGAAACAAAAGAAACTAAGCAAAATGACAATGATACATAAATTAACAAAGGACTACTAGCAGTTACTGACATGCCAGCTCCAGACCTCAATTAAACTGATTGAAAGATTATGTCTTCATCATATGAAAATCAAGCACAATCCCTCCCGTTGGGTGTTTAGTATCATACCATCATAAAATAAATGAGAAGAACAAACCCGTATCATGCCAACAACTGGTTTTAGAATAAATGTGTTTATTTCCGATGAAAAGACCCTATGAGTGAATCAATACTATTACCAAAATATGCCATCTTTACTAACCTGTTTATATAAACACCATAAGATGGTGACAAGGGAACGTCACCATCTAAAAATGGATAATTAACGATAGGATATGAAAAATCATCTCTTTTATCATAAATTTTGGTAATAAGCTTCCCGTTAAAGATATAGATATCAAGATCCCGGAAAGGGCAGTGTTCATTGTTAGTATTAGCTTTATTTAAACTCAGTTCAGCAGGATAATAGCTTTATTTAAAGTCAGTTCAGCAGGATAAATCTCTTTAGTGTACATACTGAAGTCGTCATTATTGAGAGCCAATATATCATCCAAATATCTAAAAGTGTTATTAAATTTTTGTATCAGATGTTGTTTCGATGGGTCTTTGCTGATTTTAGTCATAAATTGTAACACGTAACATTACAGAAACAGGTCCGCAATAAGTGGTGCACAGTTAGTCCCCATTGGAATTCCAATAAATTGACGATATACGGAATCTCCATAGGGAACAAAAATTTTTTCTAGTAAAAAAATCAAGGGCAGTTATAGTACCAAAGCAGGTCCAATTGACATAGTTTTTTTGTTTGTTGTAAATAAAAAATGACCTAAAAGAGTTTGAACATATATATTTGCACTCTGACTTTTTAAATGCCCATTTAATTAGACATGTGATATTTTTCTTAATAAGATTATGAGGCAAAGTGGTATATAGAGTAGAAAAATCTAAACTTTGAACAGATTTGAAATCACCAATATAAGCATCGATTCATCAAGTACTTCCAACAAATTTTTGACACTCCAACAGTAATTAATTCCACTTTTTCTCAAAGGCCTTATTTGAACAATTTATTATCAGGTTTTTTTATTGTACCAAGTGTACTAGTAAGTAGAATAGACAGTTTAGTAGTAGAATAATGGCTTGAAGACGAAATACGTATATATTTGTAAGGTGTTTTGTGCAGCTTTGGAAGCCAGTACATAGTTTAAACTTTCATTGTATTTGGTTCTGCTTGTAAAGTGGTAGCTACAAGTTTATGGTTGTTACAGATGTCAATTTCCAAAAATGGAGTCAGTTGAAATGTTGGTATTGAAATACTAGCATATATGAAAACGATGTGATAACAAAGGGATATTCAAAAATCATAAGCAAAAAAAAAACCTCTAAAAATTGAAACCTACGAATAATACTGAATGCATAGTACGATTCATCAAGGACTATTAATCAATCAGCAGATGCATCGACCCCATGGCCATATCAATATCGATGATACCGAGCATATTGTCTTTGAAGAGAATTTCTGGATTAGTCTTAATCAATTTCCCTCGAAACTATGCATAAAGAACAATAAGTAAAATCTGTGTAAAGAAATTGAGAACAGGGATTTGAACTTTTGATATGTTTTTATGTATCCTTAAAAATAAAAGCGTTGCCTTCAGTATTAAAAACGTATACCTTTAAGGAGAGAGATACTTTTATCTGAATGAAATATACCATATGTTGTCACCGCTTTCGTTTAGAATTATATCACCGTATACAAACCAACTGCTTCATCTGCTTTTTGTCTTTTAGGTTGTCGAAAGAATTTGTGGGGACGTAACTGCACACAACCATGTTCAGAGAATTGCATAGAGAATCATTGCTATCCTGGCAATGGATCCTGTGTTTGGGGATGTAAGGACATAAACTGCTTAAATGATGTTTGCGATAAAGATACTTTGATTTGTACCGAAGGTTGTAAAGGAGGACGAACTGGACGATATTGTAATAAGTGTAAGTAGTTTTGTACTGTTTGTTACATGTATGTTTCATTAATTAATAATTACTTATCTACGATTGAAAACTTCTTGACAATGAGAAAAATCCCGAGCCATTGTAGTAGAGAAGTTTATATACTTTAGTTGCATACATAACAATCACTGTAACTTTGAGATGGAAAACAAGATCAATGAGTTAATACACTACATGTATTTTTCATTATTTAGATTTAAACATCATAAAAATGCATTGACTTGAAGACTGCCTGTCGGGAATGAGTTATAATACCGACAAGAAATGCGTTATGCGAATACAAATTGAATGGTAAAAAACGAAACTTTCAAGATCTCAATACATTCTTACTCATTCGGGGATACTAAAAAAAAGTTATAAAATATCCCAAACTACTCAAAAAATTCCTAAAACACCAATTTAAGCTTTCAAACAGTTAATTAGACTGGTGAATCAATTGATGCGGGCTTAAATGTCTTAACCTAGTACCGCTCCTTAATAAGTTTCGCTAATGTCGTTGCGAACGTAGTAATTGCTCCACACAAATGTATCATACATCAACATTCAACAATTACGTCACATGTATCCCAAGCAACTACTAAATGTTTTTGTATGTGGTCTGCAAAGAGTTGAATGTGATCTAAACTGTTCATTCTTAAGCCTCAAATATGTTAATTAGTCAAAATAACTTTTCCCCAACCGCCTCAATATGCAGAGAATCCATTTTACAAAGAAATCATTACGCCAAGTGAGCCAACATAGTGCCCAGTTGGTTAACACTATCTCGATTATTCAACTACATATTAGGCATGTTAGGTCTGGTGATTGAACAGAACATTGTAATGACCTCGGGACCTTATTCACCCAGATGGTATACGTACATTTTTGGATGTATGTTATGTAAACCTTTATGTTTGAGACTGTGAGAGGTATTAATACAAAACGTATCTTTCAGTATATACCCAAATATAAATTATTAACTTCAGGACTGGTTTAAATCTATTTCTACGTATTCAAATTAAGAATTCAATGAAAATCACATACGTGAGTACGTCCGAACCTCTTTCGTCTAATAACCTTTTTACCTACATAATTTGAAATCCAAGGATGTACAAATGCCTGAATACGTGAAAGCTATGTGACCGAAAAGGAATCTACAGGGAATAGACTTATATCGGTCAACATTTAACACGGGAATAAAAAGAATTTCAAGAATTTACTATTTTATTTGATTTTGAAAAATAAACGACACTGACCGAATATTGACAATAGAGAATTATTAAGGGACATCATTATCTGATTTGTGTTTTTATTTTACAAATAACTTTATAATAACAATTACATCAATTTTAACAAAACAAATAGAAAAAATCGGACTTGTTTATAATCCAAGGGTTTTAAATATATTCTACTGTTTATCGTTACATTTTTGGACTAAAGCAGTATCACAACCAAAACGCAATACAAGCATGATTCGTGCTCTATGTCATGCTTCATACTTCAATACCTTTACGAAAGTACCTTGTAGTATTCGTGAAAGATTTTTTTTTTCAAAATATCCTTATTTCTCTTAATTGTAAGTATTGTCTCTATTCGAACACAGACACAACACAACGTTATTTCCTATGCTATAGAAAACACGTATTATACATCACTGATTACATACATTTCCAATGTATTATTCTTTTGTTAATTTAACATTCTGTCCATTTTTTCATCGCAATTACTGAAATACTTTCCCACACACCTTCTGCCCCATCGTAATTTAACAACCTGACCATTTTATCATCGCAATTACTGAAATACTTTCCCACATACCTTCTGCCCCATCGTTTTGCGTTTGAATATTTCTAGTTGTAAGTAACGCCAATGAATGCACACACTTTACGAACTTCATTAGCAGGGGTTAGGAAGAACGACTGAAATAAACACTACATAAGTTTTACGAACACCGTCACAAATTGGTTGATCGATACGATGTGTCTGCGTCTTAACTCACTAGCGACATGTTTTCGCAGTCTTTGCCTAAAAATGCCAGCGTAGTCGTTAAAGAAGTAATTTTAGCGATTGTGTCATATTCCCGATTACGATCATTTTCACTGTGTGTGAATACGTATGACGTGTAATAAAGGATTAGATGAAGGCTTAACCTGTCAATGAACCCGGTTTCGTTCCTTTTTATGTTTGTACAATGCCCTCAGATTTTGTTTGTTACCTTGATTTATCTCTTCTTTGACAGTTGATTAGATTGAAACAGCGGTAACTTCTCATGCCTATTTTCTATCACAATTTTACAGTTTTGCGTCATGATGCCTTGTAGTTTAATATGTATTCTAGTTTCCTTGTCGAAGTTTGATGGTTCTCCCCGGCTACTCCGGTTTCTTTTACCAATAATACTAGCCACCCTCTATGACATGGCCTATGTCGTTGATAGTTACATTAAACACCAATAAAACATGCAATCCCGTACAGAAAATGTTCTGTAAAATTTACATTTCTTTGGTTTGTATTCATAATTCGCACATTGTTTTTAAACAAAATTTATTTTGAGTGTACATTGCCATCAGTTTAAAAGCATGATTCATCGGTCATTCTTTTGATCAATTGATTAATCCTACTTTATGATTTCAATTTTGTTCTTGTGATGAGAGATATTCGAAGATCTATAATTAATATCTAAAATAGTTGCTTATTAGTGGTATGTGTGTTTTAGATGCTAAATATTTCGGCGACTCAGAGATGACAGTTAAGTGCACACCAGAAATTTATAAGGTATAACCTCCTAGTATTTTTCGTGTATTAGTTCAATTATGATTTACTTTTAAAATATTCTGTCTAAAGCTCATGATTTTAGAAAACATAGTATTATGAATATTTGTGTATTTAAACATGTAGATAGCCCATATATGTAATCACCTTTTTACTTGTTTTGAATGTGAATCCCATTCTCCAGAAGATCAGTACGCTCTCGTCTCTTTCAAAATAACATCACTACCTTTAGCTAGTTATGAAAAACTGCTAGAACACAATCAATGCAAACATTTGAGCTTACTAAGACGTTACTTTATATAATCGAACTGCTGAAAATATATATTTGTCCTAGATATTAATAAAATTGCTTTATCTTTTAAAATTACGATGAAGTAGCTTACAACAAAAAAGCTCAATACTTTTTTTTCAAATGTTAGATATCGTTACAATGTACACACAGGATTTGCACTCTTATATTTGTAAAATAAAAACAATATTTTTAGAGTTTTTCCAGAGAATACAAATTTGAAGATACATATGCCTTAAAAGGTGATAATAGTCTGTTTGTGTATTCAATTTAATAGACATATTAGATAAATGTTTAGAATTGACAATAGAAGGTCGAGAGTCTAGAGTTGTGGCATTTAAAATAAGGGATCATCTCAAAATTATGATATTCATTATGGAATTACTAAGTACATTAATATATTTTATAACATTGCTACTGATAAATGAAAAATAATTGTTATAGCAAGTAGATGTTTAGCAAACAATTGGAACTGAATGTCATTCCACATTTTTTTATATTAAACATGTATAATATCAAGTGACAAATTTTTCATATCGATGGATTAGTTGGTTGGTTGGTAGGTGTACTCATTGGCTGTTTGAGTGGCATATCAATTGATGAAATGATTTATTGGTTGACAGTTTGCATAACGTCATGAGACTCATATTTCATTTAGACTAATTCATTGATTGATCATTTGTTTTACGTCCAGTGACGAATATTTAACAAACATTCTGTGTTAAATCCCCCACTCTTCCGAAAAAAAAAACAGAACCGGGATCACTACCTGGATTAAATACACGGGGACGTGTCTTTAGGTAAAAGCAAAAAAGAAATTTCAAAGGAATTTCCAGATTCACATAGATATGTAAAAGAGCAAAAATCAAAAGTTCAGACCAAAGTCCAATTTTTAATGCAATGAAAATAAAATGTATGTGCATCAAATACATCAAACGTTAATTCCGAGAATCCCTAGAAAAAACGGTAGTTCATAAAGGAAGTTTCAATGATATTTTTTACATGGCGTTAATCTTTGCGTGTGTCTATTGAAATTTTAAAGAAAATTGTAAGGCTATTTTTATCGGAACGGGTGAAGTAGAGGAGTGGTAAATCCTGTATTTTCCTAGAAACGTCAATGCTGAAATACAAATTAATATGTTGAGTGATCCGGAAACGTTTTATTTAATCGGATCTTGGCCCTTCCTTTTTTTATTCCGCTTGTGCCTAGGAATCCGAACCCGTGTATGTTTTAATTTAGGAAATATTTCCAGCCTGCCCCATTATTTGGAGGGAGGTGCATTTATCATTCCATGAGTAGAGAATTTGCGCTAAATATTTGTCACTGGGCGTCAGAGTAATAATCAATCAATGAATTAATCTTATGAAATAGCTGCCTCTTTACGACATGAAACTGTTAATAAATACAACATTCAATTATATTCCATCTTTATCAAATCCTGTTGTATAAAATCTGTTATTAGTAAAATGTTTTCGAATCTTTCGGGTGTAAATATACAATCTGTCCCATACAGGTATATCCATCCAGTGGACCTCTTCGTGGTGGTACCATGTTGACAATAAGTGGAAAATACATTGGAAATATTAAGGATAAAATTTCGGTCGATATCGGTGGAGTACGATGTCATAATGTAACAGTCGAAACCCCCAATCTCAAGTAAGGATTAATATATACCTTGTAAATTAAGGATATAAACATCAAGAGCAAACGGGGCTGAAAACACTTAACATGTTACAACGAAGAAAACTTTTGAATGCCGAATGAAAAGAACGTAATTTCCTAAAAGAAACTTTAATGTCATACACATCAAATGTTATAAAAAATTATTCTTTTCACCCAACGAATCTGACATTTTTAAAAAAAGACCATGTAATCACTTAGTATTATATGATTGCCCTCTTGGTATTTATAATGAAAATTAAGTATAACTTGAAAGACAGAATTAAACAAAATCTGGCATAGTCGGCTTGAATTCCCGAAACGAAATAATAATTATAGACTCAATAGTTAAAGATGTAAATATCATAATCAATTATCATCACAAATTTAAAAAAGTTAGAATGTATGTTTTGTTCTGTTTAAAGTGAATAACTCACAGCTTCAAAATCGGTTTTGATATAATAATAATAAAAACTTTAACAAGTTTATAACCTGGTGATTTTACACTAGGTAACTTTATTTCATTTAACATAAAGGAATTTTTAATTTAAATGCACATTTATAGAATGTTACTTTTCTGGTTGTCGAAACAACTATAAGTTAAGCACGATTACACAATTTGTGTACTTAAGGCATTTTGTCTCAACCGGCATCACATATGGAATTAAATAATCAAACCAACTTAAACGGAACAAAATGCGATTCAATGCTTTATACACATTAGTTCAATAACATGATTAATTCGAGAGAAAAAAATATCAATAACTCACTTTCATTTTACCAAAAATACATTGAAAGACAATGTGTTAATCTTATTTTTTTATTTTATCTATTTGAACAGTTTGACTTGTGTAACTGGGAAAAGCAACACGAACCACATGATCCAGACAAAGGGAATATTTGTTACAGTAAATGCAAATATATTCAACGATACAAATACTACATACTTCAGCTACCAGGTTATTTTTCAAAGAATATATGTGTATAGGATACTCTTTATGTCATAAGCTATCAATACTTTCATTAAATGTTTTTTTTTATTATTGAATGTGTAACGATTCATCAAATTTGCTTTCTTTTTTGATGATTAAAAAGTAAAATAACAAATATGCCGAACTTCAAGGAAAATTCAAACCGGAAAGTCCCTTATCAAATGGCAAAATCAAAGACGCAAAAAGATCAAACGAATGGAAAATAACTGTCATATTCCTGACCTGTAACAGGCATTTCCTTACGTAGACAATGGTTGATTAAACATGGTTATAGCTAGCTAAACGGAAACAGTGATTTAATTCTGTAATGTTATATAGAATGAGTGATGTTATACATGTACGTAAGATACTGCTAAATTGGCAAACAAAAGTCAAATTAATCTACCAAAACAATACCGAAAAATAATTCTTATCGTTGTATTAACGTTTACCCATAGTTTTTATCCACTTCTTAAATGTCTGCATGACGACACTCATCAATGTTTGTTTTTTTATTCAAAACACGTTAAATTGTTCTTTCATCAATATAATCGTTAATATAGATTTGATTACCAAAGCATTAAATGCCACAATAGTTCATAGAATAGATAAACATTTCTCATAAATGGTGTAAATTGTTGCAAGCAATCGCTGTGAATTTTTTTTTCAGAACTCTACGATATTAGAATTCTCACCGACAAAAAGTTTCATATCAGGGAACACAACTGTAACAATAAAAGGTCCTAATATTGGTTTCGAAGGACAAAATCGATACAATATTTCGTTTTGTGACATGTATAATTGTATAGAATGTAGGTTAGTTATATTTGCAGCGTGCCATTAGTAGCCAATAGAAGTGATCTGTAAACTAATAAGTCGGTATGACTATGCATTGTCAGTGATCGATTTCGTTTTATAATATGTCTAAACAGACTGACAATTCCAATTATAAAGTAAAAGACAGGAAATTACTATCACATAATAGAACGTTCACATGAAGGCGAGATTACTTTTTAGCCAAAAAAGTCCACCTAAAAGTTGTAAAAGGATTGTTATTCGAAGCTCGGCTTACAGGAGAAATGATTTTGAGCTCTTAAATCTTCCTATTTCTTTTAAATTTTACTATAATACCGTTTTGGACAATACTTTTGACAAATCACCATAAGGGGCATCTCATCAAATAATTAGATAATATTAGATCATCTTGTATAGAGCCCTTTTAAAAATTTTTGACATATTATGCCAGTGATTGTTGTGGAGCTAAATCATCTGTTTAGGAATTGTGTATGGGGAGTGTATAGTGGAGGTAAGAGTTGACTATTTATTGATTCATTACCGCTAAAATTCTGATAGAAATATTATTTTCATAATGACGAGTTCATTATTTTAATGAAGTAGGTAGACACCATGCGTTTTTCTAGACCGACAGACCATAAGATCTATTGGCTTGTCCGATAATCCTTATAGAATCGAATAAAAGCTGAAATCAGATTTAAGTTGGTTGACATACAAAATCACAAAACATTCTCCGTAGCGATGAATTTAAAGTTCTTTATAAATACATTATCGGCGGTCATAATGATACCTTAGCTCGAAACAAACAACATGGGTTTTTTTCGTAAATGTTTCAGATATTTTTATTTTAAATGACTATGCATATCCAGCATTTACACCTGCTCGGAAAAGTTATGAAACAAACTCAGTTGGCAGGAGTATCAAATCTAACTCAAAACGATTCAGACAAAAATAATGAAGTGCCCCGTTAAAGTTGTATATATATGTATCAGCAAAAGATTTTATTGTAGGATACACGATAGAGTACACTGATGGATATGACTGCATCCAAATCATTTTCTTTACATTATGTATATCATACTCACTATGCATATTTTTATTTTATTAATCTCTAAAAAGTCCTCCTCCTAATTGTAATCTTCAATCGTTGAGTGTTCCATATGAGTAACATAAACTCATTAAGATGTACTTTTAGGTAAACGAGTAGTCATTGTAGTCACCAACTAAACTAACGATGAAGTATTTAGCAACACGTTAGTCTATCAACCGGGGCTTCTTCTTCCACTTCTTAGGGTATTCATCGGTTTCAAAAACAATTTTTGCTCTCAATAAATTATTTATCTCGCCTTTATACCAAACAGGTAGAACTCTTAACAAAGTTTTCTGTATTTTACAGTGCATTCCCAGATACTCTCAGTTCAAATTACACCAAGTGCAAAACTGGAAAATCATCAAGAACTCGAAATATGACTCGATTGCAGGTTATAATTGATGATTTGACGATGTTACATTTCAAAAGAACGTTTCGATATTTACCGGATCCAAAATTTAATACATTTAATAGATCCCCGAAATCCCAACTGAGGTATGAGAACATATAAGTATTAGCAATGCAGCTAGTTTTATACGATGCAATGCATAAAATAATTATTTAAATTGAATTCATGTCATTTTTAAATTGTGTTTATTAATTGCTGTCTTTTTTCCGCATATTCCAAATCTGCCTTTCTACGATGAAATAGAAGAATGAAGACAGTATTGAGCATATTCCATATCTTCCTTTCTATGCTGAAATAGGAGAATGAGAAAATAAGTTTAATCAATTGGACTTTAAAAATACATATTTTAAATATTTCTTTTAAATGTGTAAAGTCGTGCAATACATTTTATTACTAAAATTTCCTTAATTTTATTCATTAGTGGAGGTGCAACATTTACAGTTCGTGGGGAAGGATTCACTAATGTAGAAGAAGTAACTGTTGAAAGAATGGTACGTACAAAAGGTTATCATTGAAATCATTCTCATTTCACTAGATTATTTAAAGATAAAGTATTAAACAAACAACGAGGAAAGGAAAAGAAAGTTTTCGTCTCAATAGAAAAAAAAATAATGAGCGTTATTTAATTACAAAACATTTACTTAATTAAATTGCGTATGTTAAAAATCTTTGTTTCATTTATCCATAATTCCTTTTTTTCATTTTTCTATGTTGATATTGGTTTACTGAACATTAATCAAAAAGCAAGATTATTTCTAGATTATACAATAAATAGTTATAAACTATTTGAATACATGGAAGAAACAGATTTAAACATGAAGACCAAGTATGTGGACAAATACCGCTTTTTTTTTCTTTTTTTCTTAAAAGTTGTTTTCAAAAAGACAACAAATCAACGGTGTTCGACTTCGGGACACCCTATATTAGACTTATTTACTAAGGAATCGTATTTATTCATAAGTTTCTTAATTTAGTAGATTTTATGAATATACATATGAATCATTTAAACACTAGAACAAAAATTTCCTCTTACCTTATATGGACTATGCTAAGACTGTGAAATCAACCATGACGATATTAATGTGTGTTATATCTTACATGTATAATCTCATGATACATAAACGACATTAGGTTCTGAAATAGAATAAACATTCATTTACCTTTAAAACATTTTACCAATATATAATTTAAGAAAATTGTTATTCTTTTTCGTTAGGATAAACATTGCGATGTACCGGAAGATACATTAGCTGTCTGTAAAACACCTCAAAAACTAGGGAATCAGCCTAATAATCAAACAGTTTATGTTCATTTTGATGACGTTACTCTTCCGGTTACTATAGAATATGTGGAAGATCCTACTTTCGAAAAGTTTCCTGACGTATACGAGTATGACAAGGAGTCTTCTATTCAAATCAAGGTATTTGAAATTGAAAAAAATGATTTTTTCTCTGGTGACTAACGCACATATTGTCCTTTATTCGTTGAAGGAAAATAACACTATTAAGGTCGTGCGCCCGAAGCGCTTTTCTGGATTCACCTTCATTAGGTACGCCATACTCAAAACAATTGAAGGCCAAGGATGTTTTAAGACCTAGTAAAGGTATGAAGAGCTATTATACCAAAAGGGAAATATAACAAAAATAGCAAAATCAATCTAATTAGCTTTTCCTGAAGGAGTTGGAATTTTAGTTTTTTGATAATTTTTTAATTTATCAACTCAACATTTCTTTAAAAAAAGTTTTACCGAAGAATGTATACTAAATCGATGATACCCACTGGGCTTAACAGTCCACCAGCCGTGGTTTCGACCTAGTACTAGGAAATGAAAATAACACTATAAATTCCGGGCGTCCGAAGCATTTTCTTGATTTACTCTATCAGGTACGCTCAAACATTTAAAAGCCAAGAATGTATAAGACATAAACGCGTGTAGGGCTATATGACCAAAAAAGGACAAAATGTCATCTCTGCGTCATTTTATTATTTAATGATTTCTTAATTCATCAACGGAAAATTTAAGAATAGTTTGTCATAAATCATGTCAGTACCAAAGGACTGGAATCTGTATTATAAATGTGTTCTAACTTACTGTCGTTTTAATTATTTATCAAATGATAGATAACATGGTACACATCAAAGTTCGAAATATAATGTTTATAAACATTTACCCAGGATGAGTTTTTTTTTTTTGGAGATTATAAAGTTGGTATTTGTATAGGTGAGATATCAACAACTAGATTTATCTAAGAGCTAAAATATATATAAATAAATATATATATATAGAGAGAGAGAGAGAGAGAGAGAGAGAGAGAGAGAGAGAGAGAGAGAGAGAGAGAGAGAGAGAGAGAGAGAGAGAGAGAGCAAAACCATGTTCCTTAAAACAACATTGTCAAACAGTTCACAAAACAACACTCAGAAAACCATACGTTGAGCATCAAGAAAATCCCCAAACCTTCGAAGGAAACTCGTGTGTTTTCGTAGGGTAAGCTGGCCTACATTTGTTATATTCATCATGATATTCATGGAATGTTACAATCTAATGGAAATGAGGAAACTTCTACAAATTGACAGTTAAGACGGTTGCTGCCAGAAAATAGTAAAAAAGAAAAATAACTCCGCTAAAAAGTATGTATAGCTCATTTGAGTCAACATGATACACGGTTCATGTTCGATATAAAACTAGGGACAACAGAATAAATAGACTAGGTAAAAATAGCAAAAATATAAAAATTACAAAAGAAAACATGGAAAGTACAATGTATAAAAAGGAATACAGCTTTCAAAGCAATACATTTCTTTAAAGGGTAGAAATATTTTAAATGGAGCCCGACTTGAAGACTACCGAATACATGTTGGATTGGATGGAAGTTGTCTCCTAACTGATATTGATATGCAATTGATCATATGTTTCCCACCTAAATCAGTACCTCGGACTAACAAAACAGATGTGAATACAGTTCATGTAATTGTAAGTGTAATTTAGAATTTATTTATGTTTAAATTAATGCACGAAAGCGCGTATGTCATCCAAAACCCTTTGAGTGGATAGCTTGCTACGTGAAGGTTATTAAGGAAATTTCCTTCGAAACTAGAATTCATATACAAATCTGTTTGTAGAATGACTAATCCAAAATTTGAAATATATTAAATATATTCAACGATTTGTCAAACAACATTTTTATTCACGAATGATCATATTGTTGGGTCACAAGTTGAATATTTTTTCGATATTTGAACTCTTGGATAAGTTATGCTTTATATGACATTTAGTGGAAACAAAATAGAAAATGCCCCAAAAAATTGTTTTCATACACATACTCGGTTCGTTTTAATGCAACAACATCGACAATGTTTTGACAACACCCATTGTGGTATGACGTCGGAGGAGTGAAATTATCGGATTTATTTCATAAAAAATTATGTGAAATTATCAGGTTTTATTTAACTGGGAACTCACGGTATTTCCTTACAACTCATGATTAATAAATGATCTCCCTTCATCTCATTATTAATAATGTGTTATATAATGTCTACACATTCTTATTAGATTTGTTCAAGTCAATTTATTCATTTAATAATATCAAGAAGAACTTGCTTGACACTTTTTATAGGTCAAGCATCTTTCACAAATGTATTGTTCTTTTTATGCTGTGCGTACCTCCTTAATTTATATCATTTTATTTAAGATAACACACAAACTTACAATATGAGATGAAATTTGACATTCAACCAAAATAGGGAGATAATAAGCACAACCTTTGCATAACAATTATTTATAAGTTCAATTGATATACAGAACTGCACCATTAAACCGCGGGTAAACTCGTGTGTTTCTGAAATGTTAGCAGTTCATGTTCCACATGTTACATTTGCCATATTAACCTTTAAAACATTCATTCGTGATATCCATTGATTTAGCATCTTACAATATCGGGCTGAGTAATGTCCCTTGTCTAACCATAAGACATCACAAATACAAAAATCATCAGTAAATGTTAATTCTTTTCCCTAAAACTTTATTGAATGTTCTTGTAAACCCAATCTGTTATAAAATGGAATCAAACGTACTGGGTGGTAGTTAAGATCTCAAACAACATTTCCTGCACTCGTTTTTACAAAGGCTTTTTTTGTATGTTGCACTAATAGAGTCGTGTGTTAAGTTGCATAGCAAAAAGGAAACGTTCTAAGATTTTTAAGTATTTGCCTGCTCTACAATAGGAGACTCCCTTTTAAATTATGACGACACACCTTGTGCGTGTAAGGATTTTCCAGTGGGACCTTGTTTCTTTTTTGCCCTTTGAAATGTGGTGCTATTGAACATAAACATGCATGATTCCTTGTTTCATATTTTACCAACAAACAATCTCAAATCCATCACGTTCATATCTATATGAATTGCCAGTTTATCAGTTTTCAGCTCTTGGATAATGGTGTAAGTGTCTTATATTCCAGAAAAGCGCTTCTGATGCACCAAATTTATAAAGCGATACTTTCGTTTTCTAGCAATGGGCATGGGGAGAAATTACTGCTGGTTGACTGCTGGTCTCCGGGGTATCATCAGCTAAGTAGTCAGTGCTTATGCATGTTAGGCATAAATGAAAAGCATGCGAGTTAAGTTCACCAGTGTGCTCTGATTATGTGGGCATTTCAGTCTTTTTGTCAATTTGTTTACATTACTGCAATTTGTTAGCCATTATCATGAATTGTCGGGTCTTAAATCAACATCAATACTATAGTATAGCCATTAAAAAGTAAACTTTAAGATCTATTATTACAGTTAAAACAAAAAATAGGTTGCATTATAACATGGGATTAATAAAAGAAGATGCAAATGTGAGTGAAATCGTTGTCCTATTGTATTTGTGACATCAATAAAAAAAACGGAAATCGCGGTAGCCAAAGGTGTCTCATCTTCGCTAGCCAAGGGTTACGATCCACTTCCCTCCTCTACACCCTTGGCAGATTAAGCCAACATTTGTAATAACAATGTTGCGCCATCTATCGTTAGATTAAAGTCACGCCCATTCCGAATACATTATTCTTGACCAATGGTAGCACTTGAACTCTTCAATTTAGAGGTAAAACACGGTAACGTCTAGATTCTACATACTTGGTAAAGCAGGAAACGAAAATATACGTTGACATTCATGCATTTTTGCAAGAAACATACACAGAAACTTCTATTAGTTGATTAAAAACATTCAAATTGTCACTAAATATAGTCGTATGTTTAGGGGTGTAAAGACTAGTTGCACAATAAGCACGTGGCAATTGTTTACATACACTTTCTACATTTACACGTGATCATGTTATATGCGCTTTTTGATTGGATGCAGCGAGTTTAGACTGCAACCAATGAAAATCATTACCTTGTGTCTCCGAAATTCTATCTCAATCTGCCAAGGGTGGAGAGGAGGGAATTGGATCGTAACCCTTGGCCAGCGAAGATGAAGGTGTCTTAAACTTTGTAATACGTGAGGATTCGTTGTGATAAATTTCATGCTTGTATCAATAAGTGAACTATTTTGCAATTATTTCCATATTAGCCGTTCCACTACATCATTTCATAAAGCACTTATCATGTTCTGTTTTGTTTAAACAATATATATTTTGGGGAAACTGGATATGAAGATTTGCTTTTTCTACACCCATTGAATCCCTAATCACATATCTATAAACGCCTCCTTGTTTGTGTGTGGATTTTGTACACTTCAAATTTAAAGAGTTGAAGCAGATTTCATCCAAAGAAAGTTAAACGTTATTGAATATATTTGTCACAGATTCCTACGAAAATGATCTACATGTTGTAAAAACAATCCCGTCATCTATTTTCTTTGATTATGATATTACCGAATTATAAGTAACAACTTCTTATCCTACCAGAGCAACTGTTTTTACCCTCGGTTCATTTGAAAGTCAATTTTCTGTGTAGTGTTATTTTATTGTTGTTTGCCTTTTGTATAGTTTTTTGTTATGACAATGGTGTTGTCTATTTTTATTTGACACTGTTTATTGTCCCTTGGTATATTTTCATCTCTCTTTTTCTCAATAAAACTACCACAGAAATAACTTCAAATTCTTTAAACTGCACTATCTATTTTACTATTGCAACAACACCCCTAAATATGAGTTGTATATATATTTATTGCCAACTTGATCAGGATCTTCTTCATAAAGGGTTGTTTGATTACAATGATTCTAATTAGGAAAGTTGAACGTCATTTCTGCAAAGTGTTAACGAGCGCCCTCATATATTAACGGAATACATTTTTATTTGTCTCACACATTTGTGTCGGAGATAACCATGGATATCTTATGCTTGTCGAAGCCACAGTCGAGTAAGACTCATCACCGAATTACACGTATTACAAAGTTCGTATCTGTCATGAAGAATACAACGGGAACTGCTTAGGATTCAAGACCACACAAGTCTATATATCGCTTTGTTTTGTGTTCGTCTCATTTTACCTTAAGTCTAATGTGTTTTATTGACTGGTGTCATTTCGGTTTTTTGGTGTGAGGGTTTTGCATATTTTCCTTCGATTATTTATTTTTCTATTGTTTATTTCTTTCGTCAGTTCTTGTTTTCCTTATACCGAAACTACAAACATTTATAAGCAAACTTACCAGAGGTTGTGGTAGAAGCAATAGTTTTGACATCTACTTCATGCTAAAATCAATATGCTATCAAACTTTAACAACTTATATAACTTTATAAAGTTTTTCAACATTAATACATTGAATAGGTGGACGTTGGAAATATCAAAGCATACATTGGTGACTTACAATATAAAGCAGACAGCAACATATTAGCCATCACAGTTGGAATGTTGACTGCTGCATTAGTGACAGCTGTTGTCATTGGCGGATTCATAATAAGGAAGAAGAAAAAGAGGACTACTAAAGAATACAGAATGGAACTTCTGACACGGGAGGAAATGATACGAGAAGCAAGCAGAGAAGGTGAACTGTTCTTTTTACATCACAATTAATATGTGAAAGGGGACGAAGTCTGTATGAATTATTTTATTTAATTCAAACATATTTTAACTTCAAAATCTGTTAAAAAAGAAACGGAAATACCGTAACGTTTCAGATTTCGGTTTTGTTGTTAGGGATTTTAGTTGTGACGTTATTTGTGTTATGACGTCATATTCAATGTAAACAAAGAAACGCTATCATCAGGTAACGGTTTTTCATATCAAGCCATTCAAGGAATTATTAAAAATGAAATTGGTTTTGCGTTCCTTCCTATATTTTACTAGACTGATAAATATATATTTTACTCAAAGACTCATGCAAACGATACCGGAAAAAGGAAGTAGATTTCTGCGCAAATGCGGGAAAACAAAAAAGTCTAAAAATAAAAAAGTTAACGATTTTGATTTCATTAGTAGAATGGATTTTTCCCGATTTTTTTTTTTTTTTCTTTTAATTTTAATTGATTTTTTTACCGTAATAGGGTACTTCGTCCCCTTATAAGGCGTAAATGGGTTAAGCAAATAGTACTATGAAACAAGAAAATTGTTAGAACAAGCCGTATGGTTTGCATTATTAAAAAAAACACCTTCTCGTATACAAAAATGATTTCTGGTTTAGGAATACATAAAACCATAACTCTCACGCCAATTATTGTAAATTCAGAAATTATTTCGTGCATTTATTATTGCGATTTTTGAAGAATGGACATAAATGCGAGATTACTATTGCGATTTCAGGAAATCTGCATACAGATATATGTATCAGATATCTAAATGCAAGTTTTATTCGTTGCTGTCGTATTATTCGCATCAATAAAAATCTTGCAATAATTTCTGAATTTAAAGTAAATGAATCAGTATCTTTTGACTTTTATTTCAATGAATTTGCTATTGCTATTCATAATGAACATAAAAGACAAAACGTACAGTTCCTAGTGGTTGAAATGTAGACATCCCTTCGAAAATTTTAACGGCGCAATCATGAGTTGGTTGTCCGTTATTAAATAAATGCGTCACAGATGACCACGGGTATGATGCAATTGTCGTAGTCATTCTTTCGTCCTCTTTTTTTTTCAAAATTATGACATCATCGAATGAGACTTAAAACCGAAAGTGTACTTACCGTGAGCAACATCTGCTCATCCGTACAGAGTACCGGAGGCCACCCAATGTTTCTGGTAAGGGTTCGTGTTTTTATGTAGTGTTTGTATAAAATTTCAATGGGGTTTTTTGTCATTTATGGTTTTTTGCCATGGTTTTATCGGTCTTTTTTCGACTTATGAGTTTTGATTCCGCCTTGTCTTTCTGTAAATATGAATCATGCTTTTTTCGTGGTTCCTTTTTAGATCATCAATATTGTCAAACACAGCTACAACATAAATTTATTGTCATATGATTCTTGTTTTTTTGGGGTTTTTTTTGCAGAGTTTGCTGATGCTCAGATGAGTATCAGAGACATAAAATCTGACCTAGTTACTTCAAGAGTACCATTTTGCAACTACCAGACGTATATTCTTCATCAGCTCTTTCCAAATCAAGATATGACAACCAATATTTTACTTCAGGATTTAGAGGTAACATCACACTGCATTTCTTGTTATAAAAATGAATAAAAAGTTGTGATATATATATATCACAGGTAACTATCTCAGAGTGTACGTACTGTAAAACGTTTAAATTTACTTTTTGGAAGATAAAAAATGATTTTGTTTACATGTATTACAACATTTATTAAAAAAGGGGTAAAATAGCTGTTCCAATTAATGGTTTCTACATATTTCATTTATTTGAGAGAGCATTGACGTTTTCATATTTTGATAAGTTTCAATGACCAACGATCTCATTTTAGCATCATCAATTTTAGACAGATACTTCATTCATATGATGAGGAGCCCTATTTTCAGTTTCCAAAAAGTCACACAAATAGTTTGTACTGAAATTTGTTAAAATTGCAACCCGTTGTTGTTGTTATTTCAGATAACAGATGACAGACAAACCGTCCTAAAAAGTGCAATGGACAAATTGGAAACATTGTTGACGAATAAGATTTTCCTGAAGTCACTTATCCAAACATTAGATCGACCAAATATGATTACAATGCAAGAAAAGTAATAAAGATATATATTAGTTTTCATAATGAATTATATACAAAATATACCAAAAAAATTAACAATCTGAGTGTATAATATTTTATGCATACTACAACACACCATTGCAAATTCAACCAATTATTAATGCATATGTTGATCATGTTGATGGTGAAAAAGGAAAATTTTAATTGCAAATCATATCCTAAAGAACCAAATTTATTTCAATAACGGAAATTATTGATGATTTACATACTGATAATATATAGTACGAAACTCCAACTCATATTGTCTCATTATATTTGTGTTTTCCTTTTTTCTACACAAATAATATGAAGCACACTATAAAATCAAGACTTTTTTATTTCATAAACTACATATCAACGCGACGATCGAGTTTACTTTTTTTGATTTTGTATTATTTATTGATATTTTTATGTCAACTTTTAATATAATTGTGTATATTTAATCTATTTTAATCATATACTTTTCAGGGCACATTTTTCTTCAGTTTTGTCGATTTCATTGCTTGGAAATATGAGACTGTTCTTCGAGTAAGATACTTTTGAATATAATACTTGTCTGATATTCTGATGGAAAAATATTATGTCATAATGGTGAAAACTGTAGTAAATAAACTTATCATAGATACCAGGATTAACAATTTGTAACAAAACGCGCGAGTCGTCTACAAAAGACTCATCAGTTACGTTCGAATCAACAAATTTAAAAAGGCTAAATGAAGTAAGTAGTTGAAGCGCATTGATGACCCAAAATTTCGAAAGATTTAGCCAAATACAGATAAAGTAATCTATTCCTTGGATATGAAATCCTTAGTATTTCGAAAAATTTAAAGTTTTGTAAACAGTAGATTTATAATTGTGACCATATCAATGTAAGAGTATGCTGTACCACATAAAGATATGTTCTACTACTGAATCTTGTGATTGTAATTGAGTTCATATGATTCAGATCTAGATGATTGTATTCAGACCATGTACGCCATTGTGGAATTCTTTTCGATATATACATGTAGGCTTTATATTACACAACTACAATATATAAAAGGAGATAAAGAGGTATTATTGTCAATGATATAACTATCCAACGGAGACCAAAGGACGAGGATGTAAACAACTCGAGGTCAATGTTCGGTTTAAATCAATAAAGAAACCCAATACCGTATATAATAAGTTATAAAAGACAAAGTTTGAAACAATTTAAAAGGAAAAAGCAACGGGCTGGCTTATGCTACAACAACACACGAAAACATACAATTATGACGAACAGTCACCAACGATAACAACTAAATTCCATGTTCTTGACTTTGCTACATAACAGGAACTTAAAGAATGTGGCGTTGTTAAAAATAATTGTGAGCGCTCAGCCTTACACTATCTAGGCAGTATTGTAACAGTACAGCAGAAAAAAACTGTAAGAATCAGTTTCAAAGAGCTTGAATCATAAAATGATTAAAAAAAACAATAACAACAAAAACAAATCACCGATCTAAGACTACTCACAGTTTCTGAAGTCACTTGCAACTAATAAATGAACCACGTTTTCCATGATAAAAATACACATCCAGCGGATTTAGTGTAAACTAAACATGAAGACTGACAACACCATTCAGAATATCAGAAAGACGAAGAGAAAGAGAATCTGCAAGTACTACACAGAAAACGACAACACGAACGACACTTACCCTTCTTCGACTAAAGTTTTTTTTTTATTTTCGCTTTTTTTTAGTTCAATCAATCATACCAAAATTTGTTTCAAAATTTTATTTCATTCTACAGTTTGATCCATTGTTTGCTCACAGATATGATTCGGTCATTGACAAAAAAACAACAGAAACTTCTATTCAGAAGGTAAATTTTATTAGTTTCTTTTTTTATATATCTGTAAACTTATCCACAAATTTTAACTATATTATCTTCTGTGTTTGTTATTGATGTCATTTACTAGATGGTTTAATGAAATATTTACCATACAATATATGATTGGCTATTTGACTGTTTGTTTTGCAGGTTTGACTCTATAGCCATGAGATTAATGGTAAATTGGTTACAGATTGGACTATACAGACAATTAACTGTATGTGGTGTTTTAAACTATTGATTAACATGCAATTAATTTGCAAACATTCATCTGCCAAGTGTATAACATGTTATTACAAGACTTTGTTTTTTACGGATGTGTACGTTTTTTTTTATTTTCCTTTCCTTTCAATCCATAGTATTAAGCAGAAGCAGATATTTCAAGCATGGAATTTAGAATGGTTTCTACTTCATATATTTCTTAAAGTATTTTTTTTAAATTATAAGTCTCGTAAAGTAATAGAACACATTTTAACTGAATTCCTCTAAATGATTTACGTATGAAAACTAGCAACAGATTTGCGTTTCATATTTACAGTCACATAGCGGTATGCAATTGTTCATGCTATATAAAGCCGTACAAACAACCGTCGAAATTGGACCAATAGATGCGCTAACAGGAAATTCAAAGAACACCATTGCTGAAGAAAAGCTACTCAAAATGAGAAGTGAACATCAAACTATGGTAAGTAAAAATCAGTTATGTTTCATTATTCACATTTTGTACTTAAACAGCAATATAAATAGTATTCAATCAAAAAGGCCTCCATTGATTATATGCATATATTATATGTAAAATTTATGAGCAAAGTTAAGACACGTTTTGAAAAATTTGGAACGTTTAAGATTGCGATTCAGTATCAAATTCTTTACTGTTAAGATCATTTGTTAAGTTAATCACGGAAAAAAGTAATACCAATCGGCACATTACACTATTACAGGAAGAAGGATCTACACCACTAAAAAAGAGAGGCGAAAGATACCAAAGGGATATTCAAACTCATAAGTCGATAACAAACTAGCAATGCAAAAAATGAAAAACGATCAACCTATAAACATAGAAAAAAATCAAAGGACTAAACTGTAGTCGATTCCTCTCAACACGGAAACTTAATTATTGAGCTGCACGAATCCACCAAAAATCAGGGATGTTCTTGGGTGCTTCAGTTATTATAATTTTTGGAAGATCAGAATAAAAATATTTTGAGTAATAGGAATTCGATCGAGAATGGAGCACGGAACATAAAAAGGGTAGATTGCTCAACATGAATTAACCGATATAAAATTCAAAATTCATATATTGATGTTATTGTCACAACTAGGGAAAACACCCGTAACCAACTTATGAATTTTAATGAATCTGTATAGAATGTGACAGGGGAAATATCTATGTTGTGTCTCTCAATTGAAATAATCAAAATTTATCCCAATATTTTGTTCAGTTAACTAACAAAATATTGTGAAGCTTTGCTTTACTTCAAATTGTGCACCAAGTTTCAAAATTTGGAGCGCCACTAATGAGGAGTCTAATCTAGTGAGTTTTGTCAACCACTGTGTCGATACCATTTCTGGTAAACGTTCCATGCCGGAGGATATCAGCAGTCAAGTAGCCAGCAGCACTTTTGTGTTGACATGAAGTATCTGTAAAATGTTCCTACAATTTGTTGTTTTTAAAATATTGAATGATGCCAGATGTGGAGCAGGCCCTGCTTGTCCTTCCAGGGAACATGAGACCCCCTCCCGGTTTTGATGCGGTTCGTGTTGCCCAGTCTTAAGTTTTCTATGGTGTGTTTTGTGTACTGTTGTTTATCTTTTGGTCTTTGTCTTTTTTTGCCATAGTACGCTTGTATTTACAAGTAAAAAAACTGGCATTTGAACAGGAAGTGAAACATACCATCATTAAGTAATTCCATATATTTTTTTTTATTTAGACATTGCAAATAGATTTGAATGGGAATAGTGACCAGCATTATCCTGTTAATGTACTCGACTGTGATACAATATCACAGGTGAAACAGAAATGTTGTGCGCAGATTTATAAGAATAAACCTGCTTCAGAAATACCACACATTAACGAACTTTCTTTAGGTAGGTAATTCTAATCACAATACGTCGCAAAATGTGATTATGCATGAAGATTATACGAGTGCTAAGAATCTGTTTTAAAAATTGATTTAATTGATATTGTTAAATTGGGTTTTTTTTAAGTAGTTTGTACCATCATTGACTACGTGATCGCTAAAAATACCAACATACAAGTTCGAAAGAAACATCTTGATATCGGTTAAATCGCTTCGATTCGGCGAACTTCTGGATCAATTTTTATCATTCTAATTACAGTATATGAACGGCAATCAATTAGATTTGTCGGATTATGTCAATATCAAATTTTTATAAAAGAGGGGCGAAAGATACCAGAGGGACATTCAAACTCATAAATCGAAAATAAACTAACAACGCCATGGCTAAAAAAGACAAAGACAAACAGACAAACAATAGTACGCAAAACACAACATAGAAAACTCAAGACTAAGCAACACTTTTCTTATAAAAGTCGTAGCTATTACAATCAAAAGCATAATGGTTCGTAGCCCTTAAACAAGTGTCGCATGATCAATCTCTTTATAGTTTTTTTTTTAAATTATCACTTTCTAATAACAATGTGACCTTCTACGGTACATTGAAAATCATTCTATGCTATATTGTGAATTGAGTGATATCGCCGCGTTCCTGTTTTTTAAAAAGTCTGATAACTAAGACTTTGGTTGAAAAAAAAATAAAACTTAACATTTTATAATATATCTTTTTGTGACTTTAACTTGGTCATTAAAAGTCACCTTGATACTATTTAAAATAGAAAACATGTGATTTGTGATCCTAGTCCTCTTTTTTATTATTTTGTGTGTTTTACAGTCTAGTACAGAGTACTGAATGAACACTGAAATGTTTCCGTGGGGTATAATGGCTACTGCGAATAAAGCGGAAATTGACACATGCGAAAATATGCAATGAGCAATTTCAAATTTAATATATTGCTCCTTCATGTTGGAAAATATAGGCGGAAGATACCAAAGAAATTTTCAGACTCAAAATAAATTGACAACACCTAAAGACTAAGCAACACGAACCCTATCAAAAAACTCGGGTGATCTGAGGTGGAATACAAATATTTTAGTGTGAAGCGTCACTATCTTTTTTCAACTATATTTCACTATTTATGTGTTTCATATATGTTTATCGTACATTTGAGGCTTCACAGAAATACTCATTCTGAATTTATATCTTAGAATGGCAAAATGGAACAGCCGGAAAACTTTCGTTAAATGATATCGACAACACCAGTGAAAGAAATAATGGATTAGTATCTTTAAATACACTTAAACATTATATGGTTACCGACAACAGTAGAATGACCCTAATGTACAGGCAACATGACGAAGAGGATGCATATGGTAAATAGTTTTCATAAATTTTCAGTATGTTAAACATGGTATTTTCTCAAACATACGTTTTCATAAATTATGTATTTGTTGACTGATAACCTATTCAATAGTGTCATTCAACAGTGTCAAAGTAGTTGTTTACGCCTTTTTGATTACAACTATTAGGTCGTTGAAATCTGTAGGATTCTTCGTTAACCTTTAACATTTTTCTACTATGATTTTTTCTGAATGGTTTTTGTCATAGGATTTGACCTTGATAACGGCCAATGTACAAATTAAAGGCAGTCAGATTCAAAATTGTTCGTTATTTTTTCGTTCATACCAAGTAGCAAAGGTAAGTTATCATGAAAGCGTTCTATTATATTTTGTATGCTATGGGTGTTTTCTTATATTTTTTTTTTTACATCATATTTTGGGGAAGGTCTCAATAACGTGAACTGTACATCTCAATTGCTTTATATTTGTACACCAGGGGAAAAAGTCGCCATAAAAGGGCATAGATAATTAACCATTTATCTATTTTCCCTAAAATTGTGTGTTTAATAATTTTGGAATATTTCAAATTACTCCTAATTTTATATTATATTTTTTGAAATTTACCTGTGATAAAAATACGTCATTTTTGTGGCGTTGATACATTCGTGTGACGCACAATTCATAATTCTATTGTGATGTCCTGGTGTACTGTCGTATATTCATGGGCTGTGTCCGTTGATATTCTATGGTTTACATGTTGTAATGTACTATTATATTATTCATTTATGTATTTCTCTGTCCTGAGTGTTCTTGCGTTTATTTTTACTGTTTTCCTGTCACGTAATATTGTCATTTAAGCGGTATTTTTAACGTTTCCATCTAAGCGGGAGGTTTTACTAGCCATTAAACCAGGTTCAACCCACCATTTTTTCTAAGTGTTTTGGTCTGTTTTTCTAATACTGTATGCAATAGGGCAACTCTGTTTGGTGTATGGAAATATTCTACGATGTATATGTCAGTCTGGCATGTTTTATTTGACCTTGACTTTATTCTTTATGGTTCATTGCTCAATGTTAAATGTCCTGTACCAAGTCAGAAATATGGCAGTTGTTACGGAATAGTGGATAAGATTTTGCAATATCTTCTCACGTACAACTAATGTCATGCATTACAGATTCTACGTCAAAAATTGGAAAACAATTTAGAATACAAGTAAAATACACTTTAGTTATTTTTTTTTATTAACTAGTGAGTTTGTCAAGATTTGGAACAGAAAGTGTGAGGTCAGAGGATATTGCATTACTTGTGCAGAAAAAAGGTGACGACGAGGAGCCAGAAACACACAAATGGCACTTGGTATATTAACATATCATTTGGTAATAATGTATACACTCCGCCATAAGTTTAGCACCACCCAATTCAATTTCGATATGTTTTTTTTTCTAAATGATGTTTTTTATAAAAGAAATTCTATATATCAAAACTGTAAACAATAGGTAGCTTTTGGATGCAGGTAAATATCAATTGATTACATTTTGATTGTTAAAACCCAATTTTAAAAACCTGTCTTGCATTTATTATGCGTTATTATCTTTGACTTTACACAACAGATTTAAGACGTGGACTTCTACGGGCTTGGAGGCCAATAAAGCACCCAGAATTAACTTTATGACACCGCAGAGTAAGATTACAGTGGGCTAGAAACCACCACCCATAAACTTTACGCAACTGGAAAGAATTCATAGGTCTGATGAAAGTCGTTTCTTGCTGGAGCCGAGGACACGTGTTTGGAGGAAAGGAACACCTTATATCGAAACAATAACATTCTTGGTATAACAGCTTTCCATGGCGGTGGTGTAACAGTATGGGAATGTATTCCCATGACTGTAAACTTGATATGCCTATAGACAAAGATACCTGGATAACATTCTGAACACCATAGTATCGTCTAATTTTGATAACGTTAGCTGATAGACCTGTTTCAAGATTTCAATGCGATACCTCATCGCGCACGAATTGGCAACGCTTACCTGACGTCGGAATCAATAGACACTTTACATGCGCCGGTCATGGCACCTCATATGAACCTAATTAACATTAACAGGGACTTTTTCGGCCGTAAACTTAACTAAAGACAACCACAATGTGCAACAATACTAGAATTGAGGATCGCTTTGGTATGTGATTGGCAGAGGAATGAGGAGACGTGTATTGAATCTCTACGCACGGAATCTATACACGATATTGACATTATTAATCTTAATCAGTAAATAAACAGTAAATGTATACTTGATTGCTTTACGAAAAGTTGAAAATTGTTTCATTATTTGAAATTAGTGAAAATGATGAATAAATCAAAACTTTTTATTATAATTTTACCTTCTTGTTTTTAACGTAAAACTGAAATTTCCCTTTACAAAACAGAAGGCATAAAAAACCAATTTTTTTTGTATATTCTTATATTGCACAAAATTTACACTTTATTCAACAAATTTCAAATCGATTGACTCTTGGATTTGAAAATTTCCAATTATTTAAAATATGAGTGTTGCTTAAATTATGCCGTAGTGTATATATATTAATGATTATTTTATTCGTCATCTAAATTAACATGTTTGTCTTGAGTACATCTACACAAATGTATAGTCTTTAGAATAAATATGCGTGGCTATACATGATTTTTTAATTGTATCTATTGATATTGATCATTGAGATAATGATAATAAATTAAAACATAAGAGAAGCCCCACAATTTAATAAAATTTAATAAAAAGTCATACCTTTAAGGTTTATCCTTAAAGATTTATCCGATAAATGAATTGTTTTCTTATCATTGTAATAGTGTTGAGAAAATTATAAAAATATTTGAAATAATACGTTTAAATTGCGAATGGAAATGGGGAATGTGTTAAAGAGACAACAACCAAACCAAAGAACAGAAAACAGCCAAATGCCACAAATGGGTCTTCAACACAGCGAGAAAATCCCGCACCCGGAAGCGGGCTTCAGCTGGCCCCTAAACAAAAGTGTGTACTAGTTCATTGAAAATGGACGTCACACCAAACATACATGACATTACAATTTTGTTTTTAAACTGCAAGTCGGCAATGTCAAATTGATATCCATATAACATAAGTTATGAAAGACTTTGTAGTTCATGTAACTTTTAATGGCGAATTTTTATTTAATTCAATATATTACTCTAAAGGAAACATGTTCGGTAAGTATATTGATATGCTGTCGAGTGTACAGTTTCAGAAAATATACTAAGGTTTGATACTTTTGAATGAGAACTAATACAATTTAATCGATTTACAACTTTAATATTCCAAAAACCTCTAAGTCCATATAACTTCAATAACCAATTGACTTGTTTTTGTTTTATGCATTCAGTTATGGTTGTCTATTTGGTTTTGTTTTTTTTTTTTCTTAAGATTTTGTTTGCTTGTTTTTTATTGATAAATACTCTAAATTCACTAATCTAATTTATAACAGCTTAAATGAATACTCATTCGAAAAGTGCACAAATTTATTTATTAATTCATCTCATCATCTTGAAAGTGTCGAAAAACAAGGGACGATGTAAATAAATCTAAGATATTTATTACAATTTTTATTAAGCACAAGGCTACTGATCTTAGCATCCTCTTATTGTATTTACACATGTATATAAAACTTTCGCAGCATGACATTATGCTACTTAATATTATCAAAATCAAAATAGATTAGGTTTTGGCTATTCATTGGCGGATTAAAGTAAGGAAAACACTCGTTTTTTACGCCAACTGGTTAAGTTGTATTTACAATCGGCATTAAAAAATCATGGGGTCAATGATTTTTCCAAACTCGATTGAAAGAAGATAATTCGAAAGAAGATCTTGATGCAATGTTCGAGTTTTGATGCACTTTATTTTTATTTTGCAAAACAGCTTTGATGAGATAGTTCACCAGCTTATTCGTCTCATTTAGATTTCCATTTTTGTTTTACTTTTTGTGTTGTTTTTTTTTTGTGTTTTTTTTTTTAGTTTTTTTTTTCAGTTCATTTATTACAAATAAGAACACACCTACAAGGGGTACATGTTCTAATGCATACTAATGATTATTCTCATACTTTCAAATTCTTAAAGCATAAATAAGTTTAATTGCATTTTAAACTCTTCAATGTTATTGATTTAAAACACTTCCGAAAGAAATGAAAGTACAGGAAATAAAAGCTTGCTGTTGACATGTTTATATTGACACACTTACCTGAATTAGCACGTGTTTATGTTCATCATTTAAAATGAGTATTATAATACAATATTTTTTCACATTTCTGTTCATCATTTAAAATGAGTATTATAATACAATATTTTTTCACATATATGTATTGGAACAAAAGAAACCGGGGAAAAAAGTAAGGCCACACCAATTTGATCTCTGGGTCCCGCTCCTGTTTTGCTTCAGCAATTATTTTCTCCGCATGCAGCTCCGAAATTATTTTCGCCGTGACATTTTTCCTCATATAAAAGCTTGTCTATTCCATACAATTCTGCAATCGTTTCATACGCACATGTGATAAATCGATATGTTAACGAAAAGTCAAAAATAGGAATGCAAAATTTTGTGTCAACTTATGAATATTGATAGGCAGCTCATTACCGTGAATATGCAGTTATTGGACATAAAGTGATTACTTCCATTTATTCCCAGAAAGTCTAAGACTTGTTCTACATGTTCTACGAACCAAAAAACATTAAATCCTAGAATACTTCGTTTAATTATCACAAATACTTTAACTGTCATTGTTATTGATCTAGGTTTCAACAGGCATACACCTATCTTTTTTCGGGTGAATCAAATGTAGATTATTCCGTTCTTATCTAACAAATCATAGAAACATTTGATTTTGATTAAACCTCATATTTGCTGTTAGACTTTTGGTATGCAAGCAAAACTCTTTGTTTTGATAGTTTGAATTTTAAAGGTTACCAGCAGGACTACAGTGATGGTCTTGTTTTTTTTATGCAAGCTCACATAATAGGGAAGATCATTGGTTCAACCACTTCTAGTCAAGCTAAATATTATTAATTCAAGTATTTGCTGCTTTTAAGAGTAAAGGTAAAGAAAGAGTGGTTAGCTCAAAGTCAGAATAATGAATCTGAAAATTACAATTACTCATACATTCAAAGCATTGTCTGATTTCAAAAGCACTATACCAACGTTCTTATCGTTTTTGTTGCCAGGGTGTCATAAACGTTTTCTCTTTTGTCGGTCGATTCATTTCTCCCGTGATCAAAAAACAATATATTTTTAACAAGAGGGTCTTAAGTAAAAAACACTTATAGATAAGATCAATAAAACGTTTTGATTCTTTGAATAGGATATCAATTTAACAATGTAGTAAGATCTTTTAAACTGTTTTATCAGTCCTAATATTTATTTGGTAATTTATAAATAACTAATTATGTATAATAACGGTCCTAAATCCTGTCAATACTTATATTTCAGCATTGCATACAGTCGTGTTTTTCTCATACTGTTCATGAAGTCATTACACTATGTGCATTGACTGTGTACTGATTCAAAATATTTTAGTCGTGGAATCATTATTTATTTATTAGTTTTATTTGGCTTTGAACTAGCTTTCAGTAACTGCGAGTACTATATAGATGCGTACTTTGTGTCTTTAGTCATTTTGTTAGTTGTTCTTTTAGGTCTACGTGTCGGTCTGATAAGTCAAGCCCATTTCCACTGATTTTAACAGGGTTTTTTTTCTTGCGTTTTACTGATACACAACTTTCCCAGGTTAGAGTAAGGGTTACAAGCTCGAACACATGTTTGGTCCTATCAAACTCTGTATGTTCCCGTCTCCTTTCAGTAGTCTGTAGGTCATTGGTTGTCGTTGGTCACACTCTTTTTTGATTTTTTGTTTTTTTTTTTTTATTGTTTTGTACATTTGGTTTGCACTTTTGCATTTTTCACATTTTGTCATGTCATGCCGGGGCTTTTAATAGCTTACTTCATGGTATTTGCTCATTGTCGAAGGCCGTACAATGACCTATAGTTGCTTACATCTACGTCAATTTGTCTCTAGTGGATAGTTGTTTCGTTGGCAGTCATACCCTACCTTCTTATTGTTAAAAATAGATTTAAGAACCCTTGGCATAACAGACCATTCAGCCATGCAAGGAATCATACTGTAAGATACGATAAATATCGCCATTTTGTAAGAATGGTTTTTAATGTGCGAAAGGAATATGTAACTAAATTAGTTATAACACTTTACTCGTGACTTTACTTTATGTTTGATTTTAATGGTATGTATTTTCATTGTATAATTTGTTATTAATACTTACTAAAGGACTATGACAAATGCATGATGATTTGTCTTTTTTATTAAAAACACTTTATGTGATATAACAATAATAATGATATTTTCCAGTCAAATCTACCAGATGACGTAAAGTCAACTCAAGAAGTTGTCTATGGTGACATCTTTCTGAATAGATTATTTCAAACGAAGGTAAGATAGTGTCGAACATTATTCGTTAAGCAAACACGGTTGTTAGATATAAGAAGATGTGGTATGAGTGCAAATGCGACAACTCTCCATCCGAGTGTCATTATCCTTTACGTCAACTCTATTGAAACGACATAAACAACAGTTTTAGTCTTCTAATTATTGATAATCTAAATGTAGAATATGAACCACTTCGCGATTTAGGAATGTACACAGATTACACAAAACTATTAAACTGTCTGCAAACATCCTTACCAAGTTTTGAGAATGAATAAAGTATAAGGGATTTGTGGACACTAAATTTAACATAACATGAAAGATGTAACAAGTAAAATGCAAAGTTCTCTTTGTTTTTTCTTTTTAAAACTTGTTTTTCCTGTTCAAGGAAGATATCAATTTAGAATAACATATTTTTTTTTTTTTTGCCTATTTATTTATTTCCTCAAATTCGTGGTTTTCAATAAGTTTTATAAGTGATGGCAGTAAAAATGAATGCAAAATTTTTGAAATTTAAACTTTCAAACTAACACTATATTTAACGACATGCGATCGATATAAGCAAAGGGGATGGTGTTTGTGAGCACGTAATACTGATGTCTAACCCCGACGCATTTTGTTTATTAAAATGTCAGGCTATCTTTACCGGTTAGTTGTTGTTTGTCTTTGTTAGAACATCGATTTTTCTGAGCAGTTGGTTGTTCGTGTTAAGTGTGGTCTATTGTACTTCTCAATATGTTTGGTTATTTCTGTTATCCTTTTTATGTACCATCTCGTTGAGAACGAAAAATACATAAACAAATTGTGCTGTAAGTACAGTAACCGGCTCAAGTTACTACGTATAAGGAATTGTGAATAGTAAGAAAAAAGTAATTTAATAGAAACTTGCATGGTATTCAAGTGGGGGGTTTAGTTGGCAATAAATCCAGGTTTAATCACCATTTTTCGGAAAATTATTGTACCAAATCAGAAATGTGACAATTGTTTTTTATCACTCGTGCCGTTGATTGATAACGTTTGATTTTGTCAGTTTTTATGGATTCCCCTTTTTTTAATTTACCTTTGAGTAATACTTTTTAACATATCTATCTCCAGCTACTTCTTGCCGACTACATTGATTCTACTTTTGAGGGATTAGAAGACCAGCAATCACTATCCATTTCAATCCGCTACTTCTTCTGCATGTTAGACAGATTTGGAAAAGATTATAAAATTGATTCAGAAGTACTGCAATCATGGAAAAATGAATGGTAAGTGTTTCATATAGTTATTTACATAAATGTATTGCTTAAAACTGTCTTTTTACATTTTTAAAGTGGTTGATCTGAGTTAACAGTATCATTTTTTCTTTCTTCTTTCAGTTGATATAAATCTATCATTTATTTTCAATTAATTATTAACTATTGTAGTATATTTCATTTCTAATATGTCATCTCGATAACCAAATGTTTTTAATCTTTATACCTGACTAATCATGCAATCCTAGAATATTTGGGGAATTTTAACCACTTATAATTACTATGTTTACTATATTTTAGTTATGCTACACGAATTTGGGCTCCATTGATTGGTAAACCAGACATACTGTTTGATGTGAATGTGCCTGGTCATGTTGAGCCTTGCTTGGATATTTTGAGACAAGTTGTTATGGAAAGTTTCACGCAAACAGCCCAAGAAGTAAACAAGGTCCGAATTTTATCCTGATATACAATTTTCTCTAACTTTGTTACATGTATGAGGATGTACGAATAAAATCGAAACTACATAAGTTACACTTACTTCTTTTCTTGGTCCTATACCTTAGATACCAGAATAGTCGTCTGATCTGTAGATTCCCCGATTGTGTCTTATTTCCTTAATGTTACAATTTTGCTGAGTGTAGATTCGCATATTCGACTCACTGTTGATTCGCATGACAGATGGTTCATGCATAGCAGGTATGATTACCCTATTCTTGCACTCGATGACGCACATTTTTCATGCAATTCTCTATGGATTTGTTTTGCATTGATTTGTATATTCTGAAAGGATCTAGAATTTATGATATTTTGGACAGCTGTAAACTACCGTTGCCTCTTACTTACTGATTTATTAGGTTTTGTCTGGATCGTTGTGTTTGTTTATCAATATTAAGTTATGTGTTGTCAATAAAAATTTGAAGCAAGCACTACAATGTACGTTTAATTTTTATTTGTTTTTGTACAATAAAAAAGTTAGAAAATATATGCATAATATATTCAAGCACAGATTTATAACCTGATTTCTAATGCAAATGAATATCATATTATAGATAATCAAAATTTCAATTTTATTTGTTTACCATAGGAGTCACCAACACAGAAATTATTGTTCCATAAAGATATACTGAGATACAGAGATCTCATCGATCCTTTCTTCGCACGTGTAATGCCAGTGACTGATCAGGAATTCTGGAGTGAAATCGACGAAATGTCAAAGGTTATTAGTATCTGTATTACCTTTATTGTTATCATATTGTCATAATTATCATTATTTCTATCATTTTTTTTAAAGTCAGTTGGTCGAAATTATTGCTTTCGGAGTTAAACCTAAAAGAGAGGCGAAAAATATCAAAGGGATGTTCAAACTCATGAGTCGAAAACATACTTACAATGTCATGGCAAAAACAAAAACAAAACGACAAAGACAAACAATACACAAAACACAACAAAGAAAACTAATCCAACCAAAGCGGGGGTGATCTCAGATGCACTTGAAGGATGAGCAGCTCCAGCTTTACATTTCGAGATTGTATGTATATACTTTCGGATCAGTCACTGTAGTACATGTATCAATATTACATTACATTGAAATGGTTTCAGTCAATTGATTAGAACTTTATGTATAATTTTTTGCGGGCATGGGGGAAGCTACGTTGATGTTGATGTTTTAGGGTTCATAATTAAGTTGTTGACTCGTTGACTTCTATCGTATATCACATTTTATTCATATTTCAACTTTTTTTTTTCCATTGATCAATACATCTTATTGTCATTTGAATAAAATTTTGCCTTTCTTAAAATGGCATAGGTCCGATGACTAACAAACAAATATTTATATTAATCTTAGAGACAGAAAGCAGACCTGAAGTTCAGCAGACAATCAACACTAGATCAGCTATATCAGTTGTTCATTGTAAAGTACAGAAGGGAAGTAAGCAAATATAATTTAACATATTCTTTATAGGGACCCTGTACAAACTGAAAGTATTTATAATGGTTTATTGCATAGCTTGTTGTCAGCAATGATTTACAATTCGCTATGATTTTGGTTTAGATTTAAGGTTTTTGACAAGATGTTCCAAACTGGCATGCATGTTAAAATAACAGATACAAATATTGACATGAAGGTGCTACTGCGTGCAGTGATAAAGTTCGATTAAGAAAGGAGAAAGATACCGAAGGGATATTCAAACTCATAAGTCGAAAAAACTGACAATGCCATGGCAAAACACGAAAAACGACTAAAAGACACACAGTACACAAAAAAACAACAAAGAAAACTAAAGACTGAGCAACATGATTCGAAACCCGGAGTGATCTCGGGTGCTCCGGAAGGGTAAGCAGATGTTGCTCATGTAAGTACAAATCCGTTGATAAGTCTTATCTGGTAGGTCACATTCGAGGAAAAAGGACGGGATTGTGGTTACAACAATTGGAACATATCCGTCGTCATCTGTGAAATAGATATTCTATAACGATCTACCAACTCCTGATGGAGTCCGTAAAACTAGCGAATGGATGATTTCAACGTCACCACTTGGAACTCTTGGTTAAATACCTGTCTTGTAAGCAACAATCCTCTATCTAGGAAATCATGCAAGCTCTAGAATATCGTATCAATTGGGAGATATTTACTCCATATGCAGGTGCTGCTGGAATTTTGTTACCTAAGAATGGAAAGTTCACCATTTTAAAGCTGAAATCATCCTTTTTGTCGTAAAGTTTTGTTCTCAACCAACCTTCATTGTCGATTTCTAGATTAAGTAAAGATATGAGACAGACTTATCTGTATCTGTTGTATCCTTTATTTCAAGTTCGATTGGATAGATGCGTTCAACATAGTTCGAAGTTGTACAATATTTTTTTTTCAATGGTTTAAACAATTTGTTCATTGCAATCGTAAACAGAAAAAATATTTCCTTTTTTTGTCTGCAAATTTTCCAATTTTATTCAAACTTTTAGATGCAATCTTTAGATGGTTGTGTCGTTTGGTTTGTATTTAACTGTCATTTAACTATTGATACAGTAGTAACTTAAACAAAAATGATTGAAATAATCCAGTGAAAAAAAAACGCGTTCCCATTATCCGCGTGAGGTATGCTTTGGACATAAAGTTTGGACACTTTAAAGAATTACTTTAGTACTCATTGTTAACATTTCATATTTTATTATTTTCTCAATACAAGTGGATGCAAAGAATAATATACAATTATGGCCCGTTGAAAAGGTGAATATCCAAAATTGTCAACACGAGAAGGTTATTTCACTGAGGGCGCAGCCCGAAGTGAAATAACTTTTAAGGTTGACAATTTTGGATATTCATCGCTTCTAAGGGGCCACAATTGTTTTATTATACCGAACTAACAGTGGAAGGGCATTTTGAATCATTGTAAAAGCACTTACCCTTACTTGAGTCAGTAACAAACACAAGTTGACGTTCAAAAATACATGTAATTTGTGTCTTAGAATTCTCGTATGTACAACAAAGGTAGATTCTTTTTGTAAATATATTGATGGCCCTGAAAAGGAACGTTATTAGAGATATCATCGGCACAAGATGCACGTCAAAAGCATTATTTCCTCTTCTCTTGGTCAATGGGCTTCCTGTAACTTGAACGTTGCCATTTTGTTTATTTACGTCTGTGACGTCATTTTCATGAGTACAAATCAACAAACTAAAAAGGTTATTCGCCGGTGAATAATAGGGTTATTCAACGCTGGTGTAAATTTTTAGGGTTATTCGTTCTTCCTTGCAAGTGAATGAAAATTAACTGAATTATTCCATGTCACGTGATAACGTTTTACCCAATAGAATTGTTTGAAATATATGTAAGGTATAATAATAGGTGTTATGTTTTTTAGGTAATATTAAAACGTACTTTTGCTGTTGATAAAGACCTAGGGTCTTGAAATTATCTTTCCATCATCAATTTGCACTGTAAATGTTGCTAGGATATCAGTTAATTTTTTAAACTATTTTTCCCTACCTTTTTCAGATAATTGATGATTTAGAGGACATGGAAGAAAGTAAAGATCTAAAAGAAGAAGTGATAGACTTGATGGAAGAAACTTCTAGTGATTCTTAAGTTTAGGAGTATATATTATATCACATAGACTGTGGAAAAGGATTTTTTAATAATGATTGTAACTTCTTCTGTAGGCTATGATGTTTTTTTATTATGACATTGAATACATATGAATGTAAAAGCCTACAAATTACCGGTACACTATTAATAGAATGTGACAGCCTCATTCACTCATAGTGTTATGATTGAAAAAACAAAACCAAATTAATGAATGAATAGGGTATGCAATGTGCAATTTTAATCTGCACTTATTCAGTTCTTACTAATTTCAAATCTCTTTTTTAAATTTATTGATACATGTAATATCCTGACAATGTAAGACATATGTAATAAATCATAACATGTAACAGACATTTCCAGAAATATTAGACAGTACAGCGGACCACACACACCACCTCATTACAGAGTCGAAAGGCAAGGTCCACATCTTATCATGTTTATATATACAAGTTTTTGACTAGTACGTTACAGGTATTTTATTTGGATGTATCTTATACGATAGTTTGACATATTAGTAAGACATTAAGGTTGTCTTACTTATTAAAATTGTTCAACTTTTTTTTAGACAAAGGAAATCCAAAATTATTCTTAAATATTGGACAATTATAAGTATAAATAACCTTGATAGCAGTTATCTATTTTATTTTTGAACATCATTAAAAAGGTCTTTTCTTTTGTTGCTTACCAGAAACATATTGAAAAGTTAGTAATGAATTGTCATATTTTCTTAAATCATAAACTTAAACTTTTCATAGAAAAGTAGGTTAACATTTTGTATGTGCCTGTCCAAAGTCTGGAGCCTGTAATTCAGTGGTTGTCGTTTGTTGCTGTGTTACATATTTTTTTTTCGTTCATTATTTTGTACATAAATTAGGCCGTTAGTTTCTCGTTTGAATTGTTTTACATTTGTCATTTTTGGCCTTTTATAGCTGACTATTCGGTATGCGCTTTGCCCATTGTTGAAGGCTCATATTTTTCCTTTAAGCCATATGACCTGGAATGCATAAATTACCTTAAAACTTTTTGCTGTTTTTTAGTAGCTGACCGAATCATATCTTCCCTCAGACAATCTATTAGACTGCAAAATTAAGTATTGCATGTCTATAAAAAAGTTATTAGAACACAAATGATTTGTTTTAGGACAAGAAAGAAATTGCTACTTCTACTCAAAATGTGCATATATAGCTGTTAATTATGGTTATTAATTTCTGTGTCATTTTGATCTCTTATGGAGAGTTGTCTCATTGGCAATCAACCACATCGTCTTATTTTTATAAGGAAGTGAAACAAATTGTAAATCTATTTTTATGTTTTGTGTTAGTACTACTTGTTTGTTTTGTAACAGAAGGCTCATAAAATTTTATACTTCTGAATATCATAAATTTCTGTGTTCGTGAAACATATGATATCAACATTGCATGTCAAGTAGAAGGTATAATAAGCCCACTTGTATGGCCCAAAAGGCTTTCATACATCTACTAAATAACATCATTCGAATGTTTATAAGTCATTAAGTACTCAGTATTTAGATGTGAGTCAAGGCTTTACTAAAAAAGATATTTTTCTACACAAATTGGGTTACAAAGATGTTAATTTGCGTTAAATATTTTTTGGGTTATGCCTTGGCTCATATATGTTTCGTCTAAAAACTGTGTGTGAAATGACAATTTAAGGTGAGATATGTCGTTTTCGACATGTTTATAGCACAAATGACCTTGCTGCACCATAGGGTCCGGATGATAGCAGTTTGTACATATGTCGTGACTTTACTTGTTTACACATCATGATATTAAAAGATACAAATGTGCTTTAGTATTTTTATTAATATTTTGTATACGTTAATTAAAGCAAAAAAATGAAGAAAAAAATGAACAATCTAAAAAATAAACAATACTAAATAATCATATAAAGTATATATCCCAGAATAATGCGTTTGCAATGATAAGAAGAAATAAAAAGAAAAATCATAAATTAATTAATTAATTGATAAATTGGTAGAATAAGCTGTTCAAAACTTTTCCTCAGAGAAAAAAAAAACTGTTATGCTTTATTCTAAAGATAGAACTGTCAGGATAAGTTTTACCCTAGAAAGTCAGAAATTGTCACGATTAGAACTTTCCTAATCTGTTCACGTATAGAACTGATCAAACTGTTTAAAGCTGTTTGGAGTTATTATTGTCAAAACTCGTTTATTGTTCCTGACAGTTTCTGATAGATTTAATTTTAAGAGAGGTTAGAACTGATCCCAACTGTATGAAGGTATGGATGGATTCGTGATGGAAGAGGGGAATGGTATGTGTGTGTATGACTAGACGTCCTGATTGTAAATACATTTTTATTGGTTGCCTCTAGCAGTTTCACCTCCTCGTCTCTCATTTTCTTAGTTGCAGCGTACTTCATACTAGAATGAAATTAAATGAGTTATTGTTAGCATGTTCGTTTCAAGTTGTGTTGTTTTAGTTTTATACCAGTATTCAAGAATAAAATCCTTTTTCCTGTCTTGTTTTTAATTGTTAATTCGACATGTGTACCTTTGCCCTTAATGCACTAATCGAGATTTAAAGGAAGATGATTGAGATCTTAACAGCACTTAGTTAACCATGCCACATATGTATGTGACTGTTCTGGAACCTCTTCGATGGTTCTATTTTGTCATTTTTGTGATTTAAGCAACTTTTTCATTTACCTGTAACACACAACAATTATATGGCATGTACTAAAAGGTTAAGTGGAGTGGAGTGGTGGAGTGTTGGAGTGGAGTCATGGAGTGAAAACATGGAGTTAGGAAATGGAGTGTAGTTGAGTTGTGGGGTCAATAGTTTTGAAATTAAACCAATTTATAAGATATTTTTTATTACATGTGTAGCTATAAAAATCATAGAATGAATGTTTGGTCTCAACAGCGTCCAACTGCATTCATGTGCATTATACCAATATAATTCACCTTGGATGTGTCATGGGTATTATTTAAGGTTATATCTCCAAACATGCAGTCACACATATTTAAAGATGTCCTGAAATGTGTAAGATGCACCATTTGGGCGTTAGCCCGAGTAGGTGTATCTAATTTACACCACAAAATATTATGATTAATGTTAAATGATAGATTTCTATAATTTAGGAGGGGTCTTTCAGCAATTTTACCTTAATTAACAACATTCTGGTGTAAACAATTTTACATGCTAGGCAAAGTTAAAGTTTTAAACTTCAAGTATATACAAAACAACAGCATCAACAGAACAGTCTTTTGAAAGAAAAAAGACACTTGGATTTTGTATGTTTCATTTGAAAAAGGTATGAATTTGATTAGTTGGTAAAAGATCTATGTATCTATGGAGATCAATATATCATTCATTTAAGTTATTTTGTCCTCCGCGTAACACGTTGCGAGGGGCATGGAAATACAGGGCGTCCGAACGTCCGTCCGTCTGTGTGTCCGTCTGGTCTTGTTAGCGCTCTAACGGGTACAATTCTTGCCAGATTTTTATAAAACTTATACTATAGGTTAATATCTGTAATATCTCGGACACATTTTATAATGGTGGACGATCGCCTTTTTTTAAAAGAGTTATGCCCTTATATAAATGAATGTAGGACAGAAAGTCAGAGGACAAAAAGTCACGGACAAAAAGTCAGAGGACAAAAAGTCACAATTCAGTTTTTAGGCTATTTTTCTTTAAATCAGAAAACACTTATTTTTATAAAATCATTTTTGTATTTTTCTTGAACTATTATATATAAGACAACTTTTTCCTTAAATTTTGTTTAATAAATTTCAATAAGTATTAAATAATTGTTAAGAAAATTTTTTTCAAAGTGGCTTGGTACTCAAATGGCTTCATGGTGCCAAAAAATTTATCCTTTGCATGTTTAAAATTTAATAATTTTTCATTTATCACAGCTAATGAACAATTTCCTTCTCTGTAAAATGAATATATAAAATAAAAAGAATATATTTGAAGATCTTTCTCTTATATATTCAAATAATTGTCAACAAACTATTTGTGTCTTTTTGTCCTGGGACTTTTTGTCCTATCAATTTTGTGAATTTCTGTCCTGTGACTTTTTGTCCTGTGACTATTTGTCCTGTGACTTTCTGTCCGTTTACCATATAAATATATGAAATATAAAATGTGTGCAACGCAGGTGGCATAGGAATTCTGTTCTTTTATTAAACCAAGAATCAAAACTATCTATGTTTGAAATAAATGATATATTTTTATTCAATGATCCATTAATGATTTTTTCTACTTTTCAATATTTAAGAATCTTGGCCTTCACATCAGATTCGGGGGATAATCTTGGGATGCGTGGTTGCATGGGTGTTTTATTATAACAAAATTTTATTACTAGTATATCATAGTCCATTGTTAACAAAAATAATAATAATTTAATATCTTTACGACAAGATGATTTTTCAGCCTCTGCTTGATTCTGACATATTTTGCCGGGAATAAGACATACATTTTTTAACTAGGGCTAAACCTGCCACAATGTGAAAATTGACATAAGCACTATGTGCATTATGATATAAGTTTTGTGAGCTTGTCAAAAAATTAACTCTAGTAGCATAGGCTACTGGGCCTTTGCTTTTCTTTTTCCCTACTAATAAGAAATACACTACAATTCAGAATAGCGAAAAAAGTTACTAGATAGACAATATTATCAAACCTCCAACTAAGCTGTCATAAAATGCTACCCAAAACATTGTCCGACTTTGATGAATAATCAAATATGACAAATGAAATAATATAAAATCATTGTGTGTTGCAATTAAAGAAAAAAGAAGAAAAAAAAACAATTATTATAAATGATTTTAATTTGAGATTTTCATTTGAATTCGTTAAAAATTTCATTTGATACAAAGTGTGATTGATTTGTGGATTCGTTAAGTATTTCACTCCATGACTCCACTACAACAATCAACCACTCCAATTTAGTTTAAACATATTTTATTTGCTTAAATATGCAAAAGGGATGAGACACAAGTTAATCAAACTTATGAAGTCTTCTCCCATGAACAATTTATAACAATAGAATTTTTTACAAAGCATGCATGCAAACAATACATTGTATATATTGGATATGTAAAAGATGATGTGTGATGATGTGAATGGTTGTACACAATATACATGTATATGCACTTTAGTGTGCTGTATTACACAATTAGAAACCTCTTTGACTCTTTAATAAACTCATATACATTCTTTAAAATTCTTTCATTTTCATCATTAGTTAATGACGAATCACCGGAGGTTAAGATGTTCAAATTTAATAGAGAGTTCACTGGTAACCAGTTCAGATTATTAGATAGTTTGATTCTTATATTCGCATAATTAGGACATTCAAAAAAGAAGTGAAATGAATCTTCACGCTTAGCACCACAGCTACAAGACGGATCTGAAATTATATTAACTCTGTTAAGATCATAATTCAAAAACGAGGCTGAGCATCTAAGTTGAGTCAAAATGATGTTGAGTTTACGATTGCCAAATTTATAATGTTTGGGTACTTGGGCTTTTGAATTCAGTTTAAGATTTTTTAATTCAGTTTTGAATTTACCTAAAGAGTCAATGTTGCGGGTCAGCACATTAAGGTTATTCCACAGTCGTATAGTTGAAGGTATGAAGGATTCTTGGGTCAATGAAAGTCTACAAAAAGGGTATATTATATCATTCCCATTACGTAAGGGGTAAACAGCTGTACTTTGGATTGTTGGTGGAATTAAATTGCAAAGATAGACTGGTGCATTATTATGTTGAATATTATAAAATAATTGTAACTTCCTCTTCGTTCAGCTAGAGTTTCCCAACCAATCTCATCATAAATAATTCTACTACTAGTAAAAATAGGAAGACCTGTTACAATTCTGGCTGCCTCAAGCTGCAGCTGCTCTAATTTGTTACTATAACCCACACCCATATTATCCCAAACTTCACAGGCGTATTCGAGTAACGGTCTTATAAAAGTCAAGTATAGCTTTTCTAAGTTATTTCTACTTAATCTGTACTTTAGTTTTCTAAGTACATTCAAATGTTTCGATACATTTTTTATGATACTTTCCACATGAGTGTTCCATTTAGCATCTCTACTAAATGTAACACCCAAGTGTTTATGAAAATCTGTAACTTTAATATTCTTACCATTGAATATGAAATTCATTTCCGGAGTTTCAATGTATGAAAACAACATAATTTCTGTTTTTTCTGGGTTAAAGGACATCAGCCATTTCTTAGACCAATCGCTCAGCTCACTCAGGTCGTGACTGATCACTGATTTTATTTGTGACGTGTCACGACTAGCGTAGCTGAGAGATGTGTCATCTGCAAATAATCTACATAAAGAAATCAAATTTTCAGCAATATCATTAATATAAATAATGAATAAGAGCGGTCCCAAAACAGAACCCTGTGGGACACCAGCTGAAATACTGCAAAGCTCTGACGACGATTGTTTAATAGCAACTCGCTGTTGTCTGTTGTTCAGGTAACTTTTAAACCAATTCAATAATATCCCGTCCACACCGTATGACTTCATTTTATATAGCAATCCTTGATGCCAAACTTTATCAAAAGCTTTAGAAAAGTCACAGAAAACGAAACAGCTAATTTCTTTATTTTCTAGTGAATTTAAAATACAGTTGTAAATTTCTAAAAGCTGGTGAACTGTTGAACATTTTGGAAGAAAACCAGACTGGTATTCATATATTAACTTATTTCTATGTAGGTGATTGAAGACATGTTTATAAACAACTCGCTCATTATTTTCCCTACACAACTTATAAGCGATATAGGCCTATAGTTAGATGGTAGCGAACTATCTCCCTTTTTAAAAAAAGCAATTACATTTGCAGTCTTCCAGCTGGTGGGATATTTACATTGTTGTAGGGATTTATTAAATATTATTTTTAAAGGAATTGCTATTTTTTCAGGACACATTTTCAGCATTTTATGACTTATGACATCTGGACCAGATGCCTTATTAGGATCTAAAATTTTAATTATATCAACTATTTCATATTTTTCAATTACTTAATCATTTAAAATAATATTGGTTCTTGGTTCAACTTCAGGGATGGGAACACCCTCCTCCTCTAGGGAAGAAATTAGACTAAAATATTTATTCAACAAATTACATTTCTCGTCGTCTCCGTACACTACATCTTCCATACTTTCATCGTGAATAATATTATTAAGTGGTGGTAAATCACCAGAACCCTTATTGGATTTAATAAGCATTTTCATTATCTTCCAATAAGTTTTGGGGTTAGCCACGTTATTTAAGATGATATTATCCAAGCTTCTTTCAAATATTTCTTTTGCAGCTTTTTTCAAATTATTTACTTTATTCCTCTGCTTTTTGTATTTATTTATGTCAGAATCTTTTTTAGTTTTTAAGGCTTTTTTACGAAATCTCTTCTGCGGATTTCTTTTCTTAACTCGTTGTCAAACCATGGTCTGTCATTGTTTCGTATATAAACATGTCGAGTTGGGATGCTC